CCTACCCTGCGACTTACACTTTACCTACCCTTTGGTACACACTTTACCTACCCTATGGTACACACTACACCTACCTTGTAATACACACTTAACCTACCCTGCGACTCACACACCACTTACCCTAAGTAACTCACACTTCACCTACCCTGGGGTACACACTCTACCTACCCTATGGTACGCACTCTACCTACCCTACGACTCACACTACACCTACCCTGTGGTACACACTCTACCTACCCTATGGTACACACCTTACCTACCTTGTAATACACACTTCACCTACCCTGCGACTTACACTTTACCTACCCTTTGGTACACACTTTACCTACCCTATGGTACACACTACACCTACCTTGTAATACACACTTAACCTACCCTGCGACTCACACACCACTTACCCTAAGTAACTCACACTTCACCTACCCTGGGGTACACACTCTACCTACCCTATGGTACGCACTCTACCTACCCTACGACTCACACTACACCTACCCTGTGGTACACACTCTACCTACCCTATGGTACACACTCTACCTACCCTGCGACTCACACTACACCTACCCTTTGGTACACACTTTACCTACCCTTTGGCACACACTCTACCTACCCTTTGGTACACACTACGCCTACCCTCTGATACACACTTTACTTACCCTTTGGTACATACTCCACTTACCCTGTATTATCTCCTTCTATCTTAGTACTCTACCTTCTGTACCCCTGACACCTTCAGGCTCTTACCCTCTGTATTATTAGTATAGTCCTTCTGTATTTCAAGACTATTAGAGAGAGATAAAAACACTCGTCGCAAGCTAGCGTAGTTAGAAACAAATATAACCCAAACCTCAAACCCTAACCCTAGTCCCCCTTATCTTCTTTAATATCTGATTTATCCCAAGTTATTACCCTTACTACTATTACCTTTATAGGTTCAGCCTTATTTATAGGGTACTATAGTACTTATATTAGCTATACTATCGAACTACTCCCCTTAGCTTATCCCTTACTAGTTCCTTGTATTAAGGTTCCCCTCTAACTAGCTCGTATACCCTCTATTACTAGGACTCTCCTGCGCTACCTGACTAACTGCTCCCTGCTACTCGCGCGTTTATAATATATCTAGCCCTAATAGTTATACACGAGCCCCCTTTCTATATCTATTAGGAAATCTAAGTAGTCCCTACGGAAATACCTATTTTCTAAATAGTAGAAATATTAGTTCTAGCGATCCTTATAAGTACCTACCGCATATACTCTAATTAGCGAGTTATTCAGACGCCGGGGTTAGCTCGAGTAAGCCCCTTATAGCAGTCTAGATAAATTAACTTAATCACTAAGTCCTACTAAGTAAGCTCCTAACTAATTTCCCCCGCTAAGCAGGCTAAATCCTGATCTTCCCCTAGGTACTTATAAAGCCTGCGACACTCTTATAGCTAGCGCTAGCGCGTTAAATACCTAGGTTATCTCCTTTACTACTTCTATAGATATAGTCTTTAAGTTAATAATAAGAGGAACTAGCTAACCTTCTGCCTTAAGAGCGATAAGTACTTAGCTAAGCGAATCTACTAATTCACTAAGGCCCTCCTATTTCACGCGACTATCGGAAAACTCCTGGACTATCTTATTAAACATATAAATCTCAGTAGCTATCTTAACTAAGTTATTAAACTTAATTATACCCGGCTTATTAATATTAATCTTATTCTTATGTATTACCTTCCTATAAACGTCTCCTAGCAGCTTATTTAAGAACTATACTCCCCGAGTGTAATTTTTTAACTAGCCCCTTTTTACTAGGATAGCTAATATTATAGTAAATTATCGAATAAACTACTTTATATCGCTTTCTATAGTTCGTGATTTTAACTTTAGAGCCTTAAGGAATAATTAGGAGTTCATCTGTTAAAAAGTATCCTGATCCTTATACTCCTCTAAAAGAGAGACTACTAGCTCTTCCTAATTCTTACTCGTCTACTCTAGTAGTATCTTAATATACTAACTAATAGTAAGATTATAATATCAGGGAAGCTATTTGATTTAGTCTGTATCCTTTAATTAGGCGTTATCACACTAATTAGTATACTATTCCAAGAACTCTATAATATTAGCTCCCTTAAAGTATAGCGCGCCTAGTATACCCGGGGCTAGTATAACTAAAATATACTTAACTTCTACTATCCTAGAATTCATAGTCCTCGATTCTTAATAACTTTCCTCCCGGACTTAAATATATTCTATTATATTACTTTCCTCTGTGCCTAGTGCTCTTTAGTTCTTAGGATCTCCTAGAAATATAGTTATATCAGGGAATTCAGTAAATAATTTAAACCTTTAGTGCCTGCTTATAAAGTATAGTATACCTAATGTTACTAGAGTTGAAAGTGCTAGAGTTACTAGTAAAAGCGTAGCGATTATACTTCTTATAACTTCTAGACTTAGCTCTCCTAACTACTCTAACTTCCCTAATCCTTTTTCCTTATATCCCTTTTTCGCCCTACTTCAGGCCCCTTTTTTATATTAGACCCGCTTTCTTTTTATATTTATCTATTCCCTACTTATTTTCCTCGTATAAACTTTCTCTATTACTATAGTAACCTCGTCTTCTAAGCTTATTATAATAACTTTCCCTTCCGTGCCTCCTTAGCCCTCTCTACTTATATTCCACTGTTTCCCGATATCCTATCCGCTAAATAAGGGCTCTCTAAGCCCCTTTTTTCTAGTTATTTCCTATATATCTATCTATTACTATAACTAAGTTACTAAGTAGTGAAATTCTAACTCCTACCTTTACTACTAGCTTAGCTATATCCTAACTATTCCTCTACTTTACTTCTAGTTCCCTACGTAGGTCACTAATATAAAAAAGTAGGGTAGTACTATTAAAGTGCATAGTAAGCAGGGACGTAGAGGACTACTAACTAAACAGGTAGTAAGAGTAGGAGAGAGAAGATAATATATTCGTTACGCGCTATCGCGCCTATCTATATAACCTTACAGAACAGGCCAACTATCTTCCGACCCAGAACTACACTACCCCACCATAATACTCTAGAAAAGAGGCTAGCTAAAGCACTTCCTAAAGGGGATAGCTATAGCTATAGCCGAGCTAGCTAGAAGTAAAAGAGTAGTCTCTATACTCTATATACTACGCGGCGTCACAGCTATTTTAAATATAAGGACTATAAGCGTAGACTTAGTACTATAGGCCGTACTACTAAGTACGCTACCCCTTTAGATAGGAGATTCTCTCTCTCTATAGTAGCTCCTTATATAACTGCAATTCTGACAGATACAGACTATAAAGCTGCTATCAAGCCTATAGATAATATTCTTTTGTCCAACTCGAGTTTAGTAATACTCAAGCCAAATCTCCTTGACATACTCAGTGATCACCTCCACAATCCGCAACTACCCGCTGATAAGACCAGCCGGCAACTCCTCCCAGCACCATCATGGTCCCACTGGAATTTGACCAACATGCCGCTCATCCGTTACGTACCAGAGGGCATCCAGTACTGGAACGGCAACAGTCAATCATATTTACTGGCAGACCAAGAGCCCTCTAAGCGAGTTCGAAAGACTCACCACAACCCGCGGGTCTTCAAGAACAAAGGGGGAAGACAGAAGTCAATGCAGCTGCTCCGCGCCCTCACAAGAACAGCCCATTTCTGCTTCTAGTTGGAGGACATTGCCTCGTGGGTCGCCACCCACTGGCCACAAATACCAGAAGATCTTGGTGGGCTCGCTGTCGCGAGAAATGAAGTTGCGGGGTTTATTACCGAGATAAAGTCAACATTGCATGCATCCGCAAAAATTCCAATAGCAGACATCATAAAGGAACTCGATTCTGGGGCGAGAGTGATCAGCCAGATTACCTCATCCCAAATCACGCATGTCTTGGGGTCGGCATGCAGCAATTCGGTGGACCTTTCTTCTCCTCGGACAAAGGCCTACGTGGCCATAAATGTTGAAGCATACAGGACATGTACTGAGCAATCATCCGAGCATTTGCGACGCCAGTGGATCGACTACCGAGCTGAAACGGCAAACCAGTGCAATTAAAAGAGGCAATCATGCCATTCCAGACCGAATGACGGTAGAGCTGGACCATTTATTTGCTGGGAATTCCCGCCCAACCACGTTTGTCAGAGCCGCAAGGCGAAGCAAGGTCCGGACGCAGCAACTACGCGAAAGAGACCTACTAATCCAACAGACTCCTCCTCCTTTAACCTCCCCTCCATCCTAACCTCACAACCTTCATCTCACATCAAATCTCACATACAATCTATTCATTACCATGTTATCGTTTGTACCTACCATCTATATCTATGTCATCGTTTTTTCACATTCTTCCATCAGAGCACATTTTCCAACCCGCCGAATGAAAAGGCCAAAGTACAAGCACACCGGAGGATGGGTCCCCCTGCTTATTAGCACCTCACATAACCTTTCCTCAACATCATCATATCTATTGTACATACCCCAGAGAATTATGCGTGGCCTTGAAGGCCAAAAAGGGAATGGAAGTCAGTGCAATCCCTCAAAATGCTCCCCCTTGAGTGATATAGTGATAATCTCAAGACACGCATCAACATGAAGCATATGAACGTTAAACTCTAACGACAGAAATCCAACTTCCACCTACCTGAACCAAGATAATAACTAGTTCAAGAAGTTCATGTTTCCAAAAAATCACAAGTTTCAATCCGCGTTACCCCAACTCGCCGAGATTTCCGCCTGTATTTCAAGAACTTGGATCAGAGAGACTTGGATGAGTTACACAATTACAAGCCCACTCCGGCGCAAACCTATGAGTGGCAAAACATGCGTCACATCTCAGGTCATTTTTTTTATGATTAATAAGGTATAAGTTCGTGAATAAGCATTCTTTTTATGATCATGAAACTACCTCCTGCTTCCCTTAGTTTAGTAATAATTGGTGTTAGTTCAGTAACGAAAGCACAGCAACAGTTATTCAGCTGTCTTAAGCCCATCCTCTTTCAAAACCGATCTCTTGCCCGTCCTGGGAGATCATGTACCGAAGCGCCCGTCCGAACCCTGTTTATGTTCACAATAAGCTGCTTGGGCTTCCGTCCAGGGTCTCGCTCCACCAGAATATCGTCGAACCGTAGTCTGTCTCTAATAGTACCTAGAATACCATCACCCAGTTCATCCCTCAGCAAAGCCGACACTTGGCCCTGGTCCAACCTATACCCCTGGCTCAAATCTGCTGGTGGTCGGACATCTAGCTGGTCATACCAGATCCTCATCACCGCGACAGAGACCTCCCGATTGAAATTTCTCATGTTCAACTGAACAGCAGCCGGGCCTGGTCTGGCAGAATTGGGCCGTAAACCATTGCATTGTGTACTATGTGAGCCACTCTTGCTCTCAGCCAACCTTGCACCCATTTGTCGCTAGCAAATCGCCGAAAAATTTGGTCACGTCCCCCACGGGTCGTTACATCTACCACACCATCGCTCCATTCTCTTGATTCCATGCAGAAGCTGGTATGTGTTAGTCAGATCCCTCCCACTCGACCAGGCGGCACTTACATAACAGCAGCAAAACATCTGGCAAAGAAGTCTCCCTGTAACGCACCTCCTGGATTATTCGCCTTTAAGTAATCCGTCCACTGCTTTGTGAACTGGTCTTCTGGTGGGGCTGCAGGAGAGACAAGCCTTGCAATCCTGTATGCTGTGATGCTTCCATCCAAGTACACAGCGACCGTGCACAGCCCTCTCTTCATTCCCACATCCACTTTTACATTCCCAATGTTTAACGTAGGAGAGCCATCGTGCGCCAGCATCGTGCTGGCACTTCCGATTGCAGGCAGTACCCTCTTCCATCTTGCTACAGTTGTCAATATCTGGTCTTCCGCGGCTTCTTGTGCCAGGCGATAAGCCCGCAGTCTTCCCGCACGCAAGTCCAGCTCTTCTCCGCAGGCATCCCACTTCTCCGGCGCAGACTGCTTCCTGGTTGGGACAACAGTTCCTAGAAAATAGGCGCGATTGGCAGGGTTGTCTGTAGCCCAAGTTAGAACATGTTGACTCCCTCTGCCCAAGCTTCTAACTTACTCAACCATCCAGTGGCCATTGTAGCTCTGTCCTCTTGTACTCTTGATCAACTAAATTCAGTGGATGGAGACTACGTCGCCTTGTGCTTGAATCAAGTGGACAGACGGATCAGTGGAGGCTGAGAAAATGCCTGCGGCTTCGTCTGCATACGCCACTCGAGATTGATGAAACACAACAGCGCTGGGGATCCGCAGAAGATAATCAGGTTGTCACACTTGGGATGGGAGAATGGGGGCCAATGTGCAGAGAGAAAAGAGACAGAAAGTTAGAAATGCTCCCACCTTCCATTCTTCAGATTCGTTCCTTCCATTTCTGTATCTTGTGGTGAATTTGATTTTGTGGTAGGCCCTCCACTTGACACCGCCGACTTATGTACACGTGCTCGAGATGTTTTTCATCTCCATTTCACTTCTTTGAAACGCTCTTATTCCTATCAACGATCGTATCTCCAAGGTTGGTGAGCAAGCTCTTCAAGCTAGTCTTAATTGCTTGCCTACCATCCAACTTTGAGGCCATTCACAACTAGATACAATCTTGCTATCCACTCACTTCATGAAATCAATTCACCACCTGGCTTCTTCTCTCCTCGTTCTTCGCCCCTCGAGAACGACAAAACAGAGCTCTCCTCTTCCTTCTCAAAACAACGCAAGTTCGTCTTTCCTCACGCTCCGCTTTCCCAAGTATCACTATTCCCCATCTCACGAGCATTAGTCGACGGCCAGGTTCAACTCTGGCTCGCACAGTCTATTCCTTAGACTTCAATTCTCGCCATTGACTGATATCCGTGCTTCCTGCCCAGACTTTTCTATATCCCATAAACCAATTCGTGTCCTTCTCTAGCTTAATAGTAAGTGTTTGATCATCTCACTATGTAAGCACTTGAAATTGTCTAAATCTCTAACTCAAAGCATTATCATAGCTCAAAGCCTGGAATTTCTCGAAAATGGACTATATCCATGATTCGGATACCGGAAGTGCGGACATCAAGGGAACTTTCGACGAGCTAGAAGCCAAGATACCGATTCTTAGATCCATCCAGCCATCGTGAGACAACAATACTACTTCAAGCAGTGGGGAGCTCCTCACCGATTTCTTGTCCCACTCCTCTACGAAGGATTCATCGAACATTGGTCAATGGACATTATCCAAGATAGCCTTATTCAAAAACACCAGCCTTGGGCGAAGATATTGGGTGGGTGATATGTCAGCATATTTGCTGGCAAGCGAAAAGGCCCATAGGCAAAAGCCTCGCGAGACAAGAAGACAATTTCAGAAGCACGATGGACCGAAGAAAGCCATGCACTTACTGACTGCAATCATCCGGACCTGCTACTTTTGCGATTTGCGATGTTCTTTTGGGTGGGTGGTGTCGAACTACCCAGAGCTCGTCCAAGACTACGGCACGCTTGAGGAGGCCAACACTTTATTCCATACCCAAACCAGCGGGATTCGAGATCGAATCAACAAAACAATCAAACAAATCATTCCCCTAATCAACTTCTCCGCCAATATTGCCAATCAGATTAAACAGAGTTACATCAATTGTGTTCTCGGCTCGGCTTTTGCGAATTCGATTGAACTTGAAAAATCCCACTGGGCAAAGCAGTTGATGATTTGATCCTGGAAGCCGTTAATACCCAAGTCTCCACCACTCACCCCGACTATCCTCACGCAATCAAAAATAGGCTCCGAAAAGAGATGGACAACCTGTCGCGAGATGATCCTACCCGAATTTCCGATCCCTTTAAAGTGGATATCGTCCGGCACTTTGCTTCCAGCAAGAGAGGCACAAGATCGTTCAAATTGTCAATTCGCGCGAAAACGCAGGCCCCGTCAAAGATGAGTCCAGGCACAGCTAACTCACCGTCTGTCGTGCTCGAGAGCAAAACCTCAGTCCTGAGCCTCTGACAGCATAACCTCCTCTTTATCCTCAACTACCCTACCTCATACCATTCATGCGTGCCCTACATACTCTCTCTAGAGATTCACTACTCATGTCACCTATCTAGTTCTTCAAGGTCTCCAATCTGTTTCTTCATTATCATGTTTTCCCGCTTCTATCACGAATCAAAATCATGTCCCTTGTATCACGCAGCAGCTGACAATCAATCAGCGAAACCTGCGAGTCTTCCAAATAGATTAGCTCTCGTGCTAATCCTTTGGTCGTTCCGCCGTTTTCTCTATGACATCACGCCCTATCTCGTTTATCACTTCTACGTTCGCCTGCGGGTTCAGATGTTGAATGTTGTTTGTGCCGATCTTACGAGGCTGCTCCTTCTCTTATAGTCGACCGAGAGGCATGTTGATAGCTAATCCCAGCCTCGAGACTGCATCTTTCCTTACTAGTGTAGGGGCCGCATGCAAGGAGCGTGACAAAGGAATTTCCACAGCGGATATTCCTTTGGATTTAACTAGCCTAGAACAAATAATCACGGAACATATGAGTCGTGACGATCTCCGCCGCATCAAATGGATTGATTGGACGAGTTATGCATTCTCGTCCTACTTGGCGCGGGCCATTCGTACACGTGAATGCATAGATGATACGTGCATTACTGCAAATCAATTCTGAGGTCGATCAAATGCCGTTTCTAGGAGGAAGAAGCGGATGGATATGTAAGAGAGGGGGAAGTGGAAGGGAAGAAGGAGCTGCTAAGTGACTATGTCATGATTCTCACAGTCTGCATTGATTGAGCATGAAACGAAGTGAGGATGCAGCAATGATTCTGGATATTCTGGTATCTTGGATTAAAGCTTAACGCAGCTTCTAGATGCTCGACCTCCCTGGGCGACTTCCCAGAGCGCACAAGGCGACAACCGTGCCCACGGGAGGCGGATATTTGACGCAGAGGATAAAAGTGGGGTATCATAATAAGATCGACAGGAAAAAGGGGAGTTGCAGGCGCTGAGAGGACAAATAGACAAGCACTAGTACTGGTGGATGGCGACGGTGTCGAGAAGTGGCCGAAAGATGCAGAAGAAGAGATGAGTATGAAGAGTTGCAATGCAGGGACAGGTGATGGAAGCTGGTACCAGGCAAATTCTTCCCGTCGTGAACGGAGATCAGAATGTTTAACCCTCATGTTTTCTGCGAGGCTTTCGCGAGTCGACAATAATAGCTTGCCTCCGGGTCCGGCGAGTCCTCTTATTACCACGTCCTTTAGCCTGTTCGACATCTCCACTCGGCTCAAGTGGAAGCGATGCGTCTTTTGTCGATTGTGGCGGAGTGATTGGAGGGAATGTTGGGCCATCGGGCGAAATGTATCTGTTGTTCGTATGGGAACTCTGTATGAAGTGATCATCCTCATCGTTCGCCGGGAGATTTGCATACGGTGGAGCGTAGACACTGTCTACAGCAGGAACTTGCGCAGAGGAGTCAGGCTCATTGTTTGTCGGGAAACTCGTCCAGTATTCTGCTAGTAATTGATTGTTGGGATCCTCATCGTCGTCATAGTCGTGGCTATCACAATCTGTAGCGTTCGCAGTTTCGGCTGGTATACTTAGACCGACAGAGGATCGATGATTTGCTAACCACTTCTCGTTCAACTCGTCCCTTAACTTCTCCGAGGTTTCTTTGGCATCGTCCTGTAGATTCCTCAGTCTTCGTCTGCTTTTCTTAAAATCTTGATAGCTTGATATGAGCAAAGAGCTTGATTCAGGATATTGGTGATATTTGACTTGGCCTTGGGTCTCAGATGAATAGTGCGCAAAGGTGTTAACGGTAGTGCCGTCGGTAGTGAAAGTCGAAACAAAGGCATAACCTGGAGGATCAGGGCTCTCGAGGTATGAACGTGCTTCATTTCTGCCGTAAACCATACAAGCACCGTCGTATGCTGCTTGAGTCTGTGCGAGTATCATGTCTTTTCCTGGACCTTTCCACTCTCCAGCTAGATGTGGCAAAGTAGTAGCTTCCGGGCCGGAATACACTGTAGCCGCTCCACCAAGCTGCTCGCGGGCGGGGAACGGGTCAAACTGTGTTAGATCAAGACCCTCGACCATATCTGGCTGTGCAGCTGAAAGGTCGTCATTAAATCCGATATTCTTTGGGAAGTTGTTGAAGGCTTGGTTGTACGACTTGTGATATCCGGACTCGTTATAACGCTGCAGCAGCATGGATGTTTCATACAGTACCGACGCTTCATTTGGTGCTCTTCGGATAGCGGAGGCAAAGTACTGATAATCTGACTCGCTTGGTGAGGCTGTCTCTCGGCTTCTGTCGATTCGGTCTTGACGTGATTCGAGATTTGCAGGAGGCTTGGAGCAGTTTGGATTCAAAATCCCATTTTGAAAAGCGATATCCGGAAAACCCGAGTCCGTCGTGGAAGTGCTTTGTTTTGACTGGGTTGACTTTGTCCCGGAGTATGAGGACTTTGATTTTGGTTGATGGCGGTGTAGACCCAGATCCTTGTTAGTAGTAGTGGTTGTGGAAGATGAGCGTCCAGTAGACCCTTTCCCAGCGGACTGCCTTCGCTGTCCTCCCATATTTTCCAATTCTTTCAAGTTCCTCCGGGTCAAACGAGCGCATTTGAGGGGTCTTTCGCCACTGGTCTCGAAGGATGTGTCAAGTCCTCGCTTCCGAGTTTGGTAAATCTGTTTCTCTGGTGAAGAAAGATGTTCTGATGTATGATATAGATCAGCACTATTCGCCGAAAACAGTACGCACAACGAACCTTGAGCATGTGCGCTTGAAGGTGCCCGCGCCGATGCTTCGACAGCTGTATATGAGGTCTCTCCAAGAGGCTGTGAAGTCTGAGCCGCTGTTGGTCGTTGCTCGCGGGGGCTTTGAGATGCGTGGTAAGATCCTGGAATATAAGTTACTGAGACATGGCGCGTCCTTGACTGTATCCTGGTGCTCCGTCTCTGTAACACTATTCATCATTAACATGTCTGAGTATCGCACAGAGAAGAATCATGCCTACCGGAAGGGGTTTGTTGTGGATCTGGCAGCGGTCGCTGAGGAGCCGGCCGTTTACGAATCCGTGTAGATGGTGGGTTCATGGGGGACATGGCAACTGTAAGTAGAGCGCGATGTTGGTGGTTGATGTTATGGTAGGAGGTCGGCAGGCCGATGGCCCAATGTCCGAGACAAGGTGTGCCGCATTAAGGTGTGGTAATTAGCCTGCAAATTTGATTTGCTCGCGTGTAATCGAATTGCATCGGATGATTCTGGATAAAGTTCTGTTCACTCAAACCCAATCAATTGATTGAGAAGTTGGTCAGTCGCGACAAACATGGAAGTATTTGTTGTGCTGGTCTTGGCGCGAGACGTCGTTGTTAAGCGCCCTAGTTAGCTTCAGCGGGTCGAATCCCGTCACGATTTGCTAGGTACGGAAGTACGTAAAGTCGCTACAAAGCCAATCGGACCACAATGCGATCGGCCCGAGGCGAGGCGAGGAAAGCAGGGGGACCAGGTCTGAAACCCCGCTTTCTGCGATAGGCAACAAATATGCAATGATAGCTACCTAGGTAAGAAATTCAGTTGGGTAACTTACCAAAATCAGGATCAGCAAGAAAGAGCACTATTGCAACATTCAGTAGAGCTGTACGAAGTAATACGGACTTCGAGTTACGCCGTCAGAGTGCATGTAGGTAGCAGGCGAGGCTGGTGGCTGGAACGGCGATTATGAAATGACTCGATGGTGATGTTGACCACTAGTTAGTTCTAACAAAAATTAGTTTCAACAGAAGAATTAACAGCTGCCAATCATGTCCGTGTAACTACGCATTCCTACTTTCAATGGAGGCCCGTTGGGCTGTTACTAACAAATACGTAGCATGCGGCGTATGCTGTATCCAGATGCATTTAAGAATGGATGCAGGGGGTTTTACTTCGTATGTAAACCGTCTTATTCTCCACACTGATGTTCTGTGACACGCTTTCTGGCGGGGTCGGTCAGAAATGCCCTACTCGGCTCCCTATTCGGCTGAGTGGCGGAGATGCGCGTGGCATCAGAGTCAGTTAGGCTGCGATTCTTGCCCTGTACAGAACAGGCCTTTTAGAAACCATGCGAATCCGATCCATGCATTGTTGGTGACAAATAATGTCTAGGCAGCAGTATACCTTGACAAGAAAGGAAGTGTCTTTGGGTGGTGGAAAACAAATTAGCAGCGTTTGGACACACAAATATTTGCACTCTTGACGTGTCTTGACCAGGACCTGCTTGCATGCTGAGCCAGCCTCTAAAACTCTGCGTTGGAGGAGTGCAGCCTATTAAATGGAGAATCAATGCAGGATACCCGCTTCGCTTGGTTTTCCGACGCAATATGGCCCCCAATGTCACCCTAGAGCTCATCAGCCCACTTCACACCATAGCGGGGAGCAAAGGATAGCTGTTGCGGACGTTTTCAAGAGAGTGACAATAGAGCATTTCATTTACTACTGTACTGTAATGGGTGCGTATGTGAAGATACGAAGACAGGCGTATGAACCCTACAGAACAGATAAAGGAACGAGTCCGAAAGACAAGGAACCCTGGCGGAGAGCAAAGCACTTTACATGCTGCTCGAGATCGTCGAGAAAATGCATTTTCCTGCAGGCACTATTGAATGCGCACGAAATGGAGACAGAAATAAATAGTTGGCAGGATGGGCTCATAGAGACCATAACAAGTGAGGTGTGGACTCAAGTGAGGGTGAAGCTCAGCAACCACTCGCGGAAAGCAGGATTCTTATCTACTTCTGGAGTTGAGAGCGACACAGATAAATGAAGGCGATTGAAACATTTCAGGGAAGGCTATTTGATAATACCGCCTTAGGCAAAAGGAAATCTGCTTATTTCAAAAGCCTGACTTTAGGCACCAATCGAATCCTATCAACTCCTGCACGACACTTGAATGTGAATCTAACTCTATTGTTTGCTCTTCTTATACCTCTTCTGCCTTCTCTGTCTTGACCTTCTCTGCTTTCACCTCCTCTTCCTCAGACTTCATTGCCTCATATGCTTCCTCGTATCCATGCAATTCAGCCATCTTTAATGCCACGAATGAGTCCACTTCTTCATGAGGAATTTCCACGTCACCGCTGCTCAATTTCGAAGTCTCTGCGACTTGAGTCCAAAGAAATTCATCGTCAAAGTCGAAGCTCTCCCGTATAAGCTCATGATACCAGAACTTCCCGTCCTCCATAGATTTCCTCATGAGACTTGAGAAACTCTCCTCCAGGGATAGATGCTGGATTTCCAACTCTGAAGCTCCTCCTACACAGAGCTTTGCATCACTTTTCGCAGACAAAAATCTTTTGGATTCTTCCTCTACCAAAATCCCATGGAATGTCTCAAACTTGGACTTAAATAAGTCCATGAAACCTGGTATTTCAGACCACCGACAAGGATTCCGAAGTAAGAGCCAGCGCGGGGGCGAGTACAACATTTGGTACGGAGCAGCATACGTCCACTCTAGGTCAATCCACCACAATTTGAGGTCGTCGTCCAGTATGAAATTAGAGGGTCGGAAGTCGTCGCAGAATAACGTGAAAACATCATTATGATCTTTGGAGATGTAGCTAGGGGTTATGGTCTGGAAAAGACGGCGGTTGGTATACTTGCGGCGTGCATCATCAGCGTCGTCAACACTGTTGCGTTGCTTCAATAGATGCTCAAGATTCTGCTGGCCGACGTGACTGAAAAAATCGCTCGTGCTTTCAAAGGGTGCCTTTAAATGGTCTCAGTGGTGTAAGAAACGCTTCGCAATTGGTAGTAAGAACTTGGATAGGCTTACCACCATTAATCACACCCCCTACTCGTGCTACCTCGTTCATCTTGAGAGTTAATGGTCTAGCCGTCACGGGATAGGAGCCTTCATTATCAGACGAAAGTGACCCAATCCGATCAAACTTATGCTCAGCAAGCTCAAGCAGGATATAGGCGACTTGTCGATACACGATTTCCTGGACCTTCTCGTCGATATCTGATCGCAATCCACTTCTCGGCTCATTTGGGTTTTCTTTCCACAGCTTATCCAGAGTTTTTCCTTTGATAAATTCTGTGATCACAAATGGGCCTAATCCTAAATCGTCCTCCATACCATACGCAATCAATTTCGGGGTGCGGATTTTTGTCTCTCTAAGAATGTACTTTTTCGGACCGAGCTCACGTCTGACTTGTTCCTTGAGGTACATAACTTTTCCAGGCATTGGAAAGCGTAACATCCATTGTACCCCATCTGCAAAGGCGAATCGGCAACAGAAGTTGAAAGATCCGCAATCTATGCTCTGCTGCCAACATGGTTGATCATCTCGGAACTTGGAGACGAACTTAGAGAGAGGGGCGTCTTGTAAGGAGTTGTAGAGATCGAACCATGCATCGCAAGACGCCTCGTGAGAGGCTTCTGTGATCTCGTCAAAGTCCATGAGGATGACGATTGATGCTGAAGGATATGGGTAGTAGAATGAAAGGTGAGTGACGCAGGGTTTTCTGTAGTCCTGTCCTTTCGTGCGTAGGACACAGCAGTCTATGGATGTATGTGGTTCTTGGTGCAGAGACAAGTAACGGAAGTGCCCTTATTATAAACACACACTAGACCCCCTTTGGATTGCTACCCAATTGCCTGAGGTATGACCACGTGATTAGGTAAGCATTGAGTAGCGGGATGGAATGAGGGTATTCATGCTTCTGTTAGCACTTCACCTCATCGATTTCGCATCGGACAATCAGCCAAAGCCCGATCACTCTTCGCCACCGTTCGTGGAGTCTGCCAACATAAAACCCACCCGCATTCTCCTTACCCAGTCTTTCCAGAGCCGCTACCTCGAGTGAACATGGACTCTCCGGCATCATCGCTGCATGCTGATGTGTTTGTCGCGTGAGCCACCCTAATCCCATATTTTAAAGGGAAAAGCAGGTTCCGCCCCACCGTGGGAGGTGCACTTTCCTAGTATAATAATCATATCACTGTTATAACTTACAAGATCTTGGTGACTGTCAACTAGCAGACAATTGATAGTGAAAGAAAGTTCTTGTCAGATGAGAGGTCATTTTTTCAGGAAAGTGCGTTGCAGCTCCGACAGTGGGGCGGAACCTAGTCAAGCCAATCTAATATCCCTTAGCCTTCAAGGAATACCTGTAAAAGATGTTATAACATGTTAGACCAAATCCGGGTCTCCCTCTTATTCGCGTTCCCTATAGCATCTTAGAGTTATCTCTATAGTACTACAGCCTTTTACGAACTAGTGGCCCTAAACTATTAAACTTAACGATATATCCCCGGATTTATTTCTACGATAGTATAACCAATTCACTAGTCCACGACATAGTGATTCAAATAATTATCACCCAAGTATAAACAAAACACAAACACACGCGTCCGTCCTCCACCTTGAGAACAGCAAGCTTCCAAGCATTTTGCAAATCCCAAACTTGCACCTAACCACAATTACTTTCCATCACATAGAGCTTATCCACCATGGGAAAGCCAGCACGACCAGTACGCGACTTCTCCGGCGCCGCCGACCAGTACATTGCCCTTGAGCGAGCTAAGGCTGCTACTACTAAGACCAAGAAAGCTGAGGACCTGGCTAAGGCCAAGGCCGCCGCTGAGGCCATGGCTGCCGCTGAGGCCGAGGCTGCAAAGGCTGCTCTAGAGTTAGCGGAGGAGACGGCATGTATTGCAAAGAGCGCGAGTAAAGGAGCAACAGTAAGCAGGAATCCTTTGTTCACATTACGCAATACTAATAGTTTTACAGTTGAGAGAGCCGTTGGGTCAAGTTAAGCATAAGGCTCCTGATTAACGATCGCTCGCAGATCTCTTAAATAGTGCCCGCCTGCCTCCTATACCAGTATCTCCCGTCTTCCAACTTGAGCTCTCTATAATAAGTCAAGAAATCTGCCAGGTATGATCTCCAAAAGGAAAGTCAGAACTCACATTGCCCCCGCCAATATCTTCATGGTGAATGATGACATTAACGTAGACGAGATATTGTTTCTGTTCAGATATCGCGTCTACTCCGCTATGAATATTATTGCCAGGCCCAGCATCCAGAGGAACCATCTTTTGTATTCTCCTGAGCGACAACTCCATCGCTGGGTGCGCAGAGTGCCTTGGAAGAATGATACCATAGGGTGCCGCGTCCGTTGTTGAAAGTACTGACTATGAAATTGTACTTAGACATCACTAAGAACAAGAGTTGTGGTCTCCATGTCTTTGTCGACAATCATGCTATTTGCTGTTTAATGAGGCGCAGAACAAAGACAGGGTGCAAAGTTATCAGCGAAACTCAACGGGAGGAAAACAGACTTCTGATGTTCTGTGTAGTAAGGAAGGAAAAACAAAAGACAAGTGCCCGAAGTCCTAGCGCCTACAGAACGACTGCACAGTCTTCCTTCACTTTCTTGGGTACTTTTGAAATCTCGATCGCCCGGTGAATCCTTTCAAGGCACTGTGGTTTTTGTGAACAATGCAAAACTTTGCAGCCCATTATGCTATGGCGTTCACAGCTATGGGGCCAGCAATTGCATTACCTGGACGGCCACATGCACATCTCCTGCAGGGGACGCAGCTTGAGCCAACAAGCTGCAAGAGCTCTTTGTCCAAGCAACAGTGCGATGCTTCTTCCGGTTAACCTTGGAGGTCGCTCGATGTTAGCAGGAACGATGAGGCCGACGCCGCTTAGTCAGACGCCGCCCGCCTTTAAGGCGAGGCCGTCATAGTAGATACGAATGCGAGCCTTTGACACTACACAGACTTGTACCCCTTTACACTCGAGCCACCCTCGGCCCACCAAACCTTTAAAGACGAGTTTCGATCTAAACTCAAGAACCTCCACCTCCACTTGCTATGAATTTTGCGATCAAATCGTCGCCGTCTACCTCAAAGAAACCAAAGAACAGACAGAATAGAGAAGGTTGGAGACAAAGAGGAGGTTCTTTCTCGTGGTGACTCGGGAATCGATTGTTCATTGAAGTCTGACTTCTTTGTTCATTCAAGTTTGATTTCGACTTGGAGCTGAGTATGACAGGGATCTACGTATCAAAATAGATGGATACTAAGGAGATTCTAGTTATAAAAGCTTGCGAAACTCCTATCTACGATACCAAAGTCAAAAGCCAAGTCAAGATGGTTCAGTCGTACCCGCACTCGTCTCAGGCTGCTGGCACTTCGATTCGTTTTATTAATGATGCGGACAAGCCCCTTTACGGCATTCGCAACAAGGAAATCATTGCAACAAACAACCCAACATGTCTTAGTGGTGAAGGACTTTCATCACACGAGGATGCTTCGACTTTTGCTGCTGCAAAGTACATCTCAGCTCACGCCGACCCGGTATTCACGAAGTTGTGGGAACAAGACTTAGGCAATGATGTCACCAATCTCATCTTAGCTGCTCTCCCTGATACCGAGCGGTGGACCCTAGCAGTGTTTCGCCTTGGCTTTGCTCGGAATTATTCAAATAATCCGATTGTAATCACTATTACTATTGGCGAGGAAGACTCTGCGGTGCACTCATCAATCCAAGAGCTGATCAGTGGTATTGCCGCATTGCCTAGTTTGCAGTCATATGATGAAAAGTAAGTACCCCATCATACGCCTATCCTCATTATAGTTCGATTGCTGATCCATTATTTACCAGAGTCTATGTTGATGTTTGCAGATCCGGTTCAGCATGAATCTTCACGTGTACAGGGGGCATCCGGTGCCATTGCTACCCAACAGCGAAGAGACAAAAGTCTCTGAGCAATATTAACTAAACATTTCTGGCCTCATCCTTCTCGAGGGCATAAACTGGTCACAGTACATCTTTTGCCTCCAACCTTTACTAATATTCGACTTGGCTTTTCTGAGGCTAATTATCTTGAGGCTACTTCGGCGTGCTAGTGATCATCATAACAAAGTTTTGTGCTGACAATCCCAGTGTAATTCGTTTCAGGGAACCGCTGGTACTGGAGCTATGTCTGGTTTTGATTGTCGTCACCAACTTCTCTGCTGTCGTATATGCTCCTCTTAAAGCTAGCGCCTATTATCAATTGTCTCCGGCTTGTGCCAATGCGAGATGTACAGGCTTACTCGATTCTCCTGTCATGTTTCCTCTACCTGAACTCAACGAGGACCTTTACGAATCTGATTGACTTTACATAGATTTGCTTTGACCTTTGCCTCTGAAACACACTTCTGGTTTAGAATAGATATCTTCCATGAAAAATAGAAAATTAAGCAATGTGCTCGTATCCGTGGTATTCACGGCATGCATATAAGCTCGCTCTCTCTTCTTCATTCGGATCTATATACAGCCGAGTACAAATCCCCAAGACTCTCTATTTACACTTGCATAAACCACTCCTCTATGGCATCAACACTTCTGGACCTACTTTGACGCTCGAACTGACCTTTGGCATTAAGCTGGCATATTATCACACTTGAACCAATATTTAACTTTGAACGGTTTGTTATGCCTGAAGAGACAGAGAGTGAACGAGGAGGCAAGTAGAACTAACCTCGGCTTAAGGTAGCATTAATAAATGAGACTTCCCGCTTCTGGATCAGGTGAACTGCACAGGGTATCTGCACGCGCCGGGGACAGATAGAAAACTAGGCGATAGTGAGCAAAGCCGCATGAACAGAGGGCTTATAGTTTGTGTTAGTACAGGCGATGGCGAAATCTCTGTGGGATATTGTCCCAAAATAGAGTGTAGGGACAGCATATTGTTAACGCAAGGACGTGTCTGGTGTTTTGGTAATGGGGATCTAGAAGCCGCAACGTTGACCCTTTCCTTAAGCTTCTCTGAGGTGGTAATTGTAAACCATGTAGATGGTGGATTCATGGGGACATGGGTACATGACAACTGGGAATATTGCGAGATATTAGTGTTTGGTGTTATTCGAAGAGAGTTGGCATGCTGCATGTCCAGGAGACTTTGATCTTGTCTCAAGCTAAGAGCTCGCTTCCATTTGTTTATGCTGGCGGATGAGTAATCGGACACGACATCACTAGCAGCGGTAATAATGCAGGTGCCGCGAAGATTGCTCCTCTCTTACGCATCACTGTCCTTGTTCATGCCATTGCGGCTGGTGTATGAATCTGAGCGTTGGGATGACATTCTCTGGGTAGGTGGGGAATCCGGCTGTGGTCGCTGGTGAGAATCAGCCTTTATGAGTGGACGACACTTCTGGATTAATTACAAACAAGAAGTTGTAAACAACAGCGTATGCAGCAATGTTTGCGCTATCTCCTCACTCAGGCTAGTAGTCGGGCAGTTAGATTTACGAGAATGCTAGGTGGAGATCGGATTTACAGCAGTGAGATTATGCATCTGTAGCACGGTTTCTATAACACGGCTATGTAAGCACAGCCTTCCTATCAAGTCTCGAGTAATCAGAACTTCTATATTGCAGTCCGTTACATTCGTTCTTTCTCAAAAATTGGTTCAGTGCAAGCACAGTCAACATGTCGGCGGGAGACTTCTGCTTGTCTACGTCTGAAATGATTACTCAATTTATGGGTATTACTGAACAGACAGAAAGCCAGAGAGGAATATAAAGGACAGAGAAGACGTCAATGGGTTATCAATTCTCGATCTCAACTCATCTTCTACCACATAAACATACACCAAACTCAAAATGCAGTTCTCATTCACTAAAGTCATTGCCACATCTATCCTCCTGTCCCCTCTTCATGCAGCAACGGTCTCCTTCTGGCCCAACTATGACTGCTCTGGGACGCCGAACATAGAGTATAATCTTGGCAACGTAGCTTCTAATAACTGCTATCCGCACAACTTTGTCGGATCCGTGAAGGTATCAAAGTCAGCGCCTGGCTGCTTTACTTGGATAGCGTATGGTGGAGACGGCAAGAATACTTGCTATGGGCAGAACGCGCTCTGGGGAATTCACACGCTGTGTACCAGGGATCAAGAGCCTGGGCAGTCAGGAGAATGCTTCAGCTATGCTGATTATCCGGCATTCACAAACTGGGGTTGGAGGCAGGTTTTCGACTGTCCGAGCCCTGCATGCAAAGAGGCTGAGCTCAATCGTACTCTGAGGTAGATTGTCCACCCCTTGATGTCGCTGTTTAGCGCTAATTCATCGTCAGTACGGAGTAAGTATTTGGATTCAATGAGGACAGTGGAAGTCATGAACGCCTTGTCGTTGGAATTCGCTCCACTGAATGTTATTTCGCTTCAACATGGGCATGGGTGTTGTTGTTGATATTGATGATAGTGTTGAGACTGCTGATGACCATGGTGACCATCAGCACAGGGATCAACATGTCGTGACGGAAATTATATATATGGCAAAGTCAATCTTTGAGCAGTCTGATTTCAAACTTATAAACGTAGTTTGATTAATGGATGCATGTTTCTGCCAAGAAGTTTCATGATCGTTCTCTGTAGTCAGCAGTAAAACTAGTTCATGCCTAATGATTTTTGAATTACACAATTTAGTCATGATCCGGGAGTATTTACTACTCGCAAAGAACCTTGGATTTGAATAGCAACTACGAACCCTACCACCCTCCAATACTGCAGCACATCAGCAGTCGGAGACATGTCCTCAAACGAGACTATACCCATCAACAGAAGCTATTCAAGCAATCAGCACAAATCCAAGACCACCAAAATGTACTCACAGTAAGTCGACGTTCCATTCACCACATATGCAGTCTCCACGCCAATGTACACCCCACTATTAATGAAACTATACTTAGAATCTCCCGTCTCAAAGACGTAAGTCGTCCTCCCCACAAAATTCACTTCCCACCCCGTCTGCTTGACCACAATCGAAGCAGGGGGAATCTCCGAGGTCTGAATCAAGTACTCAAGCTCGAGCTTATACGGGCCAGTTCCATTGGCAGTTTGGTAGTAATTGGCAACGCCGGACTTTCCAAATGTTACTTTTCATCACGAGCTAGGGATACGGAATCACTGACCACAACTTTACCGGCAACTCCTTCGTTCCACTTGGCACAGAAAGTCCCTCCAATGACCGGGAGATAGGTCCGGTGGGCGCTCCAGATGTCAATACCGACGTTGGTGCCGGCTCCTAGGGTGAGGTTGATAGTGAATTCATATTGTGGCTTCGGGGTGACTTTTGGGGATGGCTTGCAGATTGTTTCGGTTTCAGCACGCGAGGCCAGAATACCGACAAGAGAGAGAATCGAGGTTGGGAACTTCATTGTTGTGTGATAAAGATCGTTGCTGCTTCTACTCGGCTTGAGGTTAGGGCAGAAGTAGTATTTATCTGCTCATCCGACTTCAATTGCATCACACGTCAATAGCCTGTTCGTACAATCTTACACTGGATTGCAGAAAGTAACCATATCTAGTAACTCTTGGTGATCTACACTCCACATTAGTACGAATTGGGAATCTCTAAAGAGGCAAGAGACGGCGATCTTCCCATGTGGTAGTGCTTATTTTTCGCTTAGGGCTGACAATAAATACGAAGCAATGAGTAACCGGTCGCGCAAACGTTGAACATCACGTACAGATCCAGAGACTGAATAAACAGCCAGAAATCCTCCACCTAGGGGGAAAAAGTTCTTGCAATATCCAAAGTCAGCGATGGCCACGAGACTATCTGTACAGGCCTTGAGGCTGGAATGAAGATCACGAAATCTTGTGCACGTGGAATGGATCAGCAACCGGTAGAATCAGGCAGTCCAAATTCATCGGCCTTTTTATTTACCCCAGCCAAGCCCAAAGGACCATCAAATCCTAGTTTCCGTTCCGAAAGCCCATGGACTAGTACCAGGTGACGTCCTAATCCCCCCAGACTATCGGCGGCTCTCACGGTACACGCGACCGCACCCCACAACTCGCCTCCACAATCTAAAAGAAGATAAACGATCAAGCATCTCGTCTATCGTCAATACAGCAAACAGATCACGTCTCTCCCAGATCCGATAGTGGCTGGCACTCATCAAGCCACAGAAAGTACCTGTGTATTTACCCGGTCTAAGCTTTCCAGGTCGTCACACCAATTCCGGTAACCGAGACACCCCTGTTCGCCCTGCTCGCCAATGACAAAGCTGGGAAGTCCCCTCGCCTCGGTTATGCATATTGATCGTGTACACTCTATCTGTACATGCGAAGCGAGCTGGTAGATGACCTCGATGTTGATCTTGATCTTGATCTTCAGAAGATCTGGAGAAGATAAAAGTGAAGCAATTCCCATCGCTGCATCTTTCTAACCATTGCCAACAACACCTTTAAGATGATCCTCCCCGAAGGATACGTCGCCGGCTTCGTCTGCACGCTCGCAACATGTGACGTGAAACTCTGGGGCTTCATCCACTACCAGCCCTCCCTCGTCGGCAACATCCTCTTCCTCGTGTTGCTCGACCTGCTCGCGCTCGCACAACTCGTCCTCGGAATCAAATACAAGACTGGTCTAGTATGCGTCTCGATGCTTCTTGGTCTAGCGTGTGAATCTCTGGGTTACGTCGCGCGGATCCTGCTGCATTACGATCCGTTTAATCGGGCGTATTTCCTGTGGTACTTGATCACTCTGACACTTGGGCCGGTGTTTATTGCTGCGGCAATTTATTTGTGTCTTGGTCGCATTGTGATGGTGTATGGGGAGGGAATGAGTAGGATTCGGGCCAGGTCGTATACGGTGATATTTATGGCTTGTGACTTGATAAGTTTGGTAGTGCAGGCTGGTGGAGGTGGACTTGCTGCTTCGGTGCCGTTGTGGAATCAGAATCTGGTACTTCCTTTTACACCTTTGTTGAATTTGACTGACTGGGAAGATTGATATCGGTACCAACATTCTTGTTGCAGGTTTATCATTCCAGGTTGCGAGCTTGTTTGCTTTCCTGGTCTGCAGTGCCGACTTTCTTCTTCGCGTAAGGAAGCGCAAGGATGAACGGAAGGTTGAGAATGCAGACTTGTACAACGACAGAAAGTTCAAGTTGTTCTTGGTCTGTAAGTCATCATGCCCAAATTTTCTACATGGTCGCTGAAATGGACAGCTCTCGCGTTCGCAACCCTCTGCCTCTTTGTCCGAACCGTCTTCCGATCAGTCGAATTGAGTGAAGGCTTCTCCGGTCGCCTAGCCAACAGCGAAGTACAATTCATGGTCTTGGATGGAGTGATGGTCATTCTCGCCAGTACAGCTTTAACTGTGATGCATCCTGGGTTTGCATTTGGAAACAAGTGGGCAGTTGGAAAATTCAAGTTCAGGAAAGAGAAGACTGTCGAGGAAGATGGCCCAACAGAGACCGGAGAGAAAACTGGACCATCGGTCATAGAGTCTCCAGTCACCGAACTTAGATGAGACATTATTTCATTTGTTGGCGCTGATGGGTATTAGCCCGGAGATGAAAGAGTTTTTCTAGAGATACTTACATAGATTTTTGGTTCTTAATCATATTCCTGGTCATTTGAATGCCCTGATTTATATCCCAGCTTCGTCAACAATATTGATGCGTTTTCTCTCCCATATTCTGCTGGCTATGCTCGATGTGCTCGTTTACCGGTAATTCCACTTCTGGAGTATGTGTCTCCTCAAATTACAACGCACTCGAATCCCGCTATCGAAGCTCATATCTTCTTCTCTTGAACGGTCTCTGGATCCTGCTCCTTTTCCATCCCACCACCAACCACTGCCACCACTTCGGCACTCTCCTCCATGTGCCCCTGCGTACCAATACTAAACCATGGAACAAAGAGTAATGCCGCTGCCGAAACACCAACACCAAACCAGAAGACCATCTTGTACGGTCGGAAGGCAGTCTGCAAAGCAGCATGGCCATCACTCTGGGCACTGTAGATACTCGAGGAAATACCAAGTCCAACTGCAGAGCATATTTTCATCACTGTGTTGAAAATCCCACCCGCAACAGATTGCTGAGCTGGCGGAAGCGAGGACATTACGTACATCTGTAAACAATCAGCTAAGACTCTCGTATAGGAACAGGAAGACTCACATTAGCGACATTGAACTCCAAATCAGCTCCAATAACAGATAGAAGCAATGAAGGAAATATGAAAGCCCAGTAGGAGCTATCCACTTCCATGGTCGCCAAGAGAAGTGATGACCCAAGGTATGCGAGAGCACCGATGCCAGTCAAAATTTTGTTGTTGATTTTATGAAGTACCAGACCCGCAATGATGTTGACGGCAATTCCGCCGATTGCCATGGGAAGAAGATGGATTGCAACTTTCAAGGACGAAAAGCCGAGAACGTTCTGCAGGAACAGTGAGAGCCAAAATGCACTCATGTTGAAAGACAGGAATCCGAGAAGGACGACGACGTTTATCTGATGGTCAGCTGGATTACCCAGTTGGATCTGGTGACTTACAAGAGAGAAGTTCTTGTCCCTCCAAACGTGAAGAGGCATGAGCGGATACTTGTAGAAAGCCTCCCAGCCAACAAACCCCACCATGAGAACAACACCAAGCACCAGCAGTGCAATGACATATCCGGTGCTCCATCCCTTCGGAGCATCACCAGCAATCCTAACACTTGTCAGCTTCCTTCATACTCTCTCCGGAGAGAAGATGATCTCACGTCAAACTCGAACAAAACAATGCAATCCCAGTAATGCTCAACCCCACCCCCAACAAATCAAACTTCTTCAACACACTCCACTCCACCTTCTCCGTCATCCCCTCCTGCGTCCTCGGCACCGTCCAAATAGCCGCCACAAAGAACCCCGCATACACAATCGCCAGAAGATAAAAGCTCGCCCTCCAATTAAACACACTCGCAACCACCCCAGAGAGCACACTGCCCATGACAAAACCCACGGGATTCCCCGCACTAAAACACGCAAAAGCGTAGTTCTTCCTCTTACAGGGCACTTCGTAAGCCGCACCGAGAATCCCGACTGCGGGGGGAACGGCGGCAGCGCTGAAGAGGCCGAGGAGCCCGCAGAGGACGTCCATGTACATTGCGTTTGTGGCGAAGCCGGTGGTGAGGCTGGCGAGGGAGAAGGCGCCCATGGAGGTGAGGAGGAGGGAGCGGCGGCCGAAGGTGTCTGCTACTTTTGCGAAGAAGAGGAGGAAGGCTCCAGAGCTGAGGCTGGATGGTTGGGAAGTTGTAAGTATATTCTTTTGAATCATAGTGAGTAGAAGGAGGAGGAGGATGGAAGAACTTACGAGGAAGAGGCAGTGATCCACGTGATTTGCGCACTACTCATATTGAGATCTCGTCCAATGGGAGCAGTAATCACTGTACAGATCCCATAGAGAAAGGACGACATGCCAATAGACATCGTTGCTGTTAAAACGAAGAGGCATTCCTGGATAGTAGACTTGAAGCATGCTGGGCGATCGCCTAAATTCGAAGGTTGGGAGGCCTGAGGTGGCTCGATTGAAGACTTGATATCTGGTGGTTCAATATTGGCTGCCATGATTCCTTGTTCTCCCCCTTCTCCATTCTTGTCCATGGCTTAGTGTTGTGCCGTTGTGAGGAAGTGAAGATATCAAAAGATATATCTACGCAGCCTAGAGGAAAAACGGTGTGGGTTTATTCCGTATCCGTACTTACCTAGCTTAAGCTTACCCAATCCCGCGTCAAGCCTGCATGCTGTGGTAGAAGTGGGGTCGGCCCGGCTCCCACGAGCTAGATACCCGTTCCGGACCGGGTTGAAGCCGACCTCGAGACGGGGTTGGATATTAGCAAAACGGAACACTTTGTGCGCGTAAAGCTGTCATTAGGTACCATAAGGTAAGTACGGAATGAAGAATTACATCACAAGCGGAGGCAGCCAATGAGAGAGTGTGTACGGCAACACGAGCCACCCGCCCTAAATATACATTATCTATAACCAACTACCTCTAGGGGTACTCAGCTTACTATAACTCGTCATACTTTTCAAATGCCTCAAATTCACTGGACTATTCCTCCTCCGCATATCATACGCCCTCCCACCTCTCACATCAACCCCCTCTTTCATATAGAAATGACCCGAATGATCATCCAGCACCGTATGGAAATCCACATTCAGCTGATCTCCTTGCGGACCACCTCCACAGCTTCCGTGGAGTCGTGCAGATGGCGGACTGTTGACTGCGAGCGAGAAAAGGTTCTGCAGTTCCGTGAAGTCGGTTACGAGACCGCTTCGCATGAATAAGTATCCCAGGCAGAAGACGTTGGTTGCGAAAACGAGAGCGAGGACGATGTAGAACATGCCCTGCCACCTCTGCGTCACGCCGGAAGTATACTGCTGCGAAGTAATAGTGGCGTTGAACTTCTCGTAGACTCCAGGATCCAGGATCGTGGCAGTGGAATTCCAGTAATGCAGGAACGTCGCGTCAGTTGAGCTCAGAAGCAAAGTACTGCCAGCCATGACAGCCAGAGTCTCGGAGATACTGGGTGTAAGGGTGCTGAGCTTCACATCGCCCCAGCCGGGAACAGTTGGGATGAGTTGTGCGAGTAATCGAGAAGTAGAGGAATTGGCATTCGAGATACCAGTGTTTAGCGACAGGGACAACATCCATTGTGATCCGACATTTCTCCAATCCAGATTTCGAGCACCTAATGGAGCGTTATCGACAGATCTGTTGTATGCCATCCGGTTGTCTTCGTAACAGTGTGATTCCAAACGTCCTCCACTCATTCCGGATACGTTGTATAGTGTACTACAATTGGGCGACAGGTACGATCGCAGCTGGCAGATGGTGTAATCTGGTGTTGAGGCTTCCGCAGCTTTGATCAGCATGTAAACGGAATCCGAGTTTACCACGGTGATGTTGGTCAAAGAGTTGTATTCCATGGGGTACTATTGCGAATTAGATTTATCATCATATGAGGGGTGGTAACATACCATTGGGAAAACAGGCGGCTGTCGACCATGGGTAGGGCCCCATTCAAAGATATCGTCCACCGCGGTCCTGTTGAGGTAATCCTTTCCGGGTATAACCTGAACATCGGCTGCAAAACCATCATAAGCTTGAAGTTGTCCCGGAATGCCACTCTTGTTCGTAGTGATGGCATTCGGAAACTCAGTATAAATCAGAGGCGCCAACTCCGTCTTGTTGAGATTGACACACAAGACATTCAAGCTAGGGCTGACAACTGCTGCCTCGATAGAGTACTCCCCGACACCTGCCAGTTCTTCCGGCTGCAGGACTCCATTCTGAGGCGTTCTTGCAGCAGCGAATATCCCGGCGTGTGGCATCGATAATGTGACATTGTTGACGATCCGCTTGTACTTTGCATAGGACGCTGTCATGTCGCTTGTATTTGTATCGACCCAAGTGCCAATCACAGTAGTATTATCGTGGAGCATTGCAGGGGCTGGAGGTCGGCCGGACAAGTCAGTTGATACACCTGTTCCTCCAGCATTGATAGAAGCCCAGGTGTCGAGGAACGTGATGGAGTTGTGATATGCTGTACTTGGTTAGGATGGCGATACAGCAGGAGATAGAGACATACCTTGTCCTGCATATTCCACAGACAAACAAGTCAACCCCGCGTACAGAGGATCAACCTTGGTAGAAACCGGCGTCTTGCAACTCTGTTCAATATACGGCGGATTCGCATAACTGGCTTTCACTAATCCCACCATCTCCTTATCCTCCCACTTTCCAAACTTCAAATGCGGCGCAACCAGAGCATCGGAAGCAGTAGTGTAGAACATAGCCATGAAAGCAGCTGTCAATGTAATGCATCCTAGAACCGTAAATCCAACATGTTGCAAAGCTTGCCAATGCGTGATCATGAATCCCGGCTGAACAACCCAAGTCCTCATCGTCATCTCCGCGATCGTCACCCCTCGTGAATTTTTCACCAGAGATCTCCGACTCAGCACCTGTCCCAGAAAGGTCACAAAGACCGTAACGAAGGACAGTTCGATAGTTTTTGCGAACAGTGCGAACAGGATCGATGCCGTCTCCGGTGTCAACTTTCCTCCTGAGTGTATCGCTCTCCCATATCGAGGCTGTACGATCGCAAGAACCAAATATATCCCCGAAAAAAGCGTCGAGTAAACCGAGAGGAAAAGAATAGAAATCGAAAGCCAACTCCTCCTCTTGGAATGTATGTTGTTTTTCGCAGCACACCCTGGTGTAGGCGCAAAGAGTCCTGCAGAAGTCAGCATAGTTCACTACCACTCTTGAGCGCACCTACTCGTCATGTCATTATTATCATTATTCATTGAGGGCGGTCCAGATTGCTGGTCCCTCGTACTCTGATATCCCAAATCGATATTATCCACCATTACACTCCTCCCCTTCGTGATATCTTGTTCGTCCAACGAAGGGTCCCTCGAGCCCCCGGTACTGTATCCATCTCGAGCCGGCCACGCAGGAGAAAGTAGAGGATTCGCAGATCCAGGCACGCTCGTTCCAGGCGAATTGATAAATTGGCCGATATTCGGAGAGCCTTTCGCATTCATCGATGGTGTAAAGGGTGTTGGAGGATCGAGAGGAGAGATTGTATCCGAGTTTCGACTTCCAACAGGTACTCGTTGTATCGAATGCCTCCTGTCCGATATTCCCAGTCCCTGAACTTGTGAATCCATTGGTTGGAAAGCCTGAATTGTAGGAATTGGCGATGTATATCGTGGAGAAGGATCTGTAAAGTCACCAGACATTGTGTCCGCTCTGTGGAATGTACCTCGAAGGTCTGGAGAAGGAGTAGTCGAGCTCATCGAGGGGGAATCGGAGAGGTCGCTGATCTGCGGCTTCAGGAGACTTCGACGGTCTGTTGGTTCTTTCGACATCGTAAAGACTCAATTGAGCTGGGGAAGGTAGATAAAGGAGGTCTTCAGCATCGGTGTACTTGCTGTGCCTTTGCAAACATTGATCAGTACAGCATGAGAACGTTCTGTCCAGGAATGACGCGAAGTGGAACGAAGAGGAACGATGAGATAAGATAGATCCGGAGGGGATCTATTCTAAGATGAGGCTGTAGGATGGAGAGAGAGCGACAAGTGGGAAAGCCACAGGCGTAGGAAAGGCTGACGGGAGCATCCTTCGATATAACACTGTACGAGTGGAGTGCATTATCATCAGAACTAACTGTTGGTGTGATATTACGGGGGGTGGTGGAGCACTACCAAGCATCCGCCGCATACCTTGCCTCACACACCTTGTGCGCAAGGCTCTCGCAGCAATCCAGCACCAGGACCAGCTCAAAGCGGGCACGGGCATGAAACCGGAGAGGCTTCTGTTTTGAACTTCTGAAAAGGCTTGACACATTTCATCCCGCTTGCCCCTTAGTTTCGGGGTCTTCGGGATCGTAAACTGGTGGAAGATGGGATGTTGGAGGGGAATTGGTGAGGGGGAATCGGGGAACATTGAGGGGAAACCGACGTGGCATCAAGCAAGTGTGGGATGACGAAGTGACACTGCAGGCTTGGTGCGTTGGAATCAATAAGTGCTTGCATAAGTGAGTGCATATCAACTGAAGTGCATTCCTCATGCAGAGAAGAAGTCCTGCGGATATCGACATCCTGACTGTGATTGAGGCCTGGAGCGGGAGGCTGCTCTGCTACTGCAGACACCCGCAGGAGTTTATTGGTTGGTGGCGTTAGGGCTGGTAGCGCATTGGTTTAGCACTGTTGATCGCGTCTAGAAGCCAGTAAGAAGTGTTGGAAGTGAGAGTAAGGTTCTGCTGCGGCAGGGAGGCTGAGCTTCGCCACAAAGTCCTGTGGAGAGAAGCCCTGTGAGAGTGACGGCACCAGTGATTGATCGGTATTGATCATACTCAGCACTAATAATGGAAGCGAGCGTCTCCTCATTCCTGATGTCCAGCCTTCAAAACCCGAAAGCGAAGTTCATGTTCTGTAAATAAGTCCACCTCCGAACCACATTGCCTCGTTTCCTATCAATACATCACTTCATCTCATTTCAATTTCAATAGCCACCACAGGTTGCAGGTAAAGTGCCTTGCCAAGGGACTACCCCAGTCTACGAGGAACGGACTCCAGAAAAGATCTCGTGAAGCGTTGAACACGAGCCTTGTCTCTCTCTAATGTTGCTTGGCATCCGAACTTCTTCCACTGTCCGGGTTACACGACCGACACTTGCATCTGCAATCAACGGAAAGTCGAAAAGAATAAATTTTTCCCCTGGCTCTGTTGGTGTTCCATGGCTTTCTTTATTCCAACAATTTCCTCTGACATTCATGGCTGAAGTTACGACTCCTCTGTTGTGGGTTTCAGATTGTGTCAAGACAGCATGAACCACGCAAGGAAGATCTGGATCATCCCGAAATAATTTGACTTTCTCATATGTGGGTATCCTCGTAAGCTTAATCTCCTCGTACCATTTTGACGGGATGGCCGAGTGTGCAATTGAGTTTGCCCGAGGACCGGATTGCTCTGAAGCTGGAGACTGGAGAGATGTTCCAGAAAATGGCTAGATCTGCTGAACCTTGCAGGCCGATGTGCTGGGCAAAGGGTTATATACTCGCCGAAACGTCCTCCGCATTTTGAGCATATCTCCAAAAATTGTTTCTCACGGTTGTAACAAGGTCTCGACGAGTGCAGGATCGATCTCCCACAAGTTCCGGAGTTGTTCCAGCGAGTCATGATTTGTCTTCAGCTTCTTCAATCAAGTTTCCGCTCACTTCAACAGGCTCATACTGTCGGCGCTACCATTCCAATGGTAGAGTATCCACTACCACTTTCACATAAGCTCACCTAAAGAATATCCCATAGCGCTTCATGATCTATCCTCCATTTTCAATTTCCCGTCACTCCACTCACCCCTCTGAAGCCATGTCTCCATTTACAACCTACCGAGCGATGCCCTCTGACCTCTACAAGAAGTCGACATCTGAGTGCAAGCATACAAAGAAGGTACTGACTAGTGATCAATGTTGGGATAGATGACCGAGCAGCAAGAATATGCATTTGTGAAAGATACAATTCGGGCAGGAGTGGACACTGGTCGAGATCCGAGCAGCTGATGAGGAGAATGGGTTCAAGCTTCCACCCCACGCCCGCCACTACACCCATCCATTGCTACCTCTGTCTCCATGTCTTTGAGTTTTTGACGTTCCATCCAGTAAAATCACAGGATAGCCAGTATCTCTTCCCCTTGAAGCCCTCACCGGGGAAGAGACGATACTTAGGCCCGCCATCTCGAGCACCACTACTAGCAGGCAACTACGCCCAAGCAAGAAACTTCATGCTCCAACAAATAGTACCTCTATCAAAGAAAAACGGAGTGGACCCAACCAGACATTCGCGTACATACCCTTTCCCATCATACCGCATTCATCCCTATTTGGGAGAACAGATCACCAAGGCAGCATTGTCTTCTCAGAATACCAGTGTCAAGGCCTAATACACCAAGGAGAAGCACGCATCGATGAGATTGCAAATGCTCAAGAGGCAGCTGTGTATGTGATTATATGATCAGCATGCGCGGGGTCATTCTTGAAAGAGGGATTTGAGGTTTTTGTGTGGGGTGATGTGGAGACGGGGGAGATGGATGAGAAATTTTGGGGAAAAGGGAGTTGAGGATTGGAAAAGAGAGAGATTTCTCGGCTGTCGGAGTGGGAGGGAGGTGGACGCAAAGGGTACGCTGGAGATGAGGGGTGGTTGGAGAATGAAAAGTGGTTTGGCGGACTTTTCTCTTTGATTTCTTGTCGCAAACATCAATCTCCACTCACTTCCTCGCTGCAAAGAGCGCCGCAGTAAACTTCTCGTTCGTAGTAACTATTCTAGCATTTCACAGATTCTCAACAACAACAGAGTCACGAACATTATCCGCATCTGAGCACTCATCCGCCAACGAGTAACCGCAACCGTCGCGGCAGCAGCACTTCTCATCACACTGCTTGATTTACTTGATCCAAAAATTACCAGCGAGGCAAGCCGTTGACCGTCTAAGTATTTCAAATACTCAAAGATTGCCGCATGTTCACGGCAACAGTCCATACTCGCTTCGCTAAGCGATATCAACAAATTCCCCTTGCCGAAGTCTGTATAAAAGACCTCAAGCGAGACATGTCCGAGTGATGGCAAATCAGACTTTGAAGATCTAGTCACTATATCTAATTTTTTGAAATCCGCTATCTCCAATCCAGAGGCTTGCCCAACAACAAAACGCCCCGCAGCCAGGTCCTCCCCTCAATCCAAGGTCACTTCACCACCCACGACCCTCAACATCCACGACAACCAAATCGGGTATCATATCTGATCGATAACCACTCCACTCTATCTCACCATGGAGTCCGTAGCCCCGCTCGTGTACCCTATCCCATGCATCAGTCGTATCCCCATCTTCAGCCAGGATCACAATTTCCACGCCCTTCTTTCTCGCCGTTTGAACAAGCGCCTTAATTGCATCCAAGCGATCTGCATTTGTCAAGAACGCTCCTTGTAAAGTCAACTTCATCATCGCTGGGAACACAGTCTCTTTTCTTTCAATGACATCCTGTAGCGCAGCTGGGATCCATGACGGGCAGTAAGTTTGATCTCCCACATATGTAACATGCAACTCCTCCAACGAAGCTGGGAAGGTTCGCCCCAAATCATATTTTACTTCCTTTTTGAAACCTCCCAAAAACATCGCCGAGATCTTCAAATATCTCAGTTTATCGAACGCAGCCAGCGATAGAGCACTCAAATGGTCGATGTCTTCAGCAGCGTCACCAATGTACTCAGAGTGATCGAGCACCAGATTCTCGAGCGTTTTTTCAACGGCCTTCATCGAATCCATAATATCAGATGTTCGCACGGTATACCAAGCCCATGCATGACCGACCTCATAGATGAACGTCTTGAGATTGCGACACGACTTCAAGATTTTGTCAAGGTCTGCAGCATAGAGTTGGGATCCCCGCAGTTCAAGCTCCTCGACCGGCGACGTAGCTATTCCAAGCGTACCAAGGCTTTCCGTCACTGCATCCTGCTCGTTATTTCCGAGTTGATAACAATGGACACGGCGAATCGATGGTAGTTCCATATAAGCGCCAATCATGTCGGGTGGGTTGGGGTATTTCTCATCCCAGCCCTGCAGGAGATTAGAGACAGTCACAGGCAGGGAGCGGGGTCTGGACATACACTTATCAGAACGTCTGTCAACTTCGTCAACACTGGCTTCTTATCGAACGGCGTATCTCGTCTTGATATCCTCTGTATGAAATGTAGAATCCTTTCCTGGGCATCCATCATGTCTCCAACAATTTGCAATCTCCTCAAGTTTGGCAGTTTTGAAATTAGAAGTGCGATGATCAAACCTTCATCACTTCCCTCTAAGACAATCTTGAATAATTTTTCCTCCTCTTTTGCATCCTCTACATCAGCAACGGCCTTCATAAGCAGAGAGTCTACATCCATTTGGTCGTCTGGCCCCCCCTTTCTGGAATTGGAATCTCGCCCTTCACAGAGGGGCACGAGGTCGCCTTCATCCTCGGAACTGAACATATCGCGCATGGCGAAGGTCTGGACCATGGCCGCCAGACTGGTATTTTTGAGAAGATGGTAAGTTAAAGGGATGAGAAACTTGGTTCCAGATGCACCGTTGGAGCCTTCGAGATCGATGTTGGAGTACAAGGCGGGAGTTGCGAGGCGGTTAAGTGTTCGGGACGTGAGAGCAACAGCGTGCAGAGCATGTCGGGGTGTGAGAGAGATGATGCGGACGAGGAGTTCCTCGGACAATGCTTCCAGGGATGGAGCCATAATCGTATTCGAGATCTTGAAACTTCAGATGCAGACATCTCTTTGTTGACAGCAGCCAGGATAGGTGTGCTTTATAGCAGATCTTGGCCAGGCTTCCTGTGCCAACTAATGAAGTCATTGGAGTAAGCTGCATAAATCCTTCCATTTCACGGCGGCGATGCCCCACAAACTCTAGGCACTGCAGCCAGCCGGCTTCTCACTACTTTATGAGAAGTTTAGGCACTTTACTGCTAGGTCAAGCATTCCGGGTAATATCCCGGGCATTCTAACGTTGTTCACTCAAAAAAGTCGGGTCTTCGCGAGCAAGAATCCACAGATCAATGCATTGTCAAACCTAACTTTTGATCTAGGTTGTAGCACTGCTATGTCCCAAAAACTAATGAGAGCTTCAAATGAAGAGGATATGCCATTGAAATCCATGACAACAGCAACTCCCTCTTGTTTTCCCTCGCTTGGCTTTTTCCCGAAAACACAATGCATCCGGTAACAAAACTAGGTTTTGCAATACTCTTCTAAACCAGATGCCAGATCAAGATGTTGAATGATCCTGAGCTGAGATCGTTGCTCGTTCTAAACCTATTGTCAAAGCTGTCCAGAACCACCAATCGTGAACCATTTGATGTAGAATGCAATCCATTAATTCCCGCTGCTTGAACACCTTTCTTCTCCTACCGAATGCTGTTGAGACAGGTAAGGATTGACCTTCCAGAGCATATAGTCCTCATGCTCTAAGGATATAATACACGTGGGTTAGGGTAGCGTACGTAACTCAGGCTGTATTAGAAACTAAGCTAAGAGCTATAAGTTCTTCTCTCCTTCGCAATTAGCTTCTAGGTAAGTAATATTAAGTAGCGATCTTTCAGCTATCCTTTAATGATCCATTTGTGCCTTAAAGTCACCTCGGTGTGCTAGTAATCGTTTCAAAGGACTAAAAGGGCGTTCAGTTGAAATAAAGAACTGCAACAGTTCTGAACCTTCCATTCGTGATCCAAAGACGGCAAATCGAGGAGGAGGTTCTTCACTCATCAGTATGTGTTAGAAAGCTCTATGGATCTAGTCACGACGATTTATACAATCTTTGCTACTGTGCTGATACAATCATCCGCCGAGGGCGCCTTCCATTACCTAGGTGTGTCGTCGCTAGTTAGCATCATTACTCAGCGCACAACGTCTCTGCCCACAAGCACTTTCATCGCAGGCATCAGTACAGTAATAGCGACACCATATCGTCAAGAGACCACAACTGAGTTCATTATAGCCACAGCACCTCTCTACCAATCCTTTCAAGTCACCATCATGGTTGGCATCCATAATTAAAACCACAAATCACAGATGGTGCATGCAAGGCTCCCATTCCTCTACCACCGACGCCTTGCGAGTCCTGAACATCCTCCTCAACTCCGCTCTTGTCTCCACCGGGGTTGGTTCACGCTAATGGAGAGCTTCACTGAAATCATGTCTTTACTGATTGGGTAGAGCTGGATACCTTTCCAAAACCAGCTTGGACTGCCCATCACGTGGAAGAAACCACTATGACGACCGCTCACTGTCCCGCAGGATTCCTCATCGCCCACTCAATAAGTCCAGTAATAGTTGATCTTTTCGCACCTCCCACCGCCGACAGTACCTCCCAAGGGATAATATTCTTATACCCATCTTTATGCTTCGACATAAGCGAGAAGATTTTCGACATGCCATCATACTCCTTGAACTCGTCCAGCTGCTTCAATAAGCTCGACTCAGGATCGTTCTGGAGAACATATTCAAGAACCAGAGCAGCTACTGCAGCAGCCATTGGCGTTGCCACCGACGTGCCGGACATTGATCGTCTGGCATTGGCGTTTCCGTGCGTCGTCCAGGATGATACGATGTTCTCGCCGATGATGCTGAAGTTTTTGTCTGCTTTTGGTTCGGGGTTGAAGCTCGATCGGCCTCCATCGCCAGTTGCAGAATTGATACAGAATACGCCTGTCATACTGGCGGGGAATGCGATGGCTCGACGCGTACCATTGTTCGAGGCGGCGGCGAAGACGAGGACTGGTTTTGCGAGAGCTTGTCGAATAGCTGTGCGGACGAGTGGAAAGATACCATAGAATCCAAACGACATGGTGATGATATCGACATTCCAGTTCCGTTTCCCATCACTGTCTCTGTCGGAGTTACACGCACGAGTGATTGCCTTGGCAGTCAGTAGTTGTCAGAAAGGAGACGACAGTCATACCTTAGCAACGACTTCTGGATCGAGATTACTGTCGAAATCCTTTGCTACCCTTGCGACATAAATATCTGCTTCCGGAGCAACTCTCCGCAGAATTCCGACACAGTATGTTCCATGGCCGCACGTATCGAACGCTTTGCCTTCAGGATCCAGAAAGTCTTCCGGGGTTTTGATTGGCCTGTTCATGCGGGATGCTGATTGATCTTCTTTGAAATCAGGATGAGAGAGATCGATTCCTGTGTCAAGGATAGCAATCTTGACTCTCTTTCCTTGTGATCTTCGGAGGTGTATTAAGAGATTTTGGGTCTCGGACTCAAGGCTATCGAACCAGCCATTTACTGCGAATGTGCTATGGAAAGTCAGGTAAATTCACAACTCCATCCACTAACTCACCTATCATCGTCTTCTTTTCCTCCTTTGGCATCAAAAAGCTGGCTATAATATTGTTGCACTTTCTTTCCGCCGTCTGGGGAAGACCCACGTTTCTTGCCAGGATTCGCAGAAGCAGATCTCACCTCACCTGTTCCAGGCCCTTTGTCTTTCCTGCTGTTAAGTGACCGCGATCGAGAAAGATCAGGGGATGATTTGGCTGCTGGATCAGGCTTCAACGATGGGGAAAGAGGCTTTTGCTCGGGTGTCTCTTGCTTTGCAGTATTGGAATCTAGCTTTGCAAACCATGGTTTCTGAGGCGGTGGTAAAGGCTGGCGCGAAGGTTTTCGGAGAGGCTTTTCAGATTCCCCGACCTCACTTCCACTCGTCGAGCCAGCTTGAGCCGATCCGAATTGTGAGAGGAGATCATTCCTTGAGATGTGACGAAATGGGATCCTATCTGTCGGGTCTCTTGTCTCCTGTGAGTTGGATCTTGGCCGAGGCGTCACATTGCCATTTGACTTCAACTTCCCTGTGTTGGCTTCTAGACCATCTTTCCACTTCTCAAGTCCAGAACTATGCTTGGGTGCAGAAGATGGTCGTTGTTCGGGTTTCTGAACGTTGATAGATGGAATTGGAATTGGCGATGATGGCTCCTCATTCTTGGATGTAGGACCTCCTTGTTGAGACGGCGAGTGGCCTAGCTGTATCATGACATCTTCCCGAGCCTGCTCCCTTCTGGCCTGGGTCTTTTCAATCCTTGCTTTCTCCTCTGCTGCTGCTCTTTCAGCACGTTCTTTGATTCTCAACTCCTTAGCCAGCCGTTCGCGTTCAAGTGCACGAGCTTCAACTTCCTCTAGCCTCTTCTTCTCTGCATCCTCTTTAGATTTATTCTGGTCCGATACCTTCTCCATGGCCACCTTCTCCTTGATCGGGCTCGTGCCTGCTGATTTCTTGGCGTCAACTTCGGCCTTCTCGACGGCTTTTCTCTTCTGTTCCATCTTTCGTGCCTCTCCCTTCTCCGCTTCCTTCCTTATCCTTTCTGCCTCCTCCGCAGCTTTCTGTTTCTCCGCCGCCTTCTCTTTCTTACCACTTTCAATCCTCTTTAAATTCTGCTTGATGGCTTCTCTACTCATCGAAATTTGCTCATCCGAAGCATGTAGTTCAAGTCTCCTCTCCAGCACCCACTCATTCAACTCTTTGGATTTCCTGTACAGTCGAGAATGATGCCAACAGGCCGCCAAGTCGTAAGCGATTTTGAGCACTTGAATATCGACGTCTTCGTAGCTCTTGTACACTTCTTCATACAGTTTGGCAGCCGATTTGAAGTTCTTGAGTGCGACGTGATCTTGCGCTAGGTTCAATTTCACCTCCAGAAGCTCCTTCGAGGGTGGATCACCTCCCTCGACTCGGATCCGGGTGTCCAGAGCAGCTTGGTCTAATCTCCTGGCTTCTTTGAAGCGTTTGAGGGAGTATAACGCCTGTGCAAGGGCTTCTTGGTCGGACACGGTACAGTTGTGATCGGGACCCAGAACCTCCAGGCTCCAGTCGAGATTTAGTTGACACAGAACCAATGCTTCTTCGAATTTACCGTCCTCGGATAGTCTAATAGCTTTCCTGCATCTCTCTTTCCACTTCAAGGCTTCTTCTCGCTTGGAGCCATCCACGTACTTGTCGAGAGCACCCATCACATGGATGAAGACTTGACATTATTCAGCCCCAATCTCGGGTTTGACTGATTACTGGTGGTGAGATTTTGGCCCTAGCGGGGCTGGCCGTGCCGCATAGACCTGTCGATCTTGGCCGTCTGGATAGTGAGCGGGGGGGAGTTACAAATTCGAATAAATTTATCCATTTTATGCTACCTTACAATCCGCTATATCTGTATGAGGAGTAGCAGACTTAGACATCTCATTGAATGCTATTTTCAACAATTATTTCCTACAATATGGGCCAGGGGGCTGATCTCTCATACATCTCTGTACAACTTCTAAGCGCCGGTACCTGTGCCAACCTTGAGGATCCAGAGGACCCCCGCACGAGCGTACAAATAGTGGCTACACCGCCATCCTGACCCATCATTGGAAGAGCAGTACATGAATACCCAACAGAAGGAATGCCTGAGTTCTCCATTCCTGCTCGCGCAGAAACCACGCCAACAAGTCTCTGGGTCACTATAACAGGCGCCGCATTTACTTCCACGATCCTGCTCGGACCAAGTCCCACCCCCACTCCACCACCCGCTGCGAGCTCCTCACCGAGTAGAGGGACAGTCATCGGCGCAATCGTTGGCTCGATATTTGGGTTCTTGCTTCTCTTATTCTTGATCTGGGCTTTCGTTCGAACAAGTCGATCTAACTGGGTCCCGCATGACAGAGGGTCGATTGATGAGGTGTATGTTGCAAATCCGAACGTTGCGCCAGTACGTTTGGTTACCGTGACTGAGAGGACTGAATATACTGCTACAAAGGTTGTGATCGAAAGGACGGAAAGATCCGATAGGTTTATGTTGTCTAGGCCATCGAGAAAGAGGGAGCGCCTGCCTGTCGTGTATTCGGAATCTTCGGAGAGCTCGAAAAGCTCAGATCACTCGTGAACGACCGGCCAACTGAATTGGCAGTAACCACCTTTCTTGTTAATACAAGTCTTGTTCAAATGTCCAAGACGTACTTCCTCGTCCCAACTCGGGACACAGTTCCCAGTGGTTCAATCTTCCTTGGGAGCATCATCAAATCCCCTTACTCCCCAGAACTTTCGATTAATGGAAAGAATTCACATCTTCTTTCAGCCCTCGAAGTCATTGAAACTCGTCTGGTTGATACATCTCAACAGCTATCTAAAAGCGGCAAAGGGAAGACAGGAGTCTGGGCAGAGTTTCTGGGTGGCATGGGGATTGGTGCAGATATCAGTGGGACATGGGACAACACAGAGGAGTCAACATATAAGTTCTCCGAGCTAATTACCAAAACCATTTCCCCATCACTCTCCGAGATCCAAGCTATCTTCAAGGAACCAGAAGTCCAGCAATGCTTGAAAGACAGTCGCTTCCGGAATAACCTGTATATGATTATCGGCATCAAGATAGCAAGAGGAGCCGACGTTGCGATCTCCAGAATTCGCGCCAGAGGCGGGAATTTGAATTTTGGGATTGACATGACACCGTTTGGTGTTCCAATTAAAGTTGGGCCAGAGTTTGAACTTTCGAGGGAGGTAGGACACTCGGTTGAAGAGAAGCATACAAACGATTTCGTGTTTGCATACCGGTTGAGGGAGATTAGGTACCGAAGAAAGACTGTTGAGGATCAGAGGGAGTATCGAAAGGGAGACTTGATGGGAGCTGGTCAGAGGAACAAGAACGGGACAGACGGCGATGAATCGACGGCTGGTGTAGGTGCTGAAGTGGGCTTGGAAGATATGAAGGTGGATCAAGAGGAAGAAGCTGAATTGATTGGTCTAGGAAATGGCGATGTCGATGGAGACGGATGGGCTGCTGACACAACATCGGCTGTCGATGAAGATGGAGAAGAGGTGCAATTTGTGTTACTTGAAGATGATGATGATTGATTAACGATACCAATGATCTGTATAGCAAGCTGAAGAGCGAAATGTAGGGACACACAATGAAGTTTGACCAAGGACAATCTGGCTGGTTGATATCACATGACCAGGCGGCTTCACCCTGACTATCGGCCTGCCCCTCTCGCAAACCAGCTTCCGAGCCTAAGAAACGGTACAAGAGCAGAACGTTCAGAGCTAGCCACTTCCAAAAATATCTTGGACCCTGCGTTGAGTTAATTTGTATAAACAAGGTAGGACTTAGGCTAATAATCAACGCGACACACTGCCGGGGTAAAGATCGGTATCGCATCCTTTTTGGGTCCGGAGGTTGATCAACGTTAATTAAACAACATGGACTGACATAACTAATGCATTCTGTGCCCATTGGATTGTGGATGTATATGAATTGTATAAGTGGCACGGCTCCCATTGTGCTTTTGACGAATATTACTCACACGCAAACTTACAAGTCATATCAATGTTCTCCCTCACTTCCATCATACTAGCTTCCATGGCTATTCTTGGCTCTACGTTAGCTCAAAAGAGTAACTTCACTTCACCAACCCTGCAGGGCGTTTCATATGGAGGAACTGGCTGTCCTCAAGGCTCGATCAGGTTTTCTGTACCGATCAATTCCACTAGGTAAGCCAACCAACGATTTATTGCATAGAAGAATGTTCAGACTGACGAAATGTCTATAAAAGATATGCTCTTGCATTCAAAGGTCATGCAGCTTCAATCGGAGACGGTGCTCCAGTAACAGAAGCTCGGAAGAACTGCCAGATCAACCTCAATCTCAATTATCCTGTCGGCTACCAGTATGCTGTAGCCGGAAATACATACTCCGGATACGCAACACTGGATTCTGGAGTTACTGCTGTCCATCAAAGTACATATTACTTTTCTGGATGTAAGTTTGCCATCCAACTTTTCTGTCAGGCAATATTAATTAGAAATCGAACAGACGCACAGCAAAGCTCCACACAAAAGACCTTTACGGGACCGTATAACGCGCCGTACTCGGTTCAAGACTATGCTGTAGATGAGAAGATTTGGTCGCCGTGTGGCTCGACTGCAGTATTGAATATCAATAATCAGGTGAGGATTACGAGGCCGAAGAACACAACTGGATCAGGGACACTGTATGATTCTGGGCTGTGGGATATCTCGCTGGTGTGGAGGGCCTGTTCTCAGTGATGATGGTTAATGAAAGCTGACTGGAATGGGAAATATTGATTTGGAAGAAAATGAAACGAAACATTTTGTAGTAGCACGGGCTTGTCATCTCTGTTCTGCCTTACGTTGGGGTTCGCGTGCAGTACTATTAGCGGCGAAGACTAAGACAAGCGAGTTGTTTACTTTCCGTCTCCTTCACCGCGTCAACGTCATTTAAAACTCACCTTCGATAAAGATTTCACGATCGATCTAGCAGCCTCCGTCTGCACACATCAGGGTACATACTTCAACAGACATTGAGGTCTAGATACAAATACGACTCACCCAAAGCGCAATAATGCAGTACGAACGCCAACTGGTAAGGCTCACCCTCTTCTCTTTCCTTCGTTTGGAGTATCTCTATCTCATGACGCCAGCATGCATACTAGAACTTACAATCTCTACTCCATAGGACAAGATCTGGCTCCGACTTCAAGATCCCAACGCTCCTCGGTCCCGCCATATAGTCAGCACACGTGAAGTTTTCGACGATGTCTGCGCGGCGTTCTTGCAAGCTGAACTAGGACCAGAGGGAGACAATCATGCTAGTTCCGGACCGTGGGGTGGAGATACAGAACAGAAAATCGACGATATTAAGACGTACCGTGCAGAGTGGAATGTTTGGGCTTATTACTGTGAGTCGATTCCTTGTCTCCCCAGATGAATAAAAGGAAAGGGAAAAGAGTTATATCTCATGCCTCTCAAGATATTGACATTTCCAACCTCTCTGGATACGTCTGCTGATTACATTCTTCAGATGGCGAGCAAGACCCCTTCCCAGGCATTGATCCAGCCCTCCGCACATACCATACTCACAACCTCAACTCCAACACGTCCCCTAGCAGACAACGAGACACCTATTTCCCTTCATACTCCATTGAGGATACGACCAGGGAGAAGAAAGACATCGGTGCTGAACTTCGAGGTCGCCACGCCAGCGAGAAAGAACGAGCAGATGATCAAAAGGACAGGGCACTCCGAGCGATCGAGAAGCGAGCAGAGGAGGCGAAGAAGTTCATGGAGTATCGGCGACGCAAGGAAAAGGAGAGGAAGGAGCGCAAGCGGAGAGAGCTTTTGAGCGTCGATTCTAGGGACAGGGATGGGCACCTGGATGTGGAGGGTAGGGAGACGAGAGGTAGTGCGTATGACACACGATATGGAGAGGTTGAACGAGGTTGGGGATACGATACCGGACACGGAAGACACCAGGAACCGGACCGTGGATGGTCTCATTATGGCGAGCAATCTAGTCCTAAGCCTGTAAGATCTGGATATATTGACCGTGAAAGTCGGCGTGGCGAGCGACATGCCGTCTGGGGAGAAAAGGATCAATATCACGCCGAGCGACGCTCCGACTTCTCACCTCAAGTTCAGACAAGCAAGCAAAACTACCCAGGCAAGACCCGAAGAACTCATAGTATTGACAACCACCATGCTCGATACCCACTCTCTCTCCACCGCGAAGATGCCATCCGGAACCTCGAACCCCACGACAAGTATCGGTCATCCCAGTGGATTCATGGCAGTCAGGCCGAGGAATACTCATCTTACCAAGGGGTCTCAAAGCAAAAGGGTAGAGAGAATGATTCGCAAAGTCGTTGTGATCGGGGATTTGGGATCTTGAGGGATGAGAAGGATTGTTATAGACAGGTGAGTTGAGTATATTTGTCTGGACTAGGAGGGAGATGAAGTACGAAATAGAAGTGGGAACGGAAATGCTGACTTGGATTAAATAGGAAAGGAAGAGATATCGAACGGAATAGGCGATGACAGACAGAGATATGAGCTGGCATGCATGATACCGAGCGGTCTTGAAGTATTTTGAGGTCATGCCCTGTTGAGTTGAGACAGCTAGGGGTGCCAGACTGGTTGTATTTTATTGAGGCAGCGGTTGGGGCAGAGAGCATTTCCGGTTGTTATTCTCAATCATCCACGAAGAAAAAATTCTGGTTGATTCTGAGGATTTGGAGAGTGCTTTACAGAACAGAAAGCGGACCTTCCAACGATGAGCCTTTCTTAGATATCAAATGAAAGAATGTTGGTGACATCGTTAGCCTTCTTTGTCTTTATTACCGGAAGTAGTGTTGATACACACCCTGTCCACTGTGCTGAGTACCAATTCATGCCGCACCTCATCGTGTTCCTATCGTTTAGCCGAACCTCTGTTGACCTTAATCTTCACATAATTATCATCTCACGTTCACTTCAACTTCACGGAGTCATCATCCCGCTCCTTCTCTGTCGCTACATGCTAATGTCTCTTAGAGAAAAGAACGACAAAATAAAGCAGACGCCATCTCTACTAACATCAAAATCGACCTACCATATTATCATCGCAAACACATGGAAAAGGCCTCAACTATAAACCGTCATGTCATCATTTCATTCTCGTAATTCATACATCGAATCATGTATTCATCCATCATCCATAGCTCAATCATTCCCACTTCCTCCACTCCTCCTCCAACCTTCCCACCTCCCTCTCCACAACCCCAGTCACACTCGCATTCCCACCCGAACTCCCGAAGCCCTTCTGGCGTCTCAACTCGCCCAAATTCGCCTTATACGCACTCTCAATCTTCTTCCTCTCCCTCGCCTTACTAGCCAGCATCTTGTAATCCCCGCTATCGACAGCCAGTCTAAAAATACCCCTCATCTTCGCACTGTAAAGTTGACAGCTCGCCTTGGGCAACCTCTGAAGATTCTTATTAAACATCAGCGGAATAGCCTTATTCTCCTCTAATTCCGGCCAGACGACCTCGTCAAAGCATTCTTCGCAGACGGTGAACTCGGGGAGTTGCGTGATCATGTGCCAGCGGCGGTCAAGAAGGTCTTTATCCTGCTGGCACTCCTCGAAGAGGGCAAGGCGGCGGGCGAGGCTGGCAAGGTCACGGGTATCGGGCGCGTCGTCGTGGTAGGAGGCGAGGTCGGCGGTGGTTTCGAGGGCGTCAAAGTACTGGACGAAGCGCTTGCTGTCGAATCTAAGGTCGCAAATTCGGGGGCTGGGGGTGGTCTCTGTGCGGACGAAGACGCCGCGGATGGTCGGGAGGAGGACCTCGACGCTTTTGACGCAGCTGAAGCAGACATCGAAGCCGCGGACTGGGGCGCCGGTTTTGTGGTCGATGACGGAATGCCATTGTCTGATCGCTTCGTGTTTACCGAGACAAGGTGGGTAGCTGGCAGCGATGTTGGCTAGGCCGTAGAAGAGGTTTAGATCTCGTCTTCTTTCTTTTCTCGTCAATAGCCAGGCGATCCTGTACCATGGAGAGCTACCGAAGTCACAGAGAACCTCGACATCTGGCGGTCGACGAGCGGCAGGTATAAACAAGTTACGGAAGTCGGTTGGAGCGATGATGGAGTTGAAGCAAGACGGACAGATATCGAAAGATGGGCATTGAGGTAGAGTCAACCAATCGTTTCGTCCACGAGTGAAATGCGTTCGCGGACATGTTGGGAGCGGCGCCACACTTCCACGTTCAATATCCTGAGAATATCTTCGATATGATCCAACTGGCTTCTCGAGATTTTGAGATGGAGGCTGCCATGAGTTGGCGACTCCAAATTGTGGAATAGCTGGCGAAGTTCTTGTTTCTCCTGGCGAGTGTAGATCAATCCTTGACGGGATATGAATTGGAAGAGATGTATAAGATGAGTTAGATGGGCGAGGCTCGCCTGCTCTTGATTTGGGTCGTGGGACATCCACAGGATTCAATCTATCTGCTCTTGGTATTTCGGAATTTGGCGATACAGGGCGCGACGTATTTCTTCTTCCGGACTGTGGGAACGTTTCTGCACGTTCAACGTAATCTCCTCTAGGAATCTGACTTGGAGAGACCTTGGGAGAAGGTAGTGGACTCGCACGTCTTGATCCCTTGAGATCCATGGAGGACCTGTTAGATTTAGACGGAGATCTGTGATGATAATCTTCTTTTCCTCGAGGGCCAAGATGGCGTCTGTTCTTATCGGAGTCACTGTCCGCAATCTCATCATCACTGCTGCTGTAATATGATTTCCTCTGTGTTGACGATCTCGAGGATCGGGCAGATTTCTCGCCTGGTCGACCACCAACTTCTTCCATCAGCTGCTGCGGTCTAGTCAGCTTTTCGAAATTCCCACTGTTCCGTTTATCTGAAGATGGCGTTCCAGGACGCGATCCAGAAAAGCTGCCGCTATTTCTTTTGTCCGTCGGAGTTCCACTCTTTCCCCATAGCGCGTCATGAGCTTGTTGTCGAGGGACGGATTGGGTGAAGTATTCCTTAGGCCTGATAGCTTCTGGCGAGAGAAAGTATTCTGCAGCTGGTGTTCGTGGAGCTGGTGGTTTGGGAAACTCCTCTTCTCTTGGACTTGCTGCAAACGCAGAGGCACTTCTTCTGAATTTGGGTGGGATCTCTCGCGGGACTTTGGTTTCGAGCGTTGGGAGGTCCTGTCTACTCCTCCTGCGCTCAAGCGGTGGGTGTGGTTGCTCGATCTTGACCTCTCTTCTAGAATCCTGTCGCGGTGGCCTCTCTGGTCGATCTTCCTTCCTGGATTCCTGCCGTAGAGGTTTCTCGGGCCTCTCCTCCCTCCTTGTGTCCCTTCTCTCTTCCCGCCTAGAATCCTGTCGTGGTAATTCTTGTCTCTGCTTTTTCTCTTCTCTTCTCGGATCATATTTCCCCTGTTCATACCTTGATCCATTCTTTATCGGCTCTTCTCTCTTTGTATCCTTTGCTTTGTTTCTTAGCTCCCTCCTCCGCTGCTTCACCTCATCGTCCGAACCAGAAGTGCTCTCCGCCTTTGGGACGAAGACAAACCTCCTCTCTGGATTACCATTTGCATCTTTTGGGCAATCGACATCTTGTAGGAACGCTCTTTCGGCTGCTGTGACCTCTGCTTCGAGTATGATAGGATTCTGGTTGATTTTACCCCGCAGTGGGGGGTCGTAGGACGGGATAGAAGGGGATGATTCTCTAGCTAGGGAGATAGCTTCGTCTTCTACGATAGGGCGAGGGGGAGGTGGAATTCGAGGTCCTCGACTTCTGCTGCGTTCTCGTTCTCGTGGGATGTGATGGGTGGGGGTGTGGAGGAAGGACGGGACGTTGGAGCTTGGAGGCTGAGGATTTCTGTGAGATGGGGGATTAGATGAAGCTTATTTGAGGAATAAGGAATATGTTATACCTGTCGTACCCAGATGGACTCTTGTCTCTCGCTGTCTTGGTCTTGAAGTAGCCATTTACCAGCAGCTCATTAATTCGCAGCCCCTCCATGGTCAATCCTTGGCTTAGCCCGAACCTAGCAGAACCTCTCGGAGGTTGTGGCCATAGGACGAAGGTGTATTAGATGTTAATAAGAGATGTATTGAGGTGGGAATGACTTCAGTTCGTAAATAATACACTGGCCGTAAGAATGTTGTCGTAGTATCACTGGTATGGGTAAGTTGGCGGTTACAAGGAGGTGGGCTGGCTGGATGTACGAAAGATGCGGCGGCGTCAGCAAGTGCAGTGGCCAAAACGTCAAAGACAAGACAGGACAAAGACAACCCCTCTTCAACTGTCCTTTACTCTCCTCTGCATTACGGAAGTTACCACACTACGGAGTATTCACGGGAAGAGCGCACAAAGTGTCAGGATACCGCGTAAAAAGATCCACAAAAGAGCGGTGGAGATATCTTCAAGTGAAGTGTGTGGTGTTTTCTCCAGGGACTAGGCTCTTAGGGGTGTGTACATGCATATGGTGGAGGAATATCATTTGTTCATTTGACGGGTAGAGGGGTGATTTGCCCCCGGATTTCAGCGAATTGGTAGAGACTTGTGCCTGAAAATTCTGATGATCTACAGTAATGTCTGCATTTGGTTGGAGGGGTTGGCTGAGAGGAGAAGGTTTTTGACTCTGTTGTGCTCTTTCGACGTGATGATATGATTTGATGAGTCTATTATTATGGATCAATCAGGTAGAGACAGATGTAGTGATACTCTGAATTTTCACTTTGTTGTCTAAGTATTAGTGGAGAAGTGAAGCCCAATTATACCTGAACACGAGACCAATGTCCAAGTTGAGGTTGTACAGCAAAAGGAGACAAGGGAAAGAGACACTCAATCTGGACACAAAGGATCGTTGTGACAAGCATCCAGTTCTAGGCAACTTTGTCGTTTCGAATTCTCCATTCTTGTCATGTGTTATCCCAAGTATCCAAGGATCTTTCGATGCCGTACAGACAGAACTCCGGCTGGCAAGTATCCAGCGCTATGAATATATGCCTTTGAGCCCAATAACAAAGACTTGGTATGCTGACGTCCTTTATGCCTCAAAAGTAGACTTTACTAGATTACCTACCAAGGAGGAAGAACATACACGATTCAGCGCTATACATTAGTCTCGTCCACATGTCAAAAGGTGACCTTGCCGTGGCCCGTTCCGTTCCCGTTGGATTGAAGTCATAGTTATGCCTTCTCAATCCACTCTTCGAGTTATGCCTTCTCGATCCACTCTTCGAGTTATGCCTTCTCGATCCACTCTTCGAGAACAGTTTGCTTCGGGTCCATGATGTATGGAGTGTTATAGAAATAGTATCATCTGGATGGCAGTAGAACTTCGGACATGCCGAGTATGGTCCAAGAGTTGTGAGGGGAGCATTTGCATCCGAGTTCCGGGGTTGAGCATTTCCAAGAACTTCTCCACTGTTGCGGTGGGTTATTTACAGAGATAAAGAACTCCCAAAGATAAAAGAGAGGGCTATTTCAGCCAGGGCCCGTGGATACTTTAATCCGAACCTTATGCGTTAGACATTCTTCAGCTATCATTCCTTTCCAGACGTTCCATAGAGTCACTTGGCTATATTTAGCGGAGATATTGAGCCGGAGCCATGATGTCTGTCGAGTCCCTTTGTAGCCCCTTTGTCAGAAACCATCTAAACTGAGAAGGAAGTATTATTAGTCGTTCTTTATTCCCAGCTAGGATACAAGTCATGCCAGGCTAACATCGTACCGCTGATGAACCTGACATCCCATATTACCACAGCCTAACGCCAGCAATGCAACCGCCGTCCAGATGCAACCCAGCCGTCCGTCTACCATTACCATTGTATTATACACCCATTCCTACTAACCTCTCTCCGAAGCGCATCTACCAGCCATCCTTACCCTCCTCGTAATCGACAAGGTGCTCCATAATGTCAATCCCATCACTGTCATCCCCCTCCGCTGCAGCAGCCATCTTCTTCTCCTCCAACTTCTTCTGCCTCTTCTTCTCCTTCCTCCCCCACTCCTCTTTCGCACCCTCTCCCTCACTTCCACTCTCCGCATCACTCCCCTCATCCGCAAAACTAACACTCTTCCCACCCCTTAACGCATTCGGACTAATCTTCGCCTTCTTCCCCTTCTTATCTGCTGCTTTCTGACTCAACATCTTCTCATGCTGTTTCGCCTGCTGCCTTTCGCCCCATTTTTGGATGTAGGGACGCAGGAAGAGGTAGCCGCCGACGATGGCAATCATGCGGATGTAGTTGAGGGTGGTCATGTCGTCCCACATGTGTACGGCGTTGCGGGTTAGGTTGGTGTAGCCCTGGCGGGGGAGGGAGATGAGCCATTGGAGGAAGTCGAGGGTGTTGGCTAGGAGGGCGTCCATTGTGAGGATGTGGGTGTGGAGGTTGTGTGTGGTTCGTAGGGGGTTTGAGTGAGGGGTTTGCTAAGACAGGTGAGGCTGGGAGAATTGAGCCTGGTGCCGTTCGTTTGTCTATCGATCGATCCGCAGAGTATGATCGTATAGGATTATAGACAGTGAGGCTATTGTTGTCGCAAGCCGTCGTTGTTCGTAGTCGTCGCAGATACGCAGTCGCAAATGAAGAATATCTTCAATTCCAAGTCTCTATGCTCTCTCTCTCTCTTTTCAGAACAGAATCTCTCAATTGCAGAAAATTATATGCCAAATCGAGTGGCAATATGCGCGAAGAATATACTCAAATAACCCCTCTGGCCAAAAAGAAGGAAAGGTCGGATGTGCTGGGCGATTACTTTTTAATGACTGTGCAATCTATGGACACTGGTGCCCGCAAGTGTGCCAGCAAATAAATTCCCGCGCCGGCAATGAACCGGTCGGGAACGGAGAAAAGTCGGCCCAGGATCGCGTCTTCTGGAGTCCAGACGCGTCCCCCTCCAAGTTGTATCAGACTTCAAATACCCCTCACTGTCTGCCCAAACGGCTTCGCAACGGTTGATTGTGAATTATTCGAGGTCGCGATGTCTCAACAAGAAGATGAAGATCCTATGCGCGAGGTATTACCCCTAGCGTTCTCTCTCCTCGGAGTTCATTTCGAATTCCAATCACAATCGCAATCCGAGCCCCAGGACTGGGATTGAAGCACATAGCTGACTTGAACGTTATGAAATAGAAACTAAAAGCTTCCCTCTGGTTCAGCATCGGCAAAATGGTAGATGAAGAAGCTGCTTTACTGAATACAACGGCTACACCACAATTCATCGGTGCCATGACGGAGATGGTATGGGCACAACTTGGTATGGCACCGATCCTTTCAATTCCAATCGTGCCACCAGGAATTTCAACGCACAGAACCGATCTTCCTCTATGATCACATCCATTACATTCCCCTCCCCCCCCTCCCTCCCTCACGCCTCCACAAACACACACCCCGCACAACACTACACCCTCTAATTCTCCCCTTAGAAAACACAGCCATAGACCTCGAGTCCTTCTCCCGACACGCAGGCCGCACAACAATCACAACCGAAGACGTTTTACTCATGACACGAAAGAACGAGGCTTTACAGGGGATATTACGGGATTTTGTGGAGAGTGAGAAAGAGAAGGGTAAAGCTGTGGGCGAGAGGGGGAAGGGGAAGGGGAAAGCGAGGGGGAAGTAAATGGTTTGGGGGAGGCAATGATAGGGAATGATTGACGGGAGGGGGGGGGGGGGGGGGGGGGGGGGGGGTGGAGACAGCAAGGAAGAGAGGAAGGATTTTGGTGAAGAATAAGGAGGGAAGTGGGGGAAGATATATACCCAGGAAATGGATGGAGGGAATAGCTGGCACAACGAAAGGATGGCGTTTAGGCTGAGCTTTTTATTTGACAAGCATACGACTACGGCACCACACCTAGCTTTTATGGGCGGATGTCGATCACAATCAAAACACAATTTCAAGATTTAAGAAAGCTGTCACGCCAGCTAATTCTCCTTCGAAAGACCGCATACATATATGAATTTTTACAATTCAAGGGGAAAGAAAAACTTTTTGATTTCCAACAGGCCCCGCCGCCCAGGGTACTGTATACTATCTGTTTGTCTGCCTGGCTACCTGCCAACCCAGCCAGAAAGCAAAGCAAGCAAAAAAATCGAAAAGCTCGCGAATATCTCTTATTGCTCACGAAAATCGAATCGACTCAGATCCAATGAATCCAATCCAAGGAGAGCCAATACACTCTCTGATTGTCGATACAAGAAGAAACAAGGTAGCCAAAGCCATCAAAGGAACACAACAACCCAAAAAAAAACAAAAACCAAAACCAAATAACAGGTCAAAAGTCCAGATCTTCAGCAGCCGGCCATTTAAACTCATCCAAAAACAAGAAAACCTAACGCCAGCCAGCCAGCCAAACCCAGCCCAAACCAGTCGATCTATTGCTGAAATACAAAAACAGGCGCCCAGCCATCAATCTATCCAAATTTCTTCCAAGACATGGGTAGAAGCCAAATTATCACTTCTTTCTTTCACACCCCGCGGTGTTTGTTTGATTTCCTCTTCGCTTCGTTTTCGACCTCGCGCCTCTGCTCCATGATGGATCTGGTCGCTGGTATTTCTCTGGATGGACGATTGTCTCTGGGATCCACCGCGATTCTTTCCGCTTCCCATTCTATCCTCTGGACTTCTTTGTCGGCTCTCGGTTTTCGGTCTCATCCCATCTCATCTCTCCAGTTTCCATCTCATCATCCTGATCCGAAGAAGGGAAGCAGTCTAATACCACCTAGTAGAGTCCATCTGTCCATCTCTTCCAAAATATCTCGCATCTTTCACGCCGCAACATCAACCTCCCCACCCTTCGTCCCCGCTCCCACACCCACACCCACCGCAGCAGACGAGAAAAAGTCCTCCCCAGGCACAGGACTATGCATCCTGCTCCACCCAGGCCCCTGATCAACCCAACTCATATCGCCCATGAATCCACCACTCTCTCCATGCGCGCCCTCATCGAGCGGCAAGCTCCAGAGATCGTTCGCGCCGCCTGCGCCGTCGAAATTGAGGAAATCGCTCAGGTCGACGTTGGCGTCGAATTCGTTGCCGGTGAGGCTGAGAGAGCCGGGGAAGAGGGGGGTGATGTTGGTGTTGGTGTTGGAGGAGGAGTAGGGGTTATTATTGGTGTTGTTGGTGTGGGAGGAGAGAGGGTCCTGCGATTGAGATTGAGCACCATTTGCAGGAGGAGGCGAGAAGGCAGATGCGGTGTGGGAGTCTGAATCGGGTGGTGTATGTGCGAGGAGAGACGACGCAGCAAGGTTATGCTCGAGCCCACCTCCATTTACGATCTGGCCGTTCTCCATCCCGCTGTATCCAGAATCCATAGGTAGATGCTGCACGGCGTCGTCTGCTTCTCCAGGCGGCGACATCCTTCTTGCGGAGTACATCATCTTGACTTTCTCGCGCACCTCGCGGACTTTCTGGCTGGCGAGGGTATTCTGGATATCCTCGTGGCGCATGTGGCTTCTTGCCATGGAGCTCGGTATCACCATGTCGATATCTGCTTTTCGGATGGCGGCTTCAAGGAATTGGGTCGCGAAGTCGGCGCTGGCGTAGTTGTCGCGTAATTTCTCGAGGACTAGCATACATTGGCAGAACCCGTTCATGGCTGCGCGACGGGCCTCGTCGTTGCAGGATTTGATGTCTAGGAGGTGGATTATGATGGCTGGCAGGAGCACGGTCACGCCTGTGGTGGGGAGGTACTTTTCTAGGTTGTGCTCGTGGATGTTTTGGGAGATCTTAGTAATTTCGCGAGACGCTTCTCGCACTTGCTTCCTCGAGAGATCTTGGAGTTCTCTGCTGGAATCGGGTTGGGCGCCACTTGTTCCTGCGCAGGGGAGGACCTGAGGCCGGTGCAGAGCAGAGAGAGTGGTGTAGTAGACCATATGGAGCAGAGAACGCTGGACAAAGACTGTTTCGCCTGCTTGGCCGGGGCCGATGAATTCGGTATAGTGGCACGCTGGAGGCAGATCCCGAACCCATTCTTGCAGCTCCTCGTCGCAGCGGGTGACTTCGTCCGTTTGGTCGAGTTTCTTGGGGAAGAGCATGACGGAGGAGCGCGTGCTGCCTTCTTGGCCTTGCATGCCTTGGTGGCGGACTAGGACGGAGTATTGTGCTGAGAGAACGTGGGAGATGCAGAGGCAGAGTTTGGCTTTCGCTATGCACATTTGGGCGAGTTCGAGCTGGATGGAGGGCGTTCGCATGAGCGTGCAGTCTTGAGGAATGATGGTGATGTTTTCTGATAGTACTCCAATCTCAAAATCCTCTTCTACCAGCATTGGGACGTCGTAATCCTCGTCCTTCACGCGTGTTGGCCTTCGCATTCCCAGAGCAATGAGACGATCCCGCATGAAGCAGGACCACCAGATGCGTTTCCATAGCTTCTTTTTCGCGGGCTCCATATTGGAGTTCTCTGGATTTCGGTGTAGACCAATTGTATGTGCTAGGGAAATTGCCACTCCCATCCAATGCCATGTATCTTTTTGATCGTCGGGAGTTTCGTACCAATATGTCATGAGCAGGAGGGATTGAACAAGGGAAACGCGGTCAATTTCGTAGTCGAAGTCGTAGAGAACCTGCAGAGTTAGCTTTGCAATTCTCTTCCTAAACGCAAAAATACTTACTCTGGCTTTTTGGAAGAATGCTTTTCTAGCAGCCTTTCGATTCGTGTACCCCGCCGCGACCAATTGGCTCATATCCACGAATGCAGTACCTGCAAACATGATAGCCTGGAAGAGCAACAAACTGATCTTGCCAGATTCTCCAGTCGAATCATTCATTATCTCCAGAACATTGTGTAGCTCCAACAAAGGCATATACGGGTGTACGAATTCGCAGTATGCTCGTAGCAGGGCATCTCGCACCGGCGTATCGGGCAGGGACAATGCGCCTTTCGCAAACAGGTAATCGATATCCACAGAGGTCATCCGTTGAGGCAGCGGTTTCAAGTAGGCTGGTAATTGATGCTTGAGCAGAATCGGCGGAGTTGCCAGTCTCGTCTTCGTCAGGTCACCGCTGAGGGATGCAGATGTCAGGAGGGTATAGGTCGGATCTGGATCGTACTGCGTGGCAATGAAACCCTGCCTGCGAAACATAGTGTGGTTCTCGATCTTTTTGGACACATTCTGGTCTGCGGCTGTTGTTAAATGGGAATGGTGGGAGAGTATCCCAGGCTGCTTACAGATTGGATGGGGGACGTGAGCTCCTCCCGCAGCTGCGTAGTCTTCAGGCAAGTCGTTGGACGAAGAGCTGCTCCATCTCCTGTTTTCTGGATTCGAGATATCCGAGGGATTCACGATGCCGTTCGGCCATTGTTGTGGTTGTTTTGGTTCTGATTGTTGTGATATCTGAGTGCCATTCAGATGTTTTCTGGGGTTTGACGGTCAATTTTTGGATTACTGAATTCCTAAACACCAAGAAACTCACTTCCGCCGTTTACTCTCTTCTATCACACATTTAATTCCATCCATCGTACAATTCGAACATGTGACGTCTCCCTCTGAATTGACATGATACCGTTGCATGACATCACAGCGCACTTTTCTTGCTCTACACGCGGCGCATGCCTTCGCCGCCCTCCTCTTGACGGGCTTGGGATTTCCATTGCCTCCTGCGGAAGATGCACCGCGCTTTTTTGGATTTGACTCCGGGGACGTGGGAGATTGTGGTGCAACAGCGATTTTGGTCTCTGGAGAATCACTCTCGACCGTTGGCATGAGCTTCATAGTCTCTGTGGGGGAAATTGAGGCAGGCATGTGATGTAATATTTCGTGGGTCTGGTCTGGTCGACTCGTTTTTCTGGTCAGTCAGTGTGCGCCAATGAAGGGACCCTGACAGACGGAACCGGGATTGAAGTTTCGTGGATTGGATTGATATTGCAATGGGTATATGGTCATGAAAACAGGACAGAAAATCAAAACAAAAGGTCCAGGTACTTCAATGGCGGACGGGATCGGGTTTCAAATCGGAGGGGGCATGCTCCAGTATGTATATGTAGACGTCAAGACGGCCAAGACATGGAAAAGTCCGCCGCGCGACTCTGTTTGTGGAGGAGAAGTGGATGCGATACCTTAGTCCGAAGCCATGCTAGTTTGAGGTCCCATATGAAAAAGCTGGAGCATCACATCAAAGGCACATACATGCACAGGGATCTAGGATGGGGGGAGACCAAGTTTAAACCTGGTCTAGACGATGGGGCTGGGGGAGCTTGAGGCTCGAATGGGCAAATAAGATCCGTTGTGTGGAGGTGAAAGATGGAGTTAGCGACTAAAAGGGACAAGACCGAAGACTTGAAATTCATTTTGTCTGGCTTGTGATTCGTGTTTCATTTAATTATTTTCTCTATTATTGACAGCTGTTGTGTGATCGCATTCCTGTGCTCAGAAGACATGTGGTTGTTTTCATATGAGACAGGGAAATCCCGCCACTGCAAAGCATGTGAATGATGTGAGATCAGATACCCTTTAAGCCGAGCCGAGACGAGACATATTATGGTTGTACAAAACAATGACCGTTCATCCCAAGCGAGAGAATCCTTCTTCAGACTTTATCTCACAGATCGAAAAAATATATATATATATATATAGTAATCACGATAGCATGTACAAGAAGGATCAACAGCACGGCAAGAGCGGCATTTAAATACTGTGCTTTTGCATCCATCCATCCATCCATCCATCCATCCATCCACTGAACAACCTCATCCCGTCCCATCCTCACACACGGTCCGGTGCCGGAACCAGTATCAACCAACAACCTGCAAGCAAAGAGGACTGACTTCTCAAGAACCAGCCGTTGTAACGCTTCTAGAGAGATCTAAACCGTCAAAGAACTGAAATACAGAAAAATCCAAGCAAGCCCAGCCGTACTTCTCCGCAGAGGCGTTGAGCTAGAACAGGTCAGTATGCAGGGCTAGTATTTGGGGAAGCCAATAGCGAGGGCCGGATTCTGACAGTTGACCTCATGAACCGCCAGAACGCCATGCCACCAGTTGCTGGATTGAGGAGAGATGGGCTTGGGTTGGCGTGTGTGGTGCCCAGCTCAGTAGAGTAATCCAGATTTGAATTTTTCTTGACCCTCGAAATATGCTTGCAATGTGGTTTGACTTTTGGGAGAGCCAGTCGTCATACCCATGAGTAGTTTCCTGCGAAACGGGGAGATCCCACTTTCTCCAGAATCAAAAAAGATGCGAACTTCCTCCCCACTACTCATGTTTTAGTGGGGAATCGAAACTGCTGGTAGATCACGATCCAGGTCCAGGCTTTTGCACACAAACATCAATAAACTTTCCGTCTTCCGTCCTCAATCCCGTGTATGAGTCCCGTCCTTGTCACTACTCGGGTAGACTCGTTTACGACTCGACGAATTGAAAGTGCGGTCAGGGTGATATTATTCCCGTGGATGGATCCGTTCCCATCCGATTATATCATGTAATCTTTCAATCTTACAGTACTACTGCACTATTGTGCGGTGTGTATGCGAGATATATCGTACATAAATTACCTACCCCGCCAGATTGGTTACAGGAACGGTAGCGTGGTACAGAAACGGCGGCGGCGTCGTCATGCTTGGTAGGTATGGGATCTGTGATCTGATCACTCACGACTCACTGACCGCTGATTTCTTTATCGCCGATACAATAGATGCACATTTTACTGCACTGCCCGCATTACTTTATTATGAAGCGAACAAAGCGTCCCACACTGCCCGCATCTCCAGGGGATTGCATGGATCTTCAGCTGTCCAGTCGTCCATGTCCAGAAAACGATCCTTCAATAATATCAGCCCCTTCTTTCTTTCGTTCTCCACATGATGAGTAGGCAAAAGGCGTAAAGGCGCACGCACGCATATACGCAACGAAAAATTATCATTGAGAGAGGCACCTCCATACATTCCATTCCGTACTTTCTCCTTTCCTCTCCTCTTCTTCTCTTCTTCTCAGACAAACAAACAAACAATCCCCACTTCACCACAAATATCCAATCCACGGCTCAATCCCACAAAAATTACACACCATGATTATTCCCACCGCCGAATAATAATGGCATAAAACCTTCGCCTTTCAATAATAATCCCATCTCGCGTGTCCCGAGCAACAAGCCCCTCCCCTCCACAAAACCGGGGTAGTAGTGGAGGTGGGGTCATCTCCCTCCCACCTCCCACCAGCGAGACGCGGCATCCACAGCGGCATGCGCTGAGAAAGAGAGAGAGAGAGGATGAGGATTATCTAGGCGCCGAGACATCCTTCCAGACAGGGGTAGTGATTTTAAATCTCCCAAGAGCCCAAGGGCTCCAAGAGTGATGCAATACCCGAACTTTGCCGAGGAGGAAGGCCGTGCGTCTTGTGATGGGCTTGGCGACGGCTGGGCTGGGCTGGGATGGATGAGATGAGGTTCACGTGTGGGTGTGGGTGTGGACACGATTGGGAGGAGTGTGAGTGTTTACATGTGCTTTCGGCCGTTATAAATATTTTCACGAGGGGACGAGACGGTGAGTGAGTAAGTGAGGGGGATTGCAAAATTCTGGAATACCGAGGTGAGGTGTTTGTCTGTCTGTCGGTGAAGGTAAGTTGCGATATTCCGTTTCTTTGGAAGGAGTCGGATAGATTATTCTTCCTTCCATCGAGATTCACGAGTACGAAGAACACGGATCGGTGAAGTTGAGGAAGGACACCGATGCGAATATGGGGTTTGTCGAAAATTCCCATCCAGGTCCTCGATTGCAAAGTATGTATGAGACCGACCATCCAGGTACCTAACGGTTGCGGATGCTGTCTGAGTCTCAGGATATATACAAACCTGGAGGCTGGGACTTGAAGACTCCCTCCCTTGCTTCGTGGGGTGGATGAATTAAAGGTCTCATCCTCGACCCATCTATCCAGCAATTTGTCTTTCCGCTTGCGTTGCGGACGAAGAGTCCCGGGATCCTGGGAGGAATATAGCTCACCATGACACTTGTGGTATGTACTTCGCATTTTCTGTGGATGTTGAATATCGTGTGGTATGAATGTGGCAGCAAGCGCTGTCTTCATTTACACACAGGTAGATGGATGGGTAGGCAGGTATGGCTTGATCTCGGTCTCATTTTATTTTCTTTCAGGTTACGATACAGGCCAAGTGGTACTCTTATACCTTCATAGCCCCAGGAGAGAAATGTGAAACCTTTACTTTGGGAATTGCTGTTTCTTTATACTTATATTAAATTGATATATTCTCTCAAGTTTGTTTTCACGGTGGACATATCCTCACACACCTACCAACACATGATACAAATCAGGGACGAAAATCTGAGTTGCAAGTGCTCCCTTCGTTCCACTTGACGGGTATACTGGAGGTATCTCTGTATCATGCGAATATTCTCGTACGTTATTTTATCTGTAAATCGTATCTACGAGTTATTGTTTCTCTGATTTCACAGCCTATTTGCGTCGTAAACTGGTTTCTCTCGACGTATCCCAAGATCGAGCGCCAGTCTGCGCGCTTTTCAATTTCTCGACACTTTTCAAAGTCGAGCGCATTCAAACTTGGAAACGTTTAGAATTCGAGCGCCTTCAAATATCAAGCGCTTCCTAATCGCTTCACAAAGTCGAGCGCTCACCAAATTCCAATGCCAAGCCTGATCGCTTGTCGCTTCCAGACCTCGACGTCACACATTCCCCACGGGTCCATCAAAACATCCTGATGTCATGCAGGTGCGCTCTCAGTGTCTACAGCATCGGCGATAAACAATGGAACACAATACAATAGCCGATATTTCTCCAGTCGCGACTACTGTATCGCTCCTTGTGACAAATGAAGAATGAGTGGTGGACTGAACAAGTGGTGAGGTCACAGCACAATTTATTTTTGATCGATGATGAGCAGTGGAGCTGTTGTTGCATCACCAAAAATCCACTTCAACGCTACCATTGCATTTGCAAGCGGGTAATCTATCCGACCATAGATACAAAGCCACCGTCGCAATAATGGAAGGAACAGAAACCAAGGATTTTGGAGCAACTGAATTTCGAGAGGATATCAATAAATCTACAGCAAATAACAATCAATCTCAATTGGAATCACCAACGAAGAAACGCAAAATCATAGCAGAAATGGCAGTTCCAGAGCAATTCGAGGGTTTCATGATCCATGATACCAAGAACTGGAACAAGTTCACCAAGGAGAAGGTATGTCCCTACCTTTTTTCCGTAAAACATATACTGACCCAGACAGTTCACACCCAAGGTCTTCGAGGAATACGATGTCGATATCGAGAACGAATGTTGTGGTGTATGCGGCTCAGACGTCCACACCATCACTGGAGGATGGGGCGAGCTTGCCACAGCACCTATTTGCGTCGGCCACGAAATCATCGGAAAGGTTCTGAGAGTTGGATCACAAGTAAAGGAGTTCAAAGCTGGAGATCGAGTTGGGGTTGGTGCACAGGTTCAATCGTGCATGAAGTGCCCGCAATGCAAATCCAACAACGAGAATTACTGCCCGAATATGGTTGGTGAGTAGTCCCTTCTTTTGCAAAGAGGTTTGAGCTGACAGAAGAGATACTTATGGCGCTCCATACAATATCGGAGGAGGAAATCCAAATAAAGATGCTGGTGGACCAATGAAGGATAAGGACGGGAAGCAAATATTCGCACAGGGAGGATATTCATCCCACAGCCGAGTTCACGAACAATTCGTTTTCAAGATCCCGGATAACATCCCTTCCCACGAGGCTGGTCCTATGATGTGCGCTGGTCTCACAGTCTACTCCCCCCTCAAGCGCGCCAACACCGGTCCCGGAAAGAAAGTCGCTATTCTGGGTATCGGCGGACTAGGCCATTTTGCTATCATATGGTAAGTCATCCCTCGCCCTCACTCTCCGGTTTTCAACATATCTAATAATGATTTCACAGGGCCCGCGCAATGGGCGCAGAAGTCTGGGCCCTCTCCCACACCCCCTCCAAAGAAGCCGAAGCAACCAAGCTCGGCGCCCACCACTTCGTCTCCACCCAGTCCCAAGACTGGTTCAAGCCCCTCGCCTACACATTCGACTTCATCCTCAACGCCGCAGACATGACGCACGAGTTCAACCTGCAAGACTACATGTCCACGCTCGCGATCAACGGCGAGTTCCACAACGTCGGGCTGCCCGATAAGCCGCTCCCGCAGATGATGGCGCAGGACTTCGCGGGTAACGGGTGTAAGATTGCGGGCAGCCATATTGGGAGTAAGCAGGAGGCGGTGGAGATGCTGAGGTTGGCGAGTGAGAGGGAGCTGCATCCGATGATTGAGACGATTGATATTTCTGAGGAGGGGTGTAGGAGGGCGGTGGAGAAGGTTAAGGGGAATGAGGTTAGGTATAGGGTTACGTTGACGGGGTTTCATGAGGTTTTTGGGACGGGGAAGAAGTAGATGGTGGGTGGGGAGGAAGTTGTGAGATGGAGATCTTTACGGTAGAGAGTCGGCTGAGTGTCTGAATGTACGTGTATCAGTATGACGATGTGTGGTATGGCTCAGGTAGCAGCATTGGTTCTTGTTGATGCACAAGGTAGACAGAGGAAGACGAAGGAAAAGAAAAGAAAGAACAAACCTTCAAATCTCCGCGTCGATTTCAACAACGTGTACCTCTGTGACCAAATTGTTTATCGGTAGACCCCATGACTTGATTTCATCCCACAGTACTCTAGATCCAACAACCTACCATGCACCGCCTGATACTGTTCTATTTTCCCCCTCTTTCTCACCTTCTCTGTCATGCTTGCTCGGTCCTACCTTGCTCTAGACCTTTCCATTATCCCAGACAAATACAAGTAATCAGCAATCTTTGAAGTCAACCACTGAGTAGGCAGTATATTCATTTCAGTCCAGCAAACTTCAGCTTGGGCTCCATGTCAATCACCCAACTCGATCTTTTCTTTTCCCCCCAACGAACCAGTTTACAGCCACAGCGCAAGCTATGTGGATGTTGATGTGGGTCAGGCTGAGCGGCTTCCAATCACTCACTTACACACTTACACACACACTTGCACACTTACACACTGTATTTTTTGAGCTTACTTGCTCAGGTGAAATTGAGTGGAGAGTAGAGAGTGGTGAGTGGTGAGTGGTGAGTGGTGAGTCGTGTTGTGTTTAAGTATCAGAAAGGATAGGACAAGTACACCGCTATCTTCATAAGTCGAATTGGACTGAAATTCCGTGTGAATCTGGAGTCTGGGAAGAAAAATGAAGAGGGAAGGGGATGGGAAGAGAAAGGGAGGGAAGGGAAAGGAAAGGAAAAAAGATGTAAGACTGGATCAAGTACACTGCCACAACAAACGACAGATACGAAAATCAAAAGTAAAGTTCCAAGCAAGGCAGCAAGAACCAAACAACAAAAAGGGTAAATCAGTGTCGTTGACTAGACTAGACTTGAAAGGACATGGATACCCCAATCCGAATATGCTTTGAATTCCAGCTCTGACTTTGACTTTAGTGATATGCAATGAATGATGTGCAGTTGACGTGCGGTACAGCCACAAACGGGAAGGAGGGATATCCATAACTAACTCGATGTGACAACATGCTTGTTGCGAGTCGCGAGCTCGAAGAGGTGGATTAGAGTTCAACGGTCCATTCATTATGTAAAACGGAATGGAAGAGGAGAGGAGAGAATGGAGGGAGAACGTTGGTTGAAGTAGTGTGGTGTAAACTGTGACATGAAATGATTTCATTACTGTACAAGCTAAAGCTGAGTCTCGAAATTGAAAGTCGTGAACCGTAGTAGAAAAGGCTAGGAGTGTGTTCACAGCCCTTGTCTCTCGTAGCCAAGATTATGGAGCACGGTACAGGACGCTGAGTGGAGGCCCCGGAATGATCGTCTTGATGCGCTGTATTAGAGTTCCAAAGATTGAAATGCCGTGGTAAACTTACTCAAGGACATAGCTAACAGGAAGCGATGCTGTCAAAACTGCGGGGTGGTGAGAATTGAAACAGGTACCTGTTGGCTACCAAACAAACATCCATCAAGCGGTCAGGAAAAGTTACTCTTCAAAAACCTGAATAAGCGCGCCTACACAACAGGTCCCAAAGCAAAGCAAGGCTGGAGAGATATATGAAACTATCGCCAAAAATCTAGACCCTTCCCCAAGCCTCGGAGTGTTCGCTTCCAACTTCTGTTGTCTTTGGCAGTGCGACTGAGCGGTTTAGAGCCAGACAGACAGGGCAAAACAACTAGATCCTGCCAAACCAAGGTTCGAAATGAAGCTATTCCCAACCAAAGCATCATGACGGATGAGGCATCTGTAGTCGAGCATTAGCTGCTTCTTTACCGTCGCACTATGCAAAACCAGGAGAAAAATCCCCTCAACTGCCGTGAACGCACAGTGCTGTACATCCCGCTTCAAGTGTAAGTCTCTGCTTTTCACGTGTCAGTGGCTTGCCCTTTCTTGCATCCAGACTCTCCCCTCTTTTCCTCTCTTTTATCCGCACCAAATGGAAGGTCAGCGATGACCATCACAGCCACAACAACAGCCACATCCACACGCAAGCCACAAGTGTCGATCTTCAATCTCACGCTCGAGTTTCCTTGGCATCATGGGCAAGGATGACGTCGCAGCGGTGCATCGACATCATATGTGTGGCTTTGCCGTGACATGATTCGTTGATCGTGAGGGAGCACCCACCTTTTAAACTCTAGCTGCGCGGCATGACGATGGGAGAGTGACAGGGGGGAGATGAGGAGGGAGAGGGGAGACGGTCGAATGAGGTCGTGTTGTTGGGAGGGAGCGGAGCTAACTGCCTTGCTGGGAGGACGCTGGGAGGAAGGAGGAAGGAGGAAGTGTGCTAGGGTTGGGGGTATGATATAATGCCAATCTATTGATGGGAGCTAGGGATGTTTGTAGTGGTTTGGTAGTGTGGAAAGTGGTGGTGTGTTGATAACCTGCTCCTGCTCCAGCTCCTGCTACTAGCTGAGTGATGTAGCTTGGCACAACCCGAAAGGAATATATTGAGGTCCGCTTTCCCTCCTTCCCCGGCTTTTGTTTTCCTTCCCCCTCCATCGACAATACCACAAACAGTCTAAGAGGACGAAACATTACAACTCCCACCATCAACAACAACAACAACAACCACTCATACACCATCACAATGGGTTTCGGCGGCGTCGCTCTCAAGAGCGTCTCCCTCTTCTTCCGCGCCATCGAATTCGGCTGCGCAGCAGTCATCCTCGGCATCTTCTCCTACTACCTCGCCTCTCTCACAGACCACAGCCTCCCCATCAGCGTACACATCAAAGCCGTAGAAGGCATCTCGGGCGTAGCAGTCATCTACACGATCGCAGCTCTCGTTCTCGTCTGCTGTCTCGGCGGCATCGCTTTCTTCTCCGCTCTGGGCATGCTCCTGGACTTTGCATTCTGTGGAGCATTTGCGTATATCGCGTGGGTGAATCGTCATGCTACTGATGGGTCTTGCTCTGGTTTCGTCAGGACCGCCTATGGAAATGGGTATACGAACCTGGGCAATGAGGTTGTAGGCGGTGATGGTGGGGTTACGATCTTGCCCAAGTTGAGCACTGCCTGTAGATTGCAGAAGGCTGCTTTTGCCGTTGCTGTTATTGGATGGTAAGTTCTCCATCTTCTCCCCTCTCTTTACTACATAATCTTGAAAGGTCAATACTAATATCCCCTCCCAGCGTCTTCTTCTTCATCTCCATCTTTCTCGAGTTCCTCCTCATCAAGCACCGCCGCAAGGAGCGCGCCTTCGGCCCCTCCCCCAACAACGGCTACACCGCCGGCTCCCCCAAGCGCAAGTTCTGGCAACGCAAGAGCAAGAGAACCACCTACGCCGACAAGAACGCTGATGTCCTGCCCACGCACGCTACACCTGCCGATATGCGCACTAGCTATGCCACGGATACTACGGCTGTGGGTGGAGGAGAGCCCCCGATTAACAAGTATGGTAATACCGCTGCGTATGGAAATGCGCCTGTGAGCAATGGGTATCAGACTCAGACTACGACGCATGCGGCTCATGGCCCGGCGGCGGTGGGTAATGGTGTTAGCCATGATGGATATGTAAGGACGAGTCATAATCAGGGGACGTTTTAAGTGAAGAAGGAGTGACGGGTATGAGAATGAAAGATTTCTTTTCTAGGTGGGATGAGGAATCAGTGGGATAAGGTGGGAAGGGAAAGGTGTATATATGAGAGATGATACCATGATTTCCTATACTGTACTACTACTACAACTAATAATTAATACAACTGTACATCAAAATTACCATTTCCCTCCAGTGTAATATTCAATACCACTTCCTATCCCAACAATTAACTCGCAACTAGCCCTTTGCTCTTTCCAGCCACAGCCGTACTAGACTGATTGAATTCTTGACTGCTAAGAAAACTCAACCGCCTACAGCAGTTACCTACGTACTTGGCATAGTGATCTCTGTTAGTCAGTCTTACTCTTTGAAAATTTCGTACTATAACCCTCAGACTTCCTTCCCTCTATTTTAAGTCTATGATAGCCTCACTTTGATACCGACCGTTGTATTTTGCCTCTATTATATCACATCACATCACATTACATCACATCATATCATATCATATCATATTATATCATATCACATCATACCACATCATATTATAACAAAACCAGAATAGAAATAATAGGGCTAGAGCTTATCTTTCAAGGTACTAGGTAGTTTAGTAGAACATGAAAGTTTGTTTGGAAAGGGAGCCTAGGTAAGTAATGTTGGACGCTATTAGTCAAGAGATCTATATTACATAGGGAGTAGTATGTATGTTTGTGTATATATATAAGAGCTATCTTCTGGGAAGAATGTAGAGTGTGAGAGTAGCGTGGAAGAGCAAGTTGTGAATGAGCTAAGCAACGTTCCCCTTTCTTAAGAGATCTATGTTGAATGATATTTAGTAAGTGTATATAAAGAGCTAGCTTATAGGAATATTGTAAGCTTGAGACTTGAGAGTAGACTTGAGAGTAGATTATTTAGTCGAGTTGCGAATACGGTTTTGTGTACCGTTTATTAGCCAAGTATTTAGAAAATAAGTTGACAAAGATTTGTGTAATATTAAGAAAGAAAAATGATAGGCGAAGTATGTTTGATATTGTAGGGAGGGAGAGTGAGATACGTAGTTAAGTGACTGACTGGAGAATTTTCACTTTTAGGCTACGTACCAAATGTGAAATGTACCGATTTGACAAGTTGTATGATACTTGTATATAAATAGAAAACAAGGTCAAGCTTTCACCGGGTATATTGAGAAAGAAGAGACAAGGAGGAAAATATTGACTCCTTGCAGCTTTGTTAAGTCGTGACCTCAACTCCGTACGACCTTATCTACCTCCATCACTTAAAATTCGACATTCGACATTTATAAGATCAGCATCACACATCTTTCTCCCCTCCCCCCTGCCCTTGTTTGATTTCTTCTCCTTCCTCTCCTTTCCTTTCAGGACTGTTCCTCTATCTGTATCATACAGACGAGCAGGGACTGACTACTTCGCTGTGGACAAACGTTAAGGTATATTACCAATTCAACTGATCGCACCACAGGAAACAATGTGCCCTGCCTTTCTGGCCCCAGAGTTCAGAGCCGCCGTCGTAGTAGCAGTCGCCGCCGTGTATCATGTCTGTGGAGGTGTGGTTGAGTTAGCAGGGTAAAAAATGAAAGCAGGACCTGAAGTAGAAGAGCGTAACCCAAAATTACAAGAGGAAATAGATGTAAACAAGCTCGTGACTTCAGACACAAACCCAATCAACCAATCCCAAAACTCAACTCTCTACATTACCAAAAAAGAGAAAAAGAAGAAAAAAGGGGGTCAAAAACAGAAAGAACTAACTAACTAACCTCTATCATCCCCACTCTTATGCCCCTCAAGATGTAAATACGCCTCCCTAAACCCATACCAATCCTGCGAACTCTGATACTTCAGGAAGACTTGAAAGCCGCGATGACCATCGAGGGATTGGAAGCGCCATTGGCCGTTGGCGGGGAGGCCGGGAAAGGTGGCGTAGCGCTCGTTGGAGTTGTTGTCCGCGACGACGACTTCTTCGACGAGGAAGTAGTCGTTGTGGCATTCTGTGGAGGTGGTTAGTGAGTGGGAGGAGGTTAGTGAGGTGAAGAGGAGGGGAGGGGAGGGGAGGGGAGGGGAGGGGAGGCACGGGTGGTGGTGGGAGGTGAGAAGAAGTTGCAAATAAGTCTTTGGAAGGATTCGTGGAGGGGAGGAGAGGATAGATGAGTTAAATTGGCAAGTTTGATAGGCAGGAAAACATCTCCTATAATAGTGTTTTCAAACCCTCAAAAAGTCCCTAAATTTGAAACAAACAAATCTTCTACTTACCAGTATCACAATGATACTGATTATACAAATCCCTATACATCGAAATTCGGCAAGCATTCGACTTTGGGTTAAACGGGTTGCGACTCTCTATCTTCCCTGTCTTTGTGTCATAGCGAGGTAGAGGGAAAATGGCGCGTGTGGAGTTGTAGTGGGTATCTATTTTGTGGATTTTGGATGTGGTGGTGGTGGGAAGGGCGGATGTGAGAGTGAGAGAGGAGAGGAGGAGGGTGATTGTGAGAGGGAAGAGATGCATTGCAGGTGTATCTGTGTGTGGGTTGCTGAGGATGAGGATGAGGTATTTTTTTTCAGAAATTGAATTCCACTGTCGAGTTGATTCTTGAAGTCAATGAGTAGGTAAGAGAAGTTTCTATAGTGCTGTATTAATACACACTCCGTTCTCCTAATCATCAACGTCGGCCGACGTGGCTGAACATTATATCTTCATAATCTATCTCAACCTTGTCCTAGATTCAACAAGAGAGTTTTGAGTGAAAAATATGGTAACCAACGAAAACTCTCTCCCTAACGGCTCAACCCCAAGAAAGGAATATGGTCCTCCCTCCCCCGACCTTTTCATCTCTATCGTCCTTCCCAATCCAGTATCCATCTCCTCGAGGATGTTCACCCCATCGAATTAAAGTCAAGAACATGAAGGTCACAACTCCAGCTCGTTGCTTACAAAGCTTACATAAAAGTTGCCCGCCCGACTCATCTATATAGCCAGCCACCTAACATACCTAAATCTTACCATCAACCCATTCATTTCTTGAAAGCCATGGAAGAAGCTTTAACTTTCCGTGTAAGTAGCTTTGAGCAGACTCTTTATCCGATCACACCAGTGCCAATCACTGATGCTTACCGGCTCCAGCTTCAGCTGAAGGATTTGCCAAGATAAGCCTGAAAAATACTAAATGAAAGGCATAGCTGCCATTTTTCAGCTCGACCGATAAAGGTACAGGGCCAAGATTCTGCTGAGAGAAACGGCTCGGTAACCATTTTCGGATGAGGCATGCATGCGATGAGGTTCGAGAAGCCGAGCTGTGGGTGTTGTATAGTCTTTGTTGATTTGATTTTGATTTTAGCCGAGGGGGCCAGATGTGGTGGTGGTGTCAAGTTGGATGTCTGCGCTTCTTGATCTTGATGCGATAACGATAATTTTTTGTGGTGGTTGATAAGTATGATGGAGGGTCAGATATTTGGAGATAGAAGGAGATAGCATGTTTCTTTTGTGGTGTGATCATTTGAAGGTGAAGAGCCCAGCCTGCTTTGGGCTTTTGGATGGGTATGATCTATCTTCGGAAGGATGACCAGAAAATCCACTGTGGGTTCTCGAGGGGAGCAAGGAAAGCATGCTAGAGGTAGTAGAGAGTAGCAGCAGCTCTGATCTATTTCAACATAATCTATACAGGGTGTAATATCTTACATCTCATCTTGAATCCTCTGCCAGGGTAAAATCTACATGATGAAATTAACCGCCTTCCCATCTCTAATAACAATCATCTTCTTCGCCCTCCTCACATCAACACCCTTCCCACCCTTTCCCATTAACTTCTCCCTCCCCTCCTCCGTATCCAGAATCTGGCTTCTCAACCAATCTTCCAAATTCAGTCCCGAAAGTCCTTCGTCCGAGATTGGGATCTTGACGGCGCATTTCATTTTCCCGTTGACTTGTACCACGCAGGTTCGTGTCGTGGGAGCTAGCATGCTGAGAGTTCCATCAACGGTGGGGAATGGTGATGCGAAAACGGAGCAGACGGGAGTTGGGGTTAGTGCAGGGTGGAGGAGCCTCCAGCACTCTTCTGAGAAGGCTGGTGTTATGGGAGCCATCATTTGGATCAATGCTCTTGTGGCGTGTACCGAGAGACGGTAGTCGGGTATGTAAGTTGTTGATTTTGGGTCCTTGGAGTCAATTTTGCGGTCGTTGTACTCTGCTATGGTATTTGTGAGAGTCATCAAGTCCGAGACGACGGTGTTGAGTGAGTGAGTCTTCTCATATGACTGCGTCACATTCGATATGGTGGCTTGCACCGATCGCCACAGGTCGCGATCTCGTGCCACGAATCCTGACCAGAGCTTCACTTGATTCTGTTCCAGTTTTTCATTTGAGTTCTCTTGCGGCTGTTGTGATTCGAGAACGATGCTATTGATTATCTGTACTCTCTCCGTTGACAGCTGCGACTTAGCTCGCAGAGACTGCTCTGAATCCTCTCCTTCTGACGCGTCCACCCTGCCTTGGTTCGTGGGCGTCTCAGTTGCAAGAAAGTAGAGCTTCGGATTGAATTCATCCAGACTGTTCGAGTCGACCCAGACACTCCGGTTGGTAAAGATCATCTCGTGAAGTCTCCGAAGCCATCGAGTTACCCCTGCAATCTTCTCTTCGTCCCATTCGAGCACCTCACTGACTGGAGCTTGGAACAAGATGTGTGCTCTGGTGGCATCTGCTCCATATTTAGCCATGCAAGTTCCGGGATCAACCCCGTTATACTTCGATTTTGACATCTTCTCAAAGCTGACGTTTGGTGTTTCGTTTGTAGCAGTGATGAGAGGCTTGGATGGGTCTGTGAGATCTACTTCGTCTGGTTTGAGAAATCGTCCAGTCGATGGATCCGAGTAAGTTTTCCCATGTACCATGCCTTGAGCCAGGAGCTTTTTGAAAGGCTCCCCGAGAGACTTTGCCCCATTAGGCCAGAATGGTGTGGTGGCCATGAATTTGGAAATAAATCTCGAGTATAAGAGATGCAAGATTGCATGTTCTACGCCTCCGATATACAAGTCTACTGGCAGATTTGCATTTGCTGCTTCAGCCGAGAAAGGCGAATTAGAATTCTTGGGGTCTGGAAATCGCATGAAATACCAACTGGAATCAACGAATGTGTCCATAGTATCTGTATCTCTCTTGGCAGCTTCCCCACATTGTGGGCAAGGAGTATTGACCCATTCGTGGGCATGCTCGAGCGGATTGCCCGTCTTTCCATTCGCCCAATGGCTATCAACAACTGGGAGTTTCACAGGAAGCTGATCATCTGGCACAGGAACAGGACCACAGCTGCCGCAGTGAATGATTGGAATTGGTGTTCCCCAATATCGCTGTCGACTGACTAGCCAGTCTCGCAAACGCCAAGTTTCTGCTTCTGATCCGAGGTTTTTCGATTTCAGAAGATTGACAATACTATTGGTAGCATCTGCAGTCTTCAAACCAGCGTGTGACCCGCTTTGCTTTGTGAGATGCCCATGATGAATAAATGGGCTCGTCTGAAGAACACTTGTTGCTTCATCTGGAGATTGAGAAACGACAAAGCGAACTGGGTCGTCGTAGCGATTATGTTTCCAGAAAGCATGGTCACGAGTGTCGTGACCTGGAACACCCATCACAGCCCCATCTCCATAATCTCCAAGAACATACGGCGCGACGTAAATTGGCAATGAAGCCTTGGTGGCATCTGGTGTGGATTCTTCATAGGCGAGAGGATTCAAAGCCCGGACGTTCGGGAGGAGGTATCCCACTTTCGAGTCGAGTGGAAGAGCTGGAATGGTATCGAGGAAAGCTTGGAGCTCCACATCGGCTTTTGCCAAAGATTGAACAATAGGGTGCGTCGCAGCCAGAGCAACATACTGCACACCATACAAGGTATCCGGTCTGGTAGTAAATACTTCGATGTCGGAATGTGTTTGTTGATCGTAGGCCACAACGGGGAACTTGATTCGAGCCCCTGTTGATTTCCCAAGCCAATTCTTCTGCATTGACAAGACACGTTCTGGCCATGCGCCATTCTTCTCAAGCTCCTTCAAGCCATCCAGCAATTCTTGTCTGTATTCCGATATCTTGAAGAACCATTGCTTCAACATCTTCTTCTCAACCTTTGCTCCAGACCTCCAGGAACATCCATTTGAGTCTACTTGTTCGTTTGCCAAAACTGTCTTGTCCACGGGATCATAGTTTACTAATGACTCTGCTTGGTACGCGAGCCCAGCTTTGTGCAGTAGGAGGAATAGTTGCTGAGTATGCTTGTAGAATGTAGGATCGCATGTGGCAAATTCCTAAGAAATCAGCGTTGTACTGCTTAGAACACAAGTCCACATACCCTCTCCCAATCCCATTCCCCATTCATGGCTTCCAGCTGCGATTTCATTTTCTGGATATTCTGTTTCGTCCATGTTGCAGGTTCAATTCCTCTTTCAATTGCTGCATTCTCTGCTGGTAGGCCGAAAGCATCCCATCCAATTGGGTGTGTCACCTCAAAGCCTTGCATGCGGTGGAATCTTGCCAGCACATCAGAAATGGTGTAGACTCTGAGGTGACCAAGATGCAAGTTTCCAGATGGATATGGAAACATTGGAAGGACGTATTTCCGTCCTTTACTTTCTACTTCAATGTCGTCCGGGTATTTCTCCTTGATGACCTTGTTTTTGGCCAGAAATTCGTCTGCAAGCTGTTTCTGCTTTCCTTGTCCCGTCTTCGAGGTTTCTTCCATCTTCGCCCAAGTCCGTAGGATTGCCTTGTGTACCTCTGGAATGGCATCTTTCGTTACTCCGTGTTTCTGTTTCTCCTCCTTCTTGCTCTGCCATTTCGCCCTCCATTTCTGGTCCAGTGCAGGGAGATCAAGGCCATTGTAGGCAGCTGATCTAATTCCTCGGCTGACGATCGGGGAACATCTACCTCCAAGGATTCTCCCGTAGGCAGGACGGAGCCCCCGGTGCCCGTTTCTGCCAATTGCCGTAAACATCTCGTCTGCCGGGCATTGTGCACTATAGCAATCGCATCATTGCGTGGTTGGGAATAGCTTCATTTTATGGTCAACGGTTAGAGAGCTTGGAGCTCAAACAAAATGCATTGGTCCGTGCATTGCAGGTGAGACAAGCTCCGCCAAGCCAGCCTGCCCAGCAGACGTCCGAGAACGACAAAGCAGGAGGAGAACGGAACATCGAAACTCTGCAAGCATCAGCGACCGTCCCATCTCTCACATCTCCACGTCGCTTCTTTACTTCTAATGGTTGCTCTTCGAGTATATATTTTGCGACACACCCAATTCCCTACATCTGCTATTTCAACCTTACGACTTCACGACGACATGATCCATAACACACAATAATACAGCCCTCCAAACCGCATTTCCCCAAATCTCTCTGCCAGAGCATGAGGATATAAAGCACGAAGATCATGTCACGACCCTTTTCCAACCTCCAACCTCATGCGCGCGACTCCTTAGAACTGGCCAGTCTGGCCTCGAGTTCCCCCGGTGCACGAACATCCTCGTCCTCATCACGATCCGGAATATCATCCTCGAGGAAGCTTTCCCTAGAGGCAGACGACCCTCTTGATGCACGGAATCCAGCTGCGAATACTAGAGAGAATCGGTCCTACTCCAATTCCTCAGTCTTCGACTTCACATCGAACCTCTATCCTCTCTCCTCCACATCTGAGAATGGCTATGCGCCGATTGGAGCCCCTATATCTTCTTCGAATGGGCAGACGACATTAGGGGGAGGGTCGCTGGAGAAGCACAAGACGTTGACATATCTGAATGGACTGTCGCTGATAGTGGGATTGATAATTGGGTCTGGAATCTTCTCGTCCCCCAGCCAGGTCAACGCCAATGCTGGATCACCGGGAGCGTCGTTGATAGTATGGACAATTGCGGGCATATTGGCATGGACGGGGGCGTCTAGTTATGCAGAGTTAGGAGGAGCCATACCGCTAAATGGAGGAGCGCAGGTGTATCTTTCCAAGATCTACGGAGAGCTGTCCGGCTTCCTGTTTACGTGGTCTGCAGTAATGGTATTGAAGCCCGGTTCGAGCGCCATCATATCTATAATCATGGGAGAATATCTTGTTCGAGCAGCCATTGGAGCAGAGGCAGAGAATGTTAATTCTTGGATCAACAAAAGCGTGGCGTTGGTTGGATTATTCGCGGTCACATTACTGAATTGCATATCGACGAAACTCGGGACGAAGATGGGAGACATGTTTATGTTCTTCAAGTTTGTTGCATTGCTTGGTGTTACGGTTGTCGGCATAGTGGTTGCACTTACTGGATTCTCGAATTCTGGAAGTGCGAATCAGGATTGGAAGGATAAGGGATGGTTTGATGGGACGAGTACGAGTGCTAGTTCTTGGGCTGTTGCTCTTTATGCTGGACTCTGGGCTTTTGATGGATGGGATAATGTGAGTAAATATACTGCAGGAGAAGAATATTGCTAATTTTCAGACCAACTATGTTGTAGGAGAATTTCGAAACCCAAGCAGAGATCTACCCCGCGTTATTCATACCGCAATGCCTCTGGTCATTCTCTCATACCTCCTGGCAAACGTCGCATACTTCTTCGTCCTGCCTCTGAAGACCATCAACCACTCGAACACAGTCGCTGTAATGTTTGGCAATAAAGTGTTTGGACCAATTGGATCTCTCATCTTGGCCTTGATCGTCTCAGCATCTTGCTTTGGGGCTCTGAACGCCACAACCTTCACATCTGGACGATTGGTATATGTGGCTGGAAAAGAAGGACTGCTTCCAGCAGTGTTTGGAAAGATCGGTCTTGGAAGTAGTGCGGAACCTAATATCAACACCCTCCGAACACGAAATTGGGCATCGAAGACTCTAGCCCGTATGTTTGGTGATGAGGAAACAGGACTATTCTTTACGCCAATCAACGCCATGATTCTCAACGCCGCTTTGACAGCAGGATACATCCTCGTGGGCGAGTTTGGAACTTTGGTCACATTCTACGGCGTGGCAGGCTACACATTCTATTTCTTTACTGTCCTCGGGCTCATCATCCTTCGAGTTCGAGAACCCAATCTAGAGAGACCGTACAGGACGTGGATCACGACGCCAATTATCTTCTGCTGTGTGAGTCTGTTCCTGTTGAGTCGGGCTGTGTTCGCAGAGCCATTGCAGACGGTGATTGTGGTGTTGTTTATTGGTGCTGGGGTGCCGATTTATTATTGGAGGATACGAGGGAGGGATCAGGGGAGTAAGAGGGAGAGGGGGGAGGAGGAGATTGGGTGGAAGTTTTGGAAGAGGTGGCAGAGGTAGTGAGGAGGTGTTTGAATTGAATATTAAGTGTTGAGTGTACACTGTTGATTTCTGCTCCGCTTGTTCCCTCGAGACTTGATACTTCCTGGCCCCCCCCCCCCCCCCCCCCCAAAAAGGATCCATACAAAAGACCCGCCAAGTGGCTCATCATTCGTCCACATCACACACATGGCTACCTCCACCTCAGTTGTTTTCTCTTTCAATTACAAAAATGGCCCAAAAAATGCCAAAAAAAAAGAACTTTCTGATCACTACGAGGGTCGAACTCGCGACCTTGGCGTTATTAGCACCACGCTCTAACCAACTGAGCTAACTGTTATCATATATTAGTATTTTGTTCTGATTCATAAATCATCGTCAGATGATGAGTGAGTAAGTACTTACGCGATCCTTATCAGGTGTCGTGATGTCGGGAATTTTGTTATTTGGGTAGATGAGGGAGGAGGGATATTTGTGTGCCGAGGAGGATGCGGGAAGCGGCTTTGGGGAAAGGGTGAGTTGAGTAATGGAATGGATCCACTGTTTTGGAGAGGAGGGTCGACCCACTTGCTCACTGAGAGAGGTACACGGGTGTTTGTTCGTCTCCTGAGCTGGGCTTGTTCTAGTTTGGGTGTTATCATGTAGTGCATCGTGTTGTGCACTGTTGGGGATACACGTCGAAGATTAGTCGTCGTTTTCTTGCACGTTTGAGACAAGAGCAGAGTATCACGGCCGTTATTCTCACCTTGAAGTTCCGAAGAGAGGCAACCATGGAGTTCTTATCCTTGGGAAATCACCGTACACATCGACCGGATTTCTCCCCATCATCCGCCCTCAGCTGTTGCGGTTAATTACTCGACGAGATGCTGGAGTGATGGGTGTGACGGACGTTTACAAATATATCACCAAAGATATCAGGTCAAATCCAAAGTACGAAACGAACACAAAACTCGAATCACATCACACATCCCACGGAAGTCACGAACGATTCAGCACCACAAGGATGTCATTCTTCGACTATCAGCTTTACCCAAAAATGCAGATCTGCTTTCCCCGTTGCTCTCTTCTCTTCCTTTCTGAAGAAGTTGAGAGACAGTAGGCCACAAGATCTGGAAAACACGGTATCGCCTCAAGTCACCTCACCTCAACACTACACACCCATCCCCAAAACGAAAGAAACCCACTCTTCAACCCACTTAGCACCCCGCACAAGTCCCACACCTAATCGCCGCAAACACATTCTGCACACACTGCTCCGAAATACCCGGCGGAAGCATGATGAACGAGGGCGGGACGTCGACCGCGATGGGACGTTGAGGAGGCACGACGTCCGGTGTTGAGATCGGGGGAGGAGAGATCGGAGGATCGACCTGAACTGGTGGCTGTGGGGGGATCTCGCCGGTAGTGGATGTTGGAGGTTCGATCAGGTATGCGGAGTCGTGGGCGTCGTTGTTGCAGGGGGTTTGGACGTCGTAGTTTCCGTGCTCGAAGAGTTGGCAGGTTTTGATTGGGTATTTGCTGTTGGAACCTTGGCGGGCTGTGTAGAGGACGCTGTGGTGTTCATGTTAGCACGGTGTAGGATCAAGAAATAAGGAGCTGGAAGGAGAGTGGGGAGACTCACGACTTGCAGTTCGGGGTGCCGGCGCAGATGTGGATGCAGTATTGCAGAGATGGGACGTCTGGAATGACAGTGATCTCTTTCTTGCCGCCGTCAACATGGCGACAGCAGAGGATGTAGAAGGATTTGTCTGGACCGACGGCATATCTTCTATCCTGGGCTGGAGTGTGGAGGTTGAGTCAGTACTTTTACTTGAAAATTACTTCAAAGGCAAAAGAGAGGGATCCATTAGCTTACAAGTTGGACAAACAGCTTCAGGCACAGTCGGAGCATCTAGAAGCTCAATACGGCTCCTCGGCGGGCACTTGTACGTCCCTTGCGACCCCTTCGAAACATCAACCGGTTTACCAGTTGAGTCAAAAGATCCCCCGAATGGACCCTTAACCACATCTTCTCCTCCAGCACTAGGATGCGATCCGTCCGGATTAAGCGGCGTCTGACCCGTCTCGCCTGGCTGCTGTACAGGAACTCCACCACTCTCATGCGAACCAGACGTCGAGCCTCCGCCTTCAACAGGCTTTGTAGTGTCAACAGGCCTACCACTTTGGTCGAACGAGCCTCCGAATGAACCTTTGATGACGCCGGTGTCTCCGGATGAGCTGGGAATAGATCCTGTGCCGCCGGTTTGCGGATTCTGCGATGTTTGGTCGCCTGTTTGGCCTGGTTGCTGGATGGGGATGTTTCCGCTACTGTGGGAGCCGGATGTTGAGCCTCCTGCTTCGATGGGACGGCTGCTTTGGTCGAAACTACCGCCGAATGGGCCCTTGATGGGTTGCTGGCCTTGCTCACTTGGCTGTTGGGTTTGTTGATCTCCGGTGGAGGGGCTCACTGGAACGCCACCAGTACTTTGTTGCCCTGTGGTGGTATCAACTGGCTTGCCAGTGTGATCAAAGCTGCCTCCAAATGGACCCTTAATGGGTTGTTGGCCTTGCTCGCTTGGCTGTTGACTTGACTGATCACCTGTCGATGACCCTCCGGTGCCCTGCTGACCGGAGGTATCAATTGGTTTCCCAGTATGGTCGAAACTTCCACCAAAAGGCCCCTTGATTGGAATTTGTCCTGAATCCCCTGTCTGAGGTTGAGATCCAGTTCCAGTTCCTTGCGTACCTCCTTGTGGGACATCACCACCTTGGATAGGAATATTACCAGTGCCGTGTGTTCCCCCAGATGGTACATCCCCGGTGATTGGCTTACCAGTCTGATCAAAGCTACCTCCGAATGGGCCTTTGATAGGAGCTTGCCCCTGATCCCCAGGTTGTGTTCCGCCTTGAATGGGGACATTTCCAGAGCCTTGTGTACCCCCGGATGGCACACCTCCAGTGATCGGCTTGCCACTTTGATCGAAGCTACCTCCAAACGGACCCTTGATGGGTACTTGTCCTTGATCACCAGTCTGCGGCTGCGTTCCCCCTTGTGGGATATCACCACCCTGGGTCGGAATGTTACCTGTGCCTCCTTGAGTTCCTTGCTGTGCGGGTAAATCTCCTCCAGTGACAGGTCTTCCACTTTGGTCGAAACTGCCTCCAAAAGGACCTTTGACGGGAGCTTGTCCTTGACTTCCACCCTGCGGAACATTCCCACCTTGACTGGGGACGTTACCTGTGCCTCCTTGTGTAGGTATGTCTCCTCCAGTGACTGGTCGACCAGTTTGGTCGAAGCTGCCTCCAAATGGACCTTTGATAGGCTGATCCCCTGTTTGCGGTTGACCCCCACCATGTGGGATGTTTCCGCCTTGAGTTGGGACATTTCCGGAGCCACCGGTCTCAGGTTTTGTTTGATCAAATCCGCCAGTTGATGGCTGACCACCGCCTTGCTGGAACGATCCACCCTGATGACCTGGTTGGAACGAGACGCCTCCAGAAGTTTGATCTGGTTGGCCTGGGATATTTCCACCCTGAGTATCGGGTTTTCTGTCGAAGGATCCTCCGAACCCTGTACCCGTACTAGGCTTTGTATCAAACGAGCCTCCACTTCCAGTGCTAGGTTTGGTGCCTTGACCTTGTTGTCCTGTTGTACCGGAATCCGGCGTTACGAAACCTCCTTGGAAGCCTGCAGGAATGCTCTGCGGTGCACCAGGTGTCCAGCTCCAGTAATAACCATTCCCGGACTGGCTGTATACCCACGTCCATGATCCTGAGCCTGAAATTCCAGATATAGTGGGAGGTTCCTTGTTCGAAGGAGAAAACACCCATCCAGTTGAGCCTGGCTTTGTAGCAGGAAGCTGCTGAGAAGAAGGTGTGAAAGACCAGTAATAGCCATTTCCAGTTGGTGCAGATACCCATTTCCATGTGCCTGCTGTACCTGAAATTCCTGCTGGCAGTGCCGGAGGTGTGGTCTTTGATGGGGAGAAGATCCATTCTGTCGATCCTGACTGGGGCGGCGGCAGTTGCTGCTGCGGAGATTGAGGCGAGGAAATGTACGACCAGTAGTATCCGTTTCCGTTTGGAGCAGAAACCCATTTCCAAGTTCCTGATGTAGACGCACCAGCAGGCAATGGAGGTGGTGTAGTCGACGAAGATGAGAAGATCCATCCAGATCCTCCTGTTGGTGGATCGGGGAGCTTCTGCTGAGTTGCTGGCTGTTTTCCAGAAGGAATAAAAGACCAGAAGTAACCATTTTCATCAGGACTGCTCACCCATTTCCAAGTACCGGAGCCTGAAACCCCTGCAGGCAGTGGAGGTGCGGTTGTTGATGATGTGGAAAATATCCAGGGAGTGCCTGAACACAGAATTTGGTAAGCAGTGGGAGGTATCTCTGAAATGTAAAACAAACCTGGTGCTGCCGGCAAATTTTGCTTAGGTCCGGCAATGAAGCTCCAGTAATATCCTCCACCCTGGGAACACGTCAGTGTCGCTCTCGGCTTTTGATCCAAGAACTTACTGAAGGCGCAGATATCCACTTCCAAGTACCAGAAGTTGATCCTGCGGGCAAAGGAGGTGCGACACTGTTCGACTGAGAGAATTGCCAAGCCGTGCCAGGAGGCGGTGGAAGATCCTGCTTTGGACCAGGAATAAAGCTCCAATAGTAACCGCCCTGAATCGCATCAGACCGGCCCTCGTTCATGGATTCAATGTATGATAACAGGATTCATCAGAATCTTAAGCATAATACTTACAGACGGACCAGAAATCCATTTCCAGCTTCCATTAGACTGACCAGCAGGCAATGGAGGTGGTGCGGTGTTGGATTGCGAGAATTGCCAAGGTGTACCAGGCGCTGGACCAAGTCCTTGAGATGAAGAAGACGGAGATGACGAAGATGAAGATGAATAACTCCAATAGAAGCCACCCTGTTGTAGAACAAGTTAGGAAAGGTGGAACTTGTTGGGAAAGAGAGCCTTACAGATGTGGGAGCGGGGATCCATGTCCATTTCCCTGACGACGATGCGCCAGCAGGCAGAGGAGGAGCAACAGTATTCGATTGAGAGAATTGCCAAGCAGAACCAGGGGCAGCAGGAAGTTGTTGATTTGCTGTCCACTTCCACTGCTCGCTCCATTGGCCTGACTCACTCTGTCATGAGTTAGTCTCTGTTGATGACCTTACACATTTGAAATCCCTTCTCACCCATTGTTGCGTTGATGAAGACCACGGTTGACGCTTTATATCCCAACCATTACTTTGAGAAGTGATCCAAGGCTGAGGTTTGATGTCCCAGCCGCCTCCTTGGGCGAAGACCCCGAATCCCAAGCTGGCAACAACGCCAAGCTGGGCGGTTCTCATTTTGGAAGTGCAAACTCAATCAGAAAGAATTAAAATAAAAAATAATTGAAGAGAACATTCCATTGGCCCTGAAAGACCTATATAGGGTCTAATAATGAATTCAAAGACCTCTGTGTCCGAGATGCCTCGGTATTGTGGCGTCTTACCCCGACGATCTCTTGTGTTTCTCAGGCACTAGGAGCTTCATTTTCGTCGCACAGCCTCAGTGCTTCCCGAACAGGAATTCAGAAACTTCTCAGGGGTTCATGATGTGACAAATGAACGCAGGAGAGGGATTGAGCGACACTTGTGTAACAGCTGAAAAGCCAATCTCCCCACCACAATACGGGATTTATCAACTCTCCCATTTTGCAATGCCATGACGCGATTGGTTCGCTAATAGAGGGAATCAAAACAAACATCATGGAGCGCTAGCCAATGTCTGCGGATGTAGGTATTAATCGAGATGTGGACTGTCGATATTATCTTAGTAGATGCACTTCGAAACCCTCGACAACACTCTACGCAATTTCTCTCACGGTCCGCTGGTAACACAACCCCCGCATCTGCGGAGATTGTCTTGTCCAATATCTGACGCCGCAAAGATCCCTAACATGTTGTCGAACGTGTGTCTCAGAGTTCTGGATACATTGGAAAGATGAACCAAGAAATTAGAAGGACGAGACCGGGGATCAGCGCATCCAGATGTCGTGACTTTCGTGAAAATCACGACTTGCACTATTGGAGCACCTTCCCAAGGCCTTTCAGTCTGGTCTTGTACTTGTGGTTGCACAACATGAATCGAATTGAACGTTGATTATGTGATAGTAAATCTCTGTCCTTTGGCCAGAAGTTGTCTTGATCGCTGCATAATTTCCTGCCAGAGGTTGCCGATTTCTGGACTGCTTTGCATGATGGAAGATGGGCTTAAAAAAGCTACTGTGAATCTGGCAGTCATTACACTCAGTACTCGATTCAATCACTGAGTAAAGTTTTTCCTGATTTACAAGTACTAAAGAAGACATGGAAGCCAAGATTCTCATGGACACCGACATGCTGTGGTCAACTGGAGATTGCAGATCACGAATAGCAGAGCTGTAGTACGAACCATTTCATTCACCTGCTACCGATCCTCAACTTTTCGGGCATTCCGAATTGTTTGTGTTCTTGATAGATGACTCGAAATGATTAAATTTAATTGGTTCCCCACTCGTCTGTTGAGGGACAGTCACACAGCAGGCTGTTCAACAACCTCACTCATCTCGTTTCCCAGAGCAACTACGATCCCGACGCCACTCAACATCTCCATTTCTTTGTCTTGAAACAATACACCTGAGCAACATTGAATGAAGAATGAACATTAATAATAGACAAATTAAAACCATGAGCTGCGTCGTGATAGTCTCTCAATATGGCAAAAGCAGCTTCCTTTTCTCAAGAAATAATCTTTAGATCTGCTTTTCATGGATAATTAATAGTGGAAACTTGACGAGAGACAATTGTGAGATTTTACATCTGAACACAGCATATAAGATTATCTCGGAGTCATCAGATCGTCAAGATTGAGTATCGTTCAGGATGTCCTTGAAGAGTCTGAAACTCACATTCCGACGAGGTTGGAGAACATCGTACCGAGAAATATCACTACCCGCCACAAACGAGCAAGTTCAACATTTGGGCCCTTTTTATCCACCATCAGTTTACTTCACTCTTAAAACATGTTCTCTAAGTTTCTCATTCTGACTGGCATCACCCAAGTTCTGTTGGTGGATGCTGCTTACTACCCACCAGGATGTGGTCCATGGCCAGCAGGTGTTCCTGAGGTAGTGAATGGCGTAAAGAGACCACCATATCGGTGTGGGGGTGGTCCAGCATGGCCTCCGGAGCAGCCAGGTGAGGAAATTCCATTTACATTCTCAAAGCCCTTCCATTTGGTGAGCAGTTTGGCTAATAGGAAATTTCTTCAGCGCCGATCTCCGTCACAGTCACTGTGACATCCACAACCACAGTACAACTTGCACCAAAGACTGTCACGGAGACTACAGAAGCTCCTCCAAAGACCAAGACTTTAACTGAATTTGAAGAACTTCCTCCCAAGACACGCACCATCATTGAGACGGAAACACTTCCAGCCCAGACCAAAACCGTCATCGAAACCGAAACTTTACCAGCAAAGACCAAGACTGTTACGGAAACGGAGCAGCTCCCAGCAAAGACGAAGACTTTCACAGAGACTGAAACAGAGACATTGCCAGCCAAAACACTCACAGAGACAGAAACTTTGCCAGCTAAGACTGTGTATGTTCCTTGTGCTTCGTAAGGAAGACATTTAATGCTGACAATCACTTCCCCAGCTATCAAGTCGCTCCGACCGAACTTGCTCATGCAGCAGCGAACCAGTGTGCTTCTTGGTTCAGTGATGGCTCTCGACCTGTACCGGTATTTGATCTTGATGGGCAGCCTCAGTGTTGTCTGCCACATCCTGACTCGTACTCGAAAATATATGGCGACTGCCATGTGGGACCGAGAATTTGAGGCGCTTGACGATGGTTGAGGAGAACACTTGGAACCATCTTAAACAAGCAGGCTATGACTGAGTTTGAAGCAAGGGATGAGTCATTGGAAACAGAAGTAGCACAATGGTCACCAGAGCACAGTTCATATGTTCCGTTACAACTGCATTTTAACTCCGATGCTTCAAAGTGTTCTTGCAACGAAACTAAGCCGATTTGAGAGAGTATCAATACCATCGCTGTGTCTAATATTCTTTTTCTCGTCCCGTCATCCTTCAACAGAGATATGTTAGACCTTTCAGACATCTTGTTGTCGTATAAAGTTAACTGGTCGGATCCCCCATGCCCAGGGACAGGTGTTCTCATCCTCTAACTGACGCTCCCTATGTTCATGTTTGATCGTTCAATTCTTTGGCAACATCAGTCTACCCCAAGGATTAAGCTTGAAGCCGCTCTATATTCCGTTTAAAAAACGTGTGAAGATAGTCTTCCGCACCTAAGACATCCCTTTGATAGAACTCAAGTAGCCCTGCGATCATCATATCCCTCTGTTCGACAGCTTTGCGGTCCGTCCGCGAGACTCCAATCCCAAACTCAACCCAAACAGCCAGGTCTTTTCTTCCATCGGCTTTCATTGGGGTTCGTTCCCATCTCAGACGAAGAAGAGGAAACAAGTCGTTGACCTTTGCAATTATTTCACCCTTCACGCTCGGAGTGATAGGCCCAATGATTCGAGCGAAGGCTTTGTTGGTGGAGAATACGAATGAACCTGATGGAAATCCTGTCAGGGGATCCCAGCTGTCTTGGAGCTTGATACTTGGCCAGATTGGAGGCACTGTATGTTGATTCTCAACTGCTCCCGTGACAATAGACAAAGGGTTAGCTGGGTAAGTGTTACCATCCAGCACATGAGGTATGGGTTGCGATGTATTGACTGCCATTTTCTGTGGATCACTGCTTGTCTTCACTCGTGCGGATTGGTCATCTTCTTTTCTTATGCAGCTGGCAAAGCTCGGATGTGGTGTTGTACTTGATTGCCGAGCTACGGCCGGAAGTGCAGGAGACTTTTGCAAATCTTGAAGTTGGGGAGAAGTTGTCTGCTGCTCTATTTCGGAATCCTCATGGCTGAGCTTTTGTTTCCGATAGGATCTTGATTTGATCGAGGCTTGAGGCTTCCGGAAGGATATGCGAAAAGGTGAAACGGAAACGTCTGGTGTGGTTGGTTCGCGAATTTTCTGTGGGCTTGGTGCTTGTTCGATTTGCTTCAATGGTGAAATGCTCTCTGGCTCCTTATCTTCCCTTCCTGTCAGAAGCTTAATGCGATACAGTGCTGTTGCTCGATATTTTGCTGCTGAGGATTCTGGGGGTGGAGGAAAAGCGGCATGAGCAGAGAGTCCCCCTAAGTTAATATCAGCACACTGCACAAGATATTGTGTTGCTATGCCATCAAAACCTACAGAACTCAAGAACAGTGATCTGCCTCGCTTGGTACAGCAGCATCTCCTCTGACCGTCTCAATGCCACCGGTAGTTCAAAGCTTTCAGCTCGAAGACTTATAAGGTATGAACTCACAGACTCGCATAGCTGTTGGTAGCTAATGAGGTTTCCTCCTTCAGGTTCTTCAAGCGGGGGGACAGTGGCTGCCAAGTGTTTAAGAAATCCTTCTGTCTCAGCAGAGCTCATTTTGAATACAATGTGTGACTTATGGCTCTTGTTTTCGCGTCTGAAAATAATCGAAGTGAAAGAAAGATGGATATCGAGACGAAAGTAGCTTTAGTGTTGAAGATGAGACCTTTTCATGTTGTGGGAAACAGCGTTTGGTGTGGAAAATCGCTAGTGGAAACGGCTGCCTGCATATCCTCAATCATTGATGTTGAAACAGCCCAATTCCTACCCCCAATCACGTTTGATAGCTAGATAGGATATTAAAAAGATAGTGGAGACTACACATCCCTCACTCTAACCATCTACCACGTTGCTGTCGTCGGAACTGATGATTTGTTCATCCCTGGTCCTGGTGAATTCATCGTTTCGACAATACCACACATGCTAAGGTGAACTCTGATCAAAGAACTGAAAGGGGAACAAAACTTGATTGTATGCTGTGCTGATCTAGATGTGGCCACAGAAAATGAAGTCAACAAACGCTCGCTTGAAAGTCACGTGCAATCGTCGATCTAACGCACACAGCGTTGCTTTCTAGACGAAGGTGCGGAGGGTCAGATCCATAATATCAAACTTGATTGAAGATTTCAACAATCTTTTCTTCATCTGAGATGCATACTGGAAGTATTCAAGAGGCGAAGTAAGATGAGATCCTAACATTGTATTCCAACAATTGCGCATCCAGTTCTAAAGTTACATGGAGTCCTGATTCAAGACCCATAGTGTCGGAGTAATTACTCTAGAGAAGATCATGGCTTCTTCGGCGGCACCTTTCCAGCTTCTACATCGTCCAGATGGGATACCCGACGGGTCAGTGAATGAGTCAGGGTTCTTGCAAGGGATGACTTGGTGGAACTTTCGATCGGGTTGAGTCCTTCCAGACTGTCATTCTTGGAGCCTGGCCTGTTCTTGCCTGTCTTCTCATCTTCATTTTTAGATTTCCAAGGCGGTCTGAGACTTTGAGCGTAATTCCATCTATTGGATGGCCGTGTTAGCATTTGAGTTATGCCAAGCCGTGCACTTCTACTCACCTCGGGATATTAGCAGCCGGTGGTGGGCGTTTGGATACAAAATGCCAAGCCATCCAGAGTGAATTTCTGATCCAGTCCAATAGTTCCAGCACCTTACCCATAAGAACTGCTGTTGTGAAAGTGAGGACGAATAGAATCAAAATGATACCCACGAACCAATCCCTTCCCATCGCGGGCACCACAACCTTTTGCTCGTCTGGAATAGCAAATATGGCCTATCTCTCAGTCAGCCATGCCTTGCAGAATTTTCACTTATACTTACTGCGGTCAATCCCACTGGAAGGTAGGCAATGGTCAAGTAGGTCAACTTTTGAATAGTGGTACTCTGTTTAAGAGAGGTCATACTCTGTTTGAGAGAGTTTCGACTGTCGTTCAAGGAGAGAACTATAGATAGCTAGAACAAGTTAGATAATTGGCATAATTTGACTACCCATGCTCACCGAGTCTCGATATCGACCACCAAGTTCCGTCTTTCTCTTGATTTTGATGTGCAGGGCACTCAATAAGCACACGTTCCGCTCAAATGACTCGATAGAGGATTGACAGAAGCTCTCAAGCTCAGGGCTGCGCTTCCCAGGGCCCTAGAGTAGTCAGAAAACAATTGTACAGCTTAGTGTTTAGACTTGCCTCTAGTATTTGAGCAACAAGAGCGACTCTTGCCTCATTGATCGTGACCAGAGATCCTTCCAAGGTGTTGCGAAGCTTGTACAATGACTCTAGGATCCAAAGCGCGAGCTGCAAATTCCCAATTGCATCGTCATCTTTGAGCCAATCTTTTTCTCCTCTAAGGAAATAGTTCTGGTATTGTCAGTCTAATTGCTCAACAGCTTAAGATGTGTTCTGTCTATGGAACTCACTTCAATGTTCATGATAGATGTAAGGTAATCGATGGCTTCTTGGTGTTCATCCGCAATCGCTTGGCACAATCTTCCCAAGAGTAAAAGAAATACCAGACAGCGGCCAGTCTGTGGTTGATGGATAAATCGCTGCCAGAGCTTGGGTACATCTTTTTCCAGCTGCAACAATGTTGCCTCTGTGATCAATTCGGATATGATGGAGCATTTGCTGAAGTCACCAAATTCATTCGTAGAAAGAACGATTGAAGATGCATTCAATAGAATGTGTCCTGGCGACCCATCTTCCGCGTTATGAATTCCAGAGTCGATCTGATGTAACGCTTCGTGAAGATGGGTTGGTAGATGGATAGGCTCATCTTCTGGACAATGTTCTGTCTTCTCCTTGGTAGGGCCGAAAACTGGTCGTTCATATTCGCAAGGCCGTTTTGGAAACGACCAGTCAGTGCGGGCAAACGACCAGCTTCTTAATGTGACATTAGTAGCCCAAACACCGCGATTCTTGCATGAAAAGCGAGATGTTTTGAAGATGTTATGAGTGAATGCATCTGCCGACTCGGGATGGAAGACGTATATGAAGTGTGCCACTAGATCCTTGTTGTGGCTTGAGTCTATACTCCTGCTCTCCTCAGTCAGCAATAGTGTCGTCAAACAAGTAAGCGGTACTAGACTCACAAAAGGCGATGCTGCACACCCTTGTCAACGAGCTAATATTGGATGTTAGTGTGGTGATATGCTTCTGGGATGATCAGGTCTCACGCTGTCAGAGAGCCTTCTCGTCACTCTTTCGTACTCCCGCTTTCTAATTGCTTCTCTTGATATCATGCGACCGATCGCGCTTTGTCGGATTCCCTCTTCGCGGACTTCTCCAAGATGTAGGCGAACCATCCCAGCCGTACGAACCCGATATTGATGTGCCGCTTTCCTGTTCACAAACTCGAATTGTTCTGACTTTTGAGCAGTCAAGTCGATCATTGAGATCGCGATTGGAGAGATTGTATCCAGGACAGTCTCTTTGGAGAAGTTTTGGCCAATCAAGAGCTTTAAGGCCTCCGCAATACTCACATTCTCTCGTAATCCTGCACCAGACAGATGCGCTCGAAGACTAGCAGGAATCTCCCTTTTGTGGAGCCGAGCGTAGCGGTAGAGCTCTGGTGTATCCTCGAGAGAATTGAAGAAGTCTTCTGGATGATACCGACTTGGAGGGCGGTATTGCTTCCAATCAAGGCCTGGCAGTCTCTCTTCTTCGCAAGACTGTGCAAATGTCTTCTGTTTAGAACTTTCTGTTGTATCCTCGTCGTCTTTGTCAACAGGGTTGATTCCCGCTTTTGCCTCCCGCAATCTTCTCTCTTCCTGCAACAACGCAAAGTCCTTCTGACATATTTCCAAGAGAGTAGCCCCAAGAACACTTGTGGCCTCTGAACGAAGCCAACCACGACGAGTAGCCAGATCAGTTCTTTCCCAACAGGGAACAACTGAGGATTCAGCCGTGATGAAGTCGCAAAGTCTCTCTCGGTAACTTTCCACCTCTTGCATCTTCTCGTCACTCGATCTCCCATCATTCCTCTTGTACAGATAATTAGCTACCATCAGTCGACTGTGGTGGCACAAAGCATGGATCTCCCACGGTCCACACGTCAGACCTGAGCTGTTGGAAGCGGAAGTTCCTGGGTTGATTTGTCGCGTGAAGTCACGTTCTCGTATGCGCTTGGCCGTGAGTGAGGCAAGTGTTGCTGGACAGTAATCTGACTCAACACGGTCTTCTAGATCAAGAGGCCAGGCTAGGAAGCCCAATCTATCTAGAATTTCATCTTCGGCAACATAAGGTGTGTGAGATGAGAGTTTTGCTTTGGCAGCTCGAACAGCATCTCTTTTGAGGCGGTAGACGGTATTGCTTGCAACACCATCCATCCACGACATAGGAATGAGGCCGGCTTTGCAGAGCTCTCTGATGGAGCCGTAGTGGTACCATTTGAGTAGCATTACCTTGTCTTTGAAAGCTGGATTGAAGTTAGCGTTGTCGTCAGGTACACACTTGTACAAGATACTGTTGATCTTGTCCCAGCCTTTTATATCCTTTGGTGAAGGCCAAGAAAATTTGAAGCGCTCAGTTTTCTTGAAGACGTAACATAATGTCATCATCGCATAATAGTAGTTCGGCTCAAAAGCTAACATGTTGTCTGGTAGCAAAGGAGTATCGGAGTTGGGTTGGAGGAGTGCTTGAAACAAGTACTCGACCACCAGCTCGATGCGATTCCGGATAATTTGCAATTGGTAGTAGGCAGCATATTTCATATAAGCAAGATATTTTTCGACGAATTCGAAGTCATGGTCTTCGTCCCTACCAAAGTCTTGGGTAGTTACTCGACTAACAGTTGCTTCAATTGGGGTCTGAAGTGTGCGAGACTGCACACTTGACTGTGAGACCGCAAAGTCCTGAAGAAACTCGTAGGCTTTTACAAGGAAACGAACTTTCCAGCTAAACATGGACGATGATTAGAACTTGTCTCGAAATCATCTATGATAAATGGACTTACAACATTGCTTTTAGATCCACGTTAGGCTGAAGAAAAAGGTTGCTGACAAGCGCCAAGGGAACGACACTCAGCCTTCGCTGAAGGCTTTCATTTACGCCATTGATGAGCTGTTCTTCGAGGCGATCCTTGTATGAAATCGGTAAGAGGTTCTTTTCAATAGAGACTGCTGGGTACTCTCGCTGCTTGCCCTTCCTAAAGGCAGTTGGCACAAGGTCCACATGTATTATCTTCTCGAGACACCGTGCTACAAGGCGATCTTCGGAGAGTTCGGATATTCTCCCTGTCAATGATTCTCGCTGTGCGAATATAGTTTCCCACATGGCTCCGACTGCAGTAGGCTCCGATGAGCTGATGCCTATGTGTTTGTATATCTCATCCGACGTTGGAATGTCAGGCCAGGCCGGTAATTCGGACTTTTCTCGCAGTCTGAACGATGCCATGAATGTAACAGTGCGTCCTGTGCAGGTATCTCTGTTCACACCCTTATCGTAACTAAGCTCTGCTTCCGCTTGGAAATATCCGATGCCGTTGTCTGAAGTCGGACGCAATGTAAGATCCGAAAATTGACTGTCGTAAGGTCCAAGTCGAGTAACGCGGATATCCAATTCGAATGCTGGATCGGTCCAACAATCGCTCAGCGATATTCCTTGACCGCTCTCATTGATGACGATCTCTCGATAAGGAAGCTCTTCTGGGCCATGATGCTCTTGATGGGGACAGGGTGATGTGCTTTTCTTCTTGCTCACTATGGATGACTGGTCGAAATTCCGAAATCTCATCGGACCTCCTACCTCAAGAACGACATTCCCAAAGTAAGGGAACACTGGAAACTCGTCTGCTTCCCATCTCGTACTGGCCTCGAGTCGTAATATCTGATAGAGTACGCCGTCCTTGACAAAGGAAAGCATTGCGCAGGTGCCCACTTCTTGTTCCGTGACATAAGTCCTGGTAGGCACGCTTTCGATGCTCTCGCCTTCGCGCACACTACCACTGTCCATATCGCATTCGCTCTCGTCGTCTTCAACTGCATCGAAGTTGCTAATGAGAGCATATTCGTTGAATGGCCACCGGTGATTGAACGAGCCACGTTCGATCATTTCTCCAAGACGGATTGCTGAGCCAGTCCTTTTTACCGGATCGTATTGCTGCGGCGATACTGGAATCTCGAGTCCAAACGTTGAAAGTCCTACATAGCTTCGCTGAGCTCGAGCAAGAGAGGAGTACAAAGTTGATTCAAAGTTTCCTTGTGCGAAGATGATGCCTCTCTGCTTGGACTTGGCACTCATATGAAGAAGCTTGCCACCATCATTGCAGGATGCAGCATATCCCTCCTCGCCAAAGTCGAAGGAGCATGCTGCTTTGTGAGACTGCTCAGTGTAGCTGATATATGCAGAGCCTAGAATCCTTTCAGATCAGTTCTTGTCAAAATAGATATGATGTGAACACTCCGACTCACCTCGTGCCTCACGGCTGAGCCAGTTAAACGAATTTTCCATCCCATTGGAGCATCCAGCCTCGCTGGCTCCTCTTCGGGCCTTCATTGGAAAACTTGTCGTAATCTTCATTTCAATCCAAAAGGTTGGAGACGATCTGAGCTGATTCTTTGATGACTCTTGGTACAGATAACGAAAACAAATTGACAGAAGAGAGCATTGCTAAGCAATTTTACAGCTGAGTTTCCTTCCCATCTCGACATCACTGGGTCTACAGCCAGCTCGGAAACCCATAACCTCCGGCCGTAACCTCATCAATTCATCTACAGGAGGGTATAGCACTCGCAATATTGGCTTTGCGTTGTGCAACCGTAATGCCAGTATAAGCATTGTTAGTGGGCGGTGATTGCACAATGATTTTCCTGCCGTTTGGGAAGCGGAAGGCGTCCAACCAGGGGCTGCGGCGTTGGAACAGCTGAACTCCGCAGATAAATCCCCGTCAATTGACAGCTTTGCTGCAGTACAGACCAATCAGAACATCGTCTCCGGATAAAACGGAGCACGAATATGTATCCAAGGGTACTTCCGCTGTCAAAAGAGCGTGGGGTGAAAACGGCTCCTCAGACTAGTTCAATTTGGTGTATACTTCCAGCCACGACGGAGCGAAAATGCAAACGACTTACCTGAGCTGAGACATACAGCGCAATACTCATTACTACTGGAAGACTAAATGTCGGCTTCGTAGAACAATGCGAGGTAAAGAAGAGGATGATCGCAAATTTGAGGGCAGATCGAACATCTTTTGGGGGCGAAAGCCAAAGTGCAGCCTTCACATCAGCTTGACCTTTGCTATGAAAATGGAGTAAATGCCGGAAAATATAGCAGAGCATTCTTAAAAGACTAAAGAAAATCAAGGAAGCCACTCAGAGAAAAGCGCTCGATCAAAACAATACAATGTTGCTGGACACGGAGATACGAAAGATCCGGACTTGATAAGAACCGGAATCGGACTTACGTATGTACACAATCCATCATTAGAGACTGGGCTGTGATATCAGAGACAATGAGTAGTAAATAAACAACAAGAGAAGTCCGAAGTCAAGGAGTGGTTCAATCCATACCGAACTGAAGATGTAAGATGCCCATAATGAGCTGGAAGGGCCAAGGTTCTCATATGTCCTTCTGTTCTGCCCAGTCAGAGTTCAACAGACGGCACCATGCAATTCCAGGATCTGAGATCCCTACAAAATTCCGACTCCTACCATCTCTTTATCCTGCTGCCTTAGCCCATAGTGAAAGCTGCAAGGACGCAGCTGTCAAGTATTCTTGCCAATGGTCGGTCTTGCTGGCACGAAAGCACCTACAAGGACCGTGGACTAAATTTATAGGCAAATAGATATCTCGCTGCACATAAAAACACTCCGCTTCAAGACCACAAGGTTAATCATCGGCCTCCGAGCTAACCCCATGAAACGAGCCGCTCCATGAAACATGAATGTCTACTCCCAAATCACGTGGCAGCGCAGCTCAATATATCCAAAACCGGCCCCTTCTCACGCAATCCACAGTCCAAACAGATCAAGCTTTTCTCGACATCCACAATTCTACAAGACAGAATTTACGTCTAACAAATCCCCGATACATCCCTCGGTATAACACCACATCTTTCAGATCCTACACGTGATAAGGGTCCCTCGCTTAAAGTCTATTTAGGTGACAACTCCGCCCCCGCGATCAGCTCAGACCCCTCATGGATGCGCTTCTGAAACTCCAGCTGCGACGAAGGAGCACACACACGCATCTTCAGACGCAGGCAACGATCAAACTCCAGGGCGTCGTCTACCTTCCAAGAAGTTTCGTTGCAGCGCGAGAAGCGGGAAGAGGGAGATGGAAATAGAAATAGAAGTAGAAATAGGGTTCGGGTTACGGCATTTGAGGTCGAAGGCCGATATTTTGCGAACGAAGGGCCTTTATACTTACGAGTCGTTCGGTTTAGTAACAAGAGGCTCGAAACAGAGTTGAGCTTGTCGCTTCGAGATCAAGTGTTTCCTGGAGACCAAGGATGGGATTTTGCGAGGTGAAGGATGTTCGGAAATTGGCGAAGAAGAGAATGCCGAACGTTGCTTGATGAATTTTCCTTTGTTTCTCACTCCGGGTCGCTTGGCATGTGGGATTTGATACCGAGAGCTGTCATGAGGATACCTTGAAGGCGGGAGAAAGCAGGTTCCGCCCCACCGCAGAAGGGGCAGTAGAAGGGGCACTTTCCTAAAATAACGACCTCACAGCTGTCAAGGGATTTTTATCACTATGAATTGACTGTCTATTAACAGCCACAAAAAGTGTTCGACAGTTACATGATTGTTATTCTACGAAAGTGCCGCTGCCACAATAGGGCGGAATCTGCTTTCGCCTTTAAGATAGTAGTATATCGAGTCAGTAGTCGTACGTACGTGCACTTGACTTAAGAGCTGTGACGCTTGGAAGTAGGTGGTAATCAGGGCGGAGAACAATGTCGGTGTCTAGAAATGGGTTCCGAAAGCTTCATCGTCAAGTCAGCAGCTTGCCAAAGTGGAGAGCATGCAGAGTGGACGTTCTAGACTTCTGAACGTTGAGGAGAACTCAGGTGGGGCCCATCGTACCAGTGGCCTGGTATGCGCATCAAGCGATATCTTTGACTCTGCCGGCCTGTGCGTATGTATATATTTGCAGCCCATCTTCAAATTCTGGGAAGGTGGACGCGGGGTCCGCCGTTGGTGCGGGTGGTTCAGGTAGTTGGAAATGGTCAAATTTGGATCTCCAAAGTAATTGTGGGAATTGTAACTGATCTTGGCTTGAAAATCCTATCAATACATTTAAGGACCGAGGTCGAACACTTTCTTCGGGCATGGATGTTGTTGAATTCGGCGATCAGATTCCGCGCGAGTAAGGAATTAGCGAAGTCCTTGCGGGCCACTTTAAGGAATGGACTATGGACGAAGCTCATTGGAAATTTAGCTTCGACACGTGTTTCTGTAGTGGAAGGCGATATGGAGCAGAAAGTTCACAGAACCAAGCCCGTGGTAAAGCCAACGAAATGTCGGTCGACGAACTTAATCTGTATTCGGCGATAAGAGCCATGGAGTTTGAACACTGTTACAGAGAAAGGACATCGAGAGAGTATTTGTGATGAGGTATCTTACTGATGGCCACGATCAAATATCTTCTGGTATATACGAACAGTCCATGTCTCCGTCCCCACTCTCCCACCATGATGTACACATCTGAGTCCACAGCCAGCACCACAATCAAGTTCCAGATCACCACCAACGCCATGCATATGATCCACTCATCAAGAGACACACTCATATCGTACCACACCACACATAATACACCAAAGAAAAGGCAAGTGATGACCAGCAAGTTTGACAAAGAGGAAAAAGGTATCATTAGAATCGAAAGACAACATCCATACACATCTCATCTCACGCCCGATCCAAAAATGGGACCGAACTCTTCCAACCTCCACACCAGATCAGATCAGATCAAAAAAAAAGAAACCCCCAATCAGTCCCAAAGGACAAGACAAAACACCGAGCTCCTCGCCAAGTCTCAATATGTCAGCCAAAGCGACTTCACAATCCAAGCCAGTGATGGCCACTGTACAAGTAAATTGCCCCGAAGAACTTTTGGTCCTGTTCTTTTCTATGCCCTCTATAATCGTATCCCGCGGAAGTAAAGTTTGAATCAAGGGACATTCATATCCAGTCGGCCTTCGTGCGCTTCTGTGTATTCGAAGCCTGTCTTACTGGACCCGCCATGGGAGACCCAGGTGGGTTTGCCCGAAGTGGGTTGTTGTTTGGCTTTGCGACAGCTGGCGTGGTCTTACTCTCGGGCGAGTAGACTGTCGGGCTTAACGAATAAACAGTGGGGCTGAGTTGAACTTGTGACTCGCGGACCTTTTCTATTTGCGGGAGGAAGGCCTTGGGTGTTGGGGGTAGCGTCTTGTTGATTGAAGCGGGGCTTTGTTGTGGCGAGCTGGTGATTTGAGTATTGAGTGGTGAGGGCATTGGCTTCTTGCCCGCGGATGTTTGGAATGAGGTTTGTACTTGGAGAGGTACGGTTGGGTATGTACGCTTCGATGCCGATGGCGAGGTTGGAAGACTTGAGTTGGAGGCGGAGTATGTAGTGGATGGTAGCGGTAGGGTGCTATAGGTGGCAGTTGGAGATTTCGGCGCTGGTGGTTTGAGCGACATTGCCTTGTATGTCGTAGAAGGTAATGGGAGGGAGTCAAGATCTTCTTGAGAAGGTGTTGGTGCATGCGATATGCGCAGCCCAATTTGTACTGTCGCTGACGAAGCGATGGAGGAGTCTCTGCGATGCCTTGATCCACCTGGAAATCGTATTGCTGGTGGCGGCGTTAGTTCACTAATGTCGTATACTGAGTCTTTCTGTTGTCCCGCTTTGGTTGGACTGCCACCCTCGGTCGGGAAAAGCGAGTATGAGGGTTTTCGTGCGTGCGTTCTTGCTTGAACAGCTGGGCAGACTGTCGCAACCTCTGGCAAATTCGGCAAGGTGCTGCTCATCTCTGCTTCCTGTCTTTTCGCCGAGCCATATGGTGGGCTTCTCAGAGATTCCATTGAGATCCCTCGTCCCTTTTCAAGTCCTATGAGACTTGCTTGACTATCAGAACGGCACAACTGATTGTCGTTGGTCGTCCGTGGCCCAGTTACTGGGTTGGTCATATGTGCGTACATTGCCAGCTCATTTGGCCCAAACATTCTGATCTCATGTCGCGGCTGCGCCCACTTCTTTCCAGCCGTCTTTGGGGCGAATGAAGTTGTTGCGGTATTGCATCTTAAGAACAGTTGCAGTAAACCGCTCATCAGTCCTGATAAGTTCAAAACTACAGTTGCCATCATGGCAAGCTTGATATCACCCTCCTTATCGATCAAAGAGAAAAAGAAAGGAATAACGAATGCCTATTATGATCAGTCAAGGTACTCTCATAGTCAGATAGCTGTACATACCAGAGATAGTATACCGAGGACTAGGTAGTATACCATCCGCGAAGCAGCAATTCGCTGGTGCTGATCAATCAAGTTCACTGTTGACAGTCGGATGAAGATTGTCAGAGCAGCTGCAATCATCAATGCTCCCACTGTAGTCAACATCACAAATCCTATCTTTCCAAACTTCTGGATGAACCATATCAATGAAGCGAAGCAGGCGTTGGGCTCGGGTCGAATGAATGACGGTATCCAAGTGAGAATCAACATAACCACCACCACTGAACAGCAAATAATTACATCCCATTTCCCCCTCGCTTGAAATGGTGTACTTCGAAAAGATCGGATGGCGCATTCGGTACCGAATACTAATTGAATGTATGGCACGATGAACAGTGCTAAAGCTCGTTAGCTTAGTTCAGATTAGTGACAATCCACCACGTACCTGGCCACATGAACTGTGCTATTAACCCACATCCTGTTGCAAACAGTGATGTGAGACCTTGTCCTTGTACACCTGCAAAGACAAGACCTTGAATAACAATTCCTATCGCCAACACTAGAGGGAAGGTTTCGGCAGGATGTATCGACGACACACAAAATTTCCTTCTCACAGTCAGCACTCATCTACCCCAGTACTCTCATATACTCACGATGCCTTGAACTTTGGGTTACATCTCTTCGATGCCCAGTAACAGTCGTACAGGATACTGCAGGCGGTCGCAAACGCAGCCAATACATTGAAAGTGGCCAGAATAATCGTCGACGTCCTGACCGACTTGCTCTCAGCAAATACCAGATTCGATATCAAGTTGAAAGTAGAGTTCCCTCCTGATCCCGTCCTGTTGGTCGCCGATTGGTAGAATGGGTTGCCCGTCCGATTCCCTCTCGTCGACGTGTGGTTCACCGCGGCCCTCACCATCCCATGTACCATCCTATCCGCAATCAACTTCGCCGAAGCAGCCATTATTCCTTCTTGCTCCCCAAATTCCATCAATAATCGTTATTATCGTTGGCAGCGAGCCGGAGCGTTGCCGTTCGAAAATGTTGTTTAAGTCATGAAGATCGCCTGCGTCGTGTGGGTGGTGGTGAGAGAGTGGAGTATGGAGATGTTAGAGAAGAGAAAGAATAGATTATGGAAGAAGGTAAAGACTGGAGCACACCGATAGGCCAGAACGGTGGAAAAAGTAAGATGAAACGGGTTTCCGAGCCAGCAGTGTGATGACCAGAAGCACCAACGAATGGAAAGACGACAGGAAAAACTGACAGCAACACACTCAGAAAGAGAACGTTGAGACAGAGGTTTGCCTGCTCCAGGATTGCATGAAGTATAAAAGAAGTGCCCAAGCAGAAAGGGTAGACGCACGTCTAGTGGTCCAGGCGCGGGAGAAGGCCAGGCCGGGTTGCTAGGACCGACCTTATGGTGGGGGAGTGGCTCCGCAGCTTGTCTTGCTTGGGGAAATGCCGTCAGTGGATCGAGAGACGATAACCTGACTGGCTATACGTTTCTACTTGCCAGCCAGGATCGCCGTCGAACGAGAGGCTCGTTGCAGGAGCGCCCAATCTAACTGGATCTATGGTCCACCCCATGTGCATCGGTAGCTGGCAGAGGCAGCGGGAGGCATGGCTTCTGGCCTGGCATCTGGACAATAGTGAACCCAACTAAGGTCTTCGTCCGTAGGCGTGGCGTGAAGCCAGCTCGTAGCTGTGCTTGGGACTTTCAAAACTTGAGGCAAGGCGAGTCAGAAGGTTGCGATGAGGCACACTTGGAGTTTCGGTGTCGTCGCAGGCTCTCGCTTAACCCCCTGAAACCACGGGACAGGGGCAGTGGAGCAAGGAGTTCATGCAAAGTGGTCCAGCGAGTCAGAGAGTGCGACACGAAGAAGATACTTCCAGATCCCAGTGCTGTGAGCAATTGTGGGTAAATATTCAAGATTTCCAGTCCTCTCACTGGATAAAGCCATGGATGAAGTTCGTCGGTAGACATTGGACTGCATCGCACGGGCTTGAAGGTGATCTGATTTTCATCAGCCAAAAGGCGTCCCATCAATTGATTTACTCGCCTCGAGAGTCGTTCACAAAGATGTGTATCAGAGCTAGTGATTTTGAGTCTTTTGGTACTCAGCTCTGTTGTGGGCTTTTGCGGAGATATATCAAAACATGCACAGCCGGCAACCCCGACTGGTCAAACGAACAGATGGAGAAACGGAGTATTCGCCGGAGAGGTTCGTCCAGAGTGACAAACTTCCAGACTCTGGGTGGCTTCGCCAGGGCGATGGAGCGAGACCGTCGGCACTGGTGGCGTTGGATGAAGCTCCAAGAGTCGCAAGATATGGGATGAAACTTCTTTGATAAACGTCCCGTCCTGTCCTGAAGTTTGCGAGCGGAACTATGTCCGTTTAGTATGGACGAAAAGAAGCATACAATGAGATGCGATTAGTTCTACCTTCAAAATGTCGAACAGATACTTGCGAGCTGTGGATGTCAAGGTTGCGCGCATTCGAGGTTCAATGTCGCAACAGAGCTGACCTCAAGAGGACAGAATATCCAAATCACGTGATATATGTCCCAGTAAAATCTGCCGAGCCAATGAAGCCATTTACACAATTTTGCTATTATCATCACTTCCAAGATATAGGATCCGTTTGGAAACAACCCAAAAGTCTAGTATCCAGCTGCGCCATCATGTTAAGAAAGGAATTCAAGCCGTTCGGCTCATGGTATCCGATGCCATCATCATCAGCAATCTATCGGATCTTCCTCATCAATCAAGCTTGTTTTTCCCCCGATTTCATATGCACAAGGCTAGGTGGTTCTTAGCCGACCTCAAGTATATTACTCTTGACATCAAGCTCCACTCTATATGCACGTCAACGCTCAGATAACTACTGCGCCTACCCTCACCACAATACTGTTCTCGGCTCGCAAGAAAATTTTGTACGCTTTTCATTCGCTGTTCTCCTTTCTCCGTTCTATTCTCATTTCGACTTGTTTCGTGCATGAATGGATACTCGTATTAAACCGGTTGAGAGGAGTTGGATGCAACAGTAACCCACGGACTCATCCGAACTATTGCTTCTCCCCCACCTTTCCTTGTGGATAGTCAGCCCCGATCAAGCATCGTGTATCGACAAGGTGTGGGGGCATCCTCGCTTCTTGACCCCTCTTACCAGTCCTGCAATATAACTTCTCTTATCGCTCCCTCGTTCTCGTCTTTTAGCCTTCCCGTTGACAAAAGTTCCCGTTCTCAACTTCTGGCAACCGGTCGGCTTGATGCGGCTGGTGGGGTCGGTTAATCTATTTGATTTCCATCCGATCTGCCTCTAGTGAGCTTGACACAAATCCTAAAGTCTAAGTCTACATCCGTAGCTTCTTTGTCGTGATATCGAAAGGATAGGCTAGATACAGAGATTGCAGTCGAAATGCGGAGAGAGAGTGGGGGTTATGTTCTTCATGGGCGGATCTCAAGAAGCAGGAACTTCCCCTCTCATCTCGATATCTGTTTGGAGGCCATGAAGTGATTTTCTGAGACGTGACGATGATTTACAATCCATTCCAAAGGCTTGGGTGCCATCACTCATCTACTTGGGTGACCGAAAGAGGGGTTCGGGAGGGGCTTGTTCCGGATGCACGGCAGAAGTGCATGCATGACGGCTCCCTGGACCGTCGCCTTGGCTTAGGATGCAGCTGAAATCGTACCGTTCTTTGGGGCTTCGAGAAGGATTGCGGGGAATTTTGTAGGAGGTTGATTAAAATTGCTCGCGGAAGTTCATCTGATCAAGACACTGGCTGTGGCCACAACGTGACGAACCTCGACAGGATATGTGGGATCTCATGGGAAATTTGTGGGACAATGGACATAACTCCTTGTAAATATGTCTCTTCCATGTTTTGATTTCTCAGCTTCTTCTGTGCTGCCAGGGAGGGATGTCACTACTTCATGCTTTCCAAAGTTTAACCCTTGTCATCTACTTCAAGAGCAGCAGTATGTCACAGCTGCGTCTTGGGACAGCATGATATAGGTGTGAATTGGATCATGTTGGATTGGCGTATGAATAAGTGCTTTGGAAGCAGTCAATTTTCAGAAGACGCGTCATTCGATTCTGTGAGGGGTTCTGCTTCGGGGAAATGAAGAAACCTGCTTCGATTTCGTGTCTATGCTTTACCTTCTGGAAGCCATACCAGATTCAAACGTCCCTGTTACCAAGATAATATCACAACTCGTTTCTCGCTCATCAGTAATCACTCTTCGCGTCCAAGAAAGCATGAGACACCGTCGCATCTGAATTCGTCATTGTAGATCTGTGTTGTCATCTCGCACGGCACTAACGAAGAATTCCCTTGAAGTGAACATTGCAAGATTTTGCATTTTGACCATCGTCTTGTATTACACATGTTCAACATTTGGCGCCTAATGAACATAGCCAAGGTCCGTTCCACTCGCCCAAAGTATCTCAGCATCATCCATCGATTTCCTGCTCTGAAATCCTGAGGCCCGAGTGCAATTCACTTACAATCAAGCCTGGAGAAAGCGGAACACTGACATGATCTTCCCTGTTTAAATCACTTGCAGTCTTTTCCTCACCATCGTGATGTTGACCATGAATGAAAATTTTCAAAGACATGGATGATGGAGAAAAGTGAGCAGCTTCAGCGTGCATAGAGCTTGAGTCTTCAGAGCCAAACAAAGTTGACATGCTACCGACTGACAGTTGCTTGCACTTTGACAACAGAGCAATTACATTTGACACGATGAATTTCTGTCTGGCTGAAGGTAAACATCCAAGCGAGGTTTCAATATCCAAGCTGTCACTCTTCGTGGACACTGAGCATTGAACACAGAAAACATATCTGCAGAGCCTCTCTTCCATACTGGTCTTCGTATATTGCAAGCTTGGGAATAGTTATCCAGTTCAGTCTCGAGTGGGTGCTCTTAGAACACAACACTGTGTCTCCTCAAATGTTAAGTAGAAATTGAATGTCCAGACAGGAAAGGACAAATCATGATTCACTTCCAAAGAGCGCCTTCTCTAGACAGCTATCTTGCTCTCTGACAATGAATGCAATGACAAGTTACTTTTTTTTTTACTACGAAAGCTAGAACTTTCAGATATAAAGTCTGATATGATTTCTCTATCAGTCGCTATGGTTCAGACATACTGAAGGAGACAAGAATATGTTGGTGGTAGTACCAAGGCTGAGATCACAGCCTGGTAGAAATTATGCATAGCTTTTGACATGAAAATGCTGGAGTATTTTTTTCATGCTAACCTGGGTCCATTCTTCGGGTTCGAACCCTCTCGAGCTTGATGAGCGGAGCTTAAGACACCTCTCGTTGACGGCAAGAATGAGTATGACAGCAGGTCCTAACTTCAAGTCTTTAGTCTTACTCTTGGGTGCATTGTGGCGAAAAATAATATGTGCATATCAAAGTGATTCAGGAGAAACAATAGAAAGAATTTGATATTTATTCTTCGGAACTTCCGAACGTGGTCATGTCAGGCGTTCTCCAAAACGTAAATCCATATTAGCTTTTGTGTTCTAGATGACCAAATCAAATAATTCATACTAGCTATTTATAGATAAGTTGAAATGCAATAGTGTAGAGCATTTGGTTTCCTACGGAAAACTAATCTGTCCTGTTTACAATACAACTGTTCACAGCACATAGTGATGTCTTAAACCATGGCTCTAGATTATTCACTCAACCTGGACTCCATGGTAGGGGAGAAGTCAATATGGTTTTGTCCATGTACGACGTTACCTTCTCCAGGGTAACGTTGGGGGTTCCTATATATTTTCGGCATGCTTCAAGCAGTCGCTACTGTAAACAACAGCAGAGGGTGGCAGTACAAGGGTGATGGCGTGCCAGACCATGAGAGGCACACAGCACACTCGTGGCTGGATAGCTCAAACTTGAGGAAATCTCGAAATGTTTCAAGGCAACGTCAGTCCATGTCTTCAATAGTACCGAGGTCCATTCTTAGCACACATGACGCTTGGTAGGACTTGACTGAAGGATATTGACAGCACGTTACAAATTGACAGCTGCTAATCTATGCCTCCAAAGAAGTGCCAATCCTAGCTGTTTTCTTCTTCGAGTAAGTTTCAGGTGTCAAGACATCGTAAGTTGTCCTCATCACTCATGAAAGACGCAGTTCCGCACTTGCCCGAGGACATGGCAAGAGACTCTGCAGCACTGTTCGGAGAGGGATCGGAGAACGGCTATAACAGAAATGGAATAGAACAGCGGTGGCACGGAGAAGTCTAATCATAATAGAAGTTCTCTGCGAGAGTTCGATGCTAAAACAAGTTCTAAGTTCCGAATTTGAAATCTGAACACCAATCAAACTTTTTCTAACCTGAAGTCCTGTGCTGCCATCCAAGGGAGCTTCACCGTAAGCGCAGGGTATATCTCATCTCGTACAAGTGTCTCTGTAAATTCGACCTTTCGCATCCCAGTAAATGCATTTATCTATTTGTCTCCTGCTGAATCGCCCTACTTTGTCTTCTTTTGCTTCGCCTCCAAACTCTTCAACACAACCCCATTCCGCACCAAAAATGCATTATTCATATCCACATATGTATGATACATAGCATATAATGGCAAGAATACCCACAACATATTGAAGAACACCAGGTATACCCACTTGAACATAAAGTTGCTTGCATCGAGGTTCTGGTTTCCAGTCAACCACTCGGGGCAGAATGTCATGAAGCCTGTACTCATTAGCATGTGCCCCGGTAAACTCAATCTGTATCATACCTCCATACAGCTCCCCTGTAGCCAAAACAACCATCCAAAACCCGGTCATAACATCCCTCCTCACAATCCCCCAACAAATATACAACGCCAGCGGGCCCGCTCCTAAAACAGTCAAGAGCTCCAAACTAATAACCGTCAGATCCGCGCCTCCCCACCTGCTATCCGCCTGCGCATACACCATCCACAGCTTCGTCGCCCAATTGTCTCCATACTTCGCGCCAAACAGCCTATCAGGCTGAGACAAGAAGTTTGTGATCAGCGCAGGATGGTGGATAGCGGGGTCGAATGGCGCGGATGTGAAGAAGCAGTTGTAGAGGAAGGAGCCTTCGAAGATGGAGTGGATGAGGAAATCAAAGAAGTGCCAGATGAAGAGGATGCGGAGGCGGGAGGGCGTGCTGCGGTGGAGGAGGGAGAGGGAGAGGAGGTAGGATGTTGCGAGGATGGCGACTACGGCGAGGAGGGAGATGATGGTTGTGGTGTCAATGTGGTCCATTATGGAGCCCGTTGAGGTTGAGGAGGAGGAGGCCATGGTGGTGTTTCGCGTAGAGACGCGTCGGGGTGTTGACTTTGAGGCGGGGGTGGTGAAGCGTGGAGGTGAGGATGTTGACGGGAGGGACTCGTGGTGGAGTTGAGCTTCGAGCTTGTGTGGAGACGAAACGGGAGTGGCGTTTCATGCCAAGCAATTTTGTCGGTCGGCTCGGTAAACCCCTGAACTTACCTACCTTACCCCTGAGATCTCCACTGGCTTCAAAACATCGCACCAGCCGAGAGTTCGTATTCCTTTTGTATGAAACAGAAAGTCAAAACGAAGCTGGAATTTCCCAGTGGATCAATCACACTCGGTCGTATAACTCAAGGTAGTATTGGAGGTGGCTTAGATGCTTCATTTCTCTTGCAGCCTCATAGTTGTCGCGAACTCTGGAAGCAGTCTCAGATTAATCAAACAAAATCCTTACGAAACTTGCCGAATCCACAGAGGAGGGAAGACAATTATCTAGGATGTCACTCGTGATCTGTGATGCTCTCTCGGAAATGAGTTATCATGGTACAACTGTCTCACAAGAAGTTCAAATGAAAGGGATTTACGATCCGAAACCAGCCGAAAGGTGGAGGCTCAGCAAAAGAGTATGTATGCCGTTTCTTGACAACACTTCTGAAAATGACAACTTGGTTGGCTTCTCCACTTTGTCATATCTGCTCTAATGCGTAGCGGGGCCCTCCATTGACATTCAACATATGCTGGAATCCATGCTGAGTACAAATGTTTTGAAGCTTCAAAACACTTAGGTAAAGCAAGGACCAAACAGAGTCCGGTGCAAGGCCAGTCTTTCCACTCTCCACCTGTATATACCATCTCGGGGTTTGGATAATTGAGAGAACTCTACCCCAGGCTAGAGACCTTTTTATACTCTAGAAGGCAAAATAAAAGAGAAGATCAGGAAATTGAGGATGCATCCCCAGGTCACTCACTCACCCACACATTTCATGCACCGCCATCGATTCACTCCTCATGTACATCTAGTCGGTTAACTCCATCTATTTCAGCAGTATAAATACACTTCGCATGAGAGAGTTCTTCCAGCCTTCAAACGAAAGACAACGAGACGATAGAGAGGTCGTTCTATTTGGCGGACTTCGCTTACAGATAGTGGCAGTGGGACGCAGCTCATCTATTGTGGTCGATGAGAACAGCTAGATTGGCTATAAGCCTAGATACGCGTGATCTGTGTCTGATGATCGAGTTGCTCACTGAGAAATCTAGGAGAGTTGATACAGCGAATCTAGTGTAGATGATAACGACAAGAGAGTCGACAGCAGTTTAGAGTAGGGACAACAACAGCTTGTGATATCTTAAAAGAAAATGGCACCTTATCTCTCTTTAGGTTGCTCAATCAATACTCTTAGCAGGGTACAAAATGATACTGTTCTGTGCAGGAAGCTGTTGACATAGCAATTACTCGGGCATGTTTCTTCGACCCAGTATATCGAATGCCGTAACAAAATCTGACAGAATGAAAAGCCTGTGGATATGGACTTGGGATTATGTGCGACATAAGAGAGTCGACAAGTGTTATAAGATAAGAGGTTTCCAGTAATTAGAAACAGCTTTGTGAGTACTTAAAATGGCTAACTGTTGCAGTATCCGCCACACTTAAACTGTTTAATTCTGCCGCAGCTTCAAACAATGACACGTATCCTGCGACCAGCAACAACTTAGAGCAAGTTCGTTCCCATAAACGTGAGAGGGATACCTAAGAGTGCTCATTCACGAAGCGAGGTGTGCGACCAACAAGTATAAATCACCCATCGGTTGCCTACGTCCATACCTCCCCATCTCTTGGAAGAATGTATGAGCGATACGATTCTCACGAGCATGGCACCAGAGCGAGAAAACCAACTACCTACAGGAGAGGCATCTTTTCAGATTGTAGAGTTAATGATACTATTTACTGAAAGTACATAAAAGACGAAAATGAAATCTCACTCATCATCCCTTCTTACTGCAACCTAACCCGGTCCACAGGAGATAGTACGACAGCAGCGATGACCTTAACAGCAAAATGCCAAATGGCAATCATCCATTCTTTCACCCGCTTAAAGCCAGCCTCATACGCTTTGAACATGAGAGGAGCAATTTCTTGAAAAAGTGGACGTATTTGTGACTCGAGTCTAACATCGGAAGCGAATATCCATCCAGTTTGACCACCCGACGTCCAAGTCTCTCTACACTTCCAAACGACCTTCCCAGCAGCGGTGGCTCTGAGAACAAAGGAGTTTTCTCGGACATCTCGTTTTGGGTTCTGGGACGAGAGAGGAAGGGGTATATATACTTAAACCCCCTAGCACATCAGCAAGAAAAGAGAGACGAAACGAAGTGATAGCGTCCAGTGAATGAATACCGAAATGCCAAACTAGCGTATGACTCCACGCCAGACCCCACGTGCTAGACTTTTGAGGACGATCTCACAGGGTTATTTAGGTATAAATATTCCCTCCAAGTGCAGAGGGTGTTTCTTCTTGCTATCTCCAACGTTACTCGGCCGATCAATCACCATTTCATTGGTCTGGAAGAAGCGGGTTAGGCGTCTCTACTTGCTTTGGATTATGTTTCTGGGAGGGAGGGGTAGGGATAGAGAGGATTTGGGTTTAGGTGTAGGCAATGCTAAACTACTTGCAGTGGAAGAGGAGTTGAGCTGAAGAGGTGGTGTTGAGGCTACAGAGAAATGGCAACAAAACACAAATCCCTTGCACGACAACAGCAGCAGAAATGACAACACTCTCTCATCTACCTACCCGTCCCAAGTTCCACCCAACCCTGTCTCCCATTATCTCTCTTTTCCAACCCATACAATCACAATTATAATCTATCTTCCCTCAATCTCACAAATATACACAGCATTCACTCCTCACACTCCATTTCCATTTACCATCTCTATCTTCCAAGCTGACAGTACCACACAACAGCAGAACCAACAGGGTCTTCAATGAGTTCAGGAACATCTTTTGCCACCTTTGGAGTTTAGAAAAACGGTGCTGGAAACGTAGATTATATACCACTCTAACATTCTACAAAAAACTCATCTTCCTCCCCACAGCTTGCATCCTTTGACTCAGGACTCTAGATGGCAGGTTAGTGAATAATGAATGGTGAACAGTAAATGATATGATATTCGCGCCCAGCAAGGCTTGAGGGGCAAAAAAAAGAAACTAAATGAAAGTGTAAAATTCCAGAGGAATAAGTTAAAATAACAAAATAACTTGCAGGGTAGAAAGAAATATAGGATCTTCCACGGGCCTCAGTCATTGCACTACATTACATTGCTTTACCACAATAAAAAAAGAGAGAGAGAGAGAGAGAGAGAGAGATGAAAGTACGCCCCCGTACTGTATGTACAACAACATAATATCGTGTCTTCCACCACCACCACCACCGCCTCGCTGTCTTGTCTTGTCCTGTGTTATGTTGTGTTGTGTTGTGGTGGAAACACCCTTCCTTACCTGGATCTAGCCTGTTCGTTATTATTAGTTGAAGACAAGGGCGAGGGCGAAAGAAGTTGAGTTGGGTTGGGTTGGGTTGGGTTGGGATTTGAATCATATAGCTGGGTGGGCGTACGTGCGTGCGGTGTGGTGATATATCAGGGGAGGTGTAATGCAATGTAATGGGGTGGCGTGGAGGTGGTATGGGAGGTTGTGTTGTGATGTGTTGTGATGGCGGGGTAGTAGAGTTGAGAATAGCGGGGTTGCGGACGTGGACTAGGATGTGGGATGAAGGGGAAGGGGGGTTGAGGGAATTGGTGGAGCTGGGAAGGTTGATAAACGTGTTGATATATTGTGTAGTCGAGGGCAGGGATTTTGTAAAAAGGTGAGGTTAAGCAGATTCGAGTCTGTGGTGAAGCTGTTTGAAACAGTCTCACCGGTAGATGTTTATGTTGATTTGAGGCGGGTGATTACCAGCCCCGGAAGTCCAGGACGTTGAAATATATTGCTGAACGGTCGAACGTGTCAAGGGGTACAATCACAATAAAAATCACAAGTCACAATCATCAGCTATTGAAAGATGAAGAAACGTAGTGGTGGCAAAGTCCTTCATTGACAAAGACTATGCTATCCGGGGGGTATGAATTCCATGCAATCGATGCTTCCATTCCATTCCATTCCATCCCATCCCAACGCCCATTCATTCCATTCCATCCGCCGAAGAAAAAAAAAAGAAAATCATGCCATCATCGTACAGTCATGAGGTATGCTTTGCTTTGATTGGTGTTTTTCGTGGAGGGTGAGCAGTTTAGTGCTTGGCAGCCTCTGTTTCCTATGTATTAGCATAGATTCTCAAGATGAGGTTTAAGTTTGGAAGAGGAGGAGGGGTGAATCGCGGGAGAATGCAAAGAAGAGAACATACCCTTGTGGAGATCAGCCTTACCCTCGTGGGAGGTCTGGTCAATCTTGTCTCCGATGGCATCCTTGGCGGCAGTGGCACGGGTTCCGAGGCTGGCGTCGCTGTCCTTGGCGACTTGCTTGTTGGCTTCCTTGGAAGCGGCGGCACCTCCGCCCTGGACGGACTCGGCGACGTAGTTGGCGGCGTTCTGTGAAGGGGGGGAAGAGATGTTAGTTTGTTGTTGGAGGAGGTGAAAGGGAGGGGAGGGGAGGTGAGGTGAGGGTCGAGCATGGTGTTGATGCCGAGGTAGAGCTAGAGCTAGAGCTCAAGCTCTGAGTGGGAAGAAGGAGAAGAAGATGCTTGCTTACCTTGATGGTCTCCATTTTGATTGTTTGGTTTGTTTGGTTTGTGTTGGTTTGTGTTGGTTTGTGTTGGTTTGTGTTGGTTTGTGTTGGTTGTGTGTGAGGTAGTTTGTTGGTGTTTGATGATGAAAGAAAGAAATGCTTTGGTGGAAGAAGAGGGGTCTTTATGTAGGAGGGGAGGAGAGCTCCTGAAGCTCTAGCCTCGTCAACCTAGCCACACTATGACGTAGTGTCACGTCCGTGAATGGACAAGCTACTTCGCAGTTGCCTCGTTAATGAAATGAAGGTGAAGCTTCCTCACGCGGCAGTAGCTCTTTCCTGCTACTGTACAGCATGTCTCAAATTTCACGGCGTCGCCCCATCGACAGGTCAAGCACCAGCAGCTTCTAGATTCATTGAGGGGGTTTGGTTGTTTGAGGAAGGACGACCTCGGACGCGCCACACCTTGAGTGTTGACTGGTGCTACGACGTCAGCGGGGTCACTGGCGGGGATGACTATTGGCTCGCTAAAAGTGTTTACCCCTCCAAAACAGGCGACGTCATAGATACTGTATTGTTGCGATCCAGCCTCATCCTCAGCTGCACCCTCAGATGCAGCCTAAACACGTATGAGGAATAAGCATGAGACATCTTTCACCAGCCGATTGGTCCATGGCATTGGAGTACCTCCATGGTCAACCCAATTGTGGCTGTGCACTTTGCCAACTTTTCCCCCCTCGGTCGGCGACGGGCTTTTTCCCGGTGGGAAGGAAGTGCTGTTGACATCGACTGGCTGGCCTTACATACTCTACCCACGCAAGCATAACAAACTACTGTAATATGAAACTACTGTAATATGCAAGATGAATGCAGAATGATCTGTGCAAGGTTCAAATCTAATCCCGTTGCTTCCCGCGATGGGGGATAATTAGTATCAGTATCAACGAATAGCATGTATCAGTTGCAGTAGACGTGTCTTCAGGGACAAATGCTCCGGGGTAGGTGAAATGCCAACCTGCAGTTCCTGATACGCATGTGATGAGATGTCCATCAAAATGGCGCAATGCAATCAATGCATCTTCCCCATTCCTGTACAGTACATGTGGCCAGGTAGAGAATCGGATTCTCGCTAGTTATCTGAGTCCTCCCCAATTCCCGATCCCCACGTTACATCATTTTGGCTCTTTGTTGTCCCCGTATCGAAGGCGTCCGTCGCCCTTGCACTATCACAAGCCTTTTTTTTTTTTTTTTTGGCTCGAGCCTGCCCCTTCCAAGTTTTTTTTGGTCCCCGATAAGTCAGCTGCCCTCGCTGCCCTGGATGTTTTTGGGAGATCATGCAGCAACCCTAGCTGTGGTAACTACCTAGTTTCCGAGGTACGCCGTAGTCCCCTGAGTGGCTGGAGGGTGCTACCATTACGTATCTGGGTTTGTGCCGAGGGAGGAGCTATTTTGAGGGGTTGATATTGGAGAGGATGAGGGGTATCTTTCATCAACATCCACAACATTTTGAGAGTTGAGGATTGATGTGAGATGTTCATACATGTGAGGGCAGGATATGCGGCCTTTTCTATGATCAGTCATTTATCGATGTTCAGGCAAATCCATTTGCTGCTATTGAGTGTTGTTTGGAGGTGAAGTATTATGAAGGGCCCAAGTTGACTGTACCTAGAACCTGCTCGGTGCCGGGACATGCGTATGGGCACATCAAAACGAGACTTCCAAAAATCAAACCATATCTCAAAATCTCTCAGATATTGCCCACACGTTGGGGCTTCATTCGAATTTCCTGATCACGATGCCTGGGACTCCTCAGGTCCATGCGGAGGGTTCTCATTCCATCGCATTGCGGCAACCTGCAATACAGCTAGGTGAGATGCGAACAGGCCGGACCCCTCCACGACATGCTGTCTAGAAATCTTGTCTCTGTAGTCTATCGAGACAATTTCGAACGAGAGCTCAGCACCAATATCCTCGTTTATTTTTGCGAGACGCCCCATCTTGCCCCGGCGTGTCCTACATTAAACGGATACCCTGGACCTTGAATCTGGCTTGGATCCTCCACGTTCACGGAGTGATTGGTTTCTCAAAAAATCTGTTACCATTTCTCGCGGGAAAACTTCATTTCGAAAGCTCCAGCTCCATGGTGATCCAGTGGATCTCAACAAGGAGATTGAACAAACAAAAGGAATTTCCGAAATACCCCGCTATCTGCGACCAAGGCGTTGATCAGAGAGAGCGATTATCATCTGCAGTCTACAGAAGTCGCACATGCGCTGGAGAAGTCTCTCATCTTTCCAACACCAAAGACGAACCATACCCACCCTTGTTGCAGATGTCCCTCCACCCTCTGAATCATCAAGACTGGTCTACGCGAAGAATGCCGAGCCAATGAGCCCAGGTTGCTGTTTGTCCGGGTTGCTCGTTTCTAGAGTTTGATTCGGAGAATCAAAATGGCAAGTAATTCAATATTCAGGCTATGGAAAGGTGAGATGTTCTACTGGCATGGAATAGGGTGAGGATGCTTGCAGCCAAGGGCTCCAGCTGGATTCATCAGCCTGTGCCTGGGGGTTGCTGGTCTAGGAAGAAAGGCAGTAAGTAAGTTTCTTCTTAGTCTGTATGGGGGATATCAAAGACTTCGAAATCTTGAGAAGATGCGAAGCTGGTGCGACCACAAATGTACCTTTGTAGGGATAACTGGGTGGGATGGAGGAACAATGTCCATTTTTCAGCGCAAAAATTACGATGTTGGTGTTGTTTTGGGCGACCCAGGAAGCCTGGACGAGGTTCCGCCTGGACCTACCTCGCAGCCCTTTAATTTCGAAGGATGGAGAACGGAATGTGTTTTGAGTGCCTACAGAATTGAATTGTAAATAAGAATCCTGTACCTCTTTTGCGCATGTGAAGGAGGTGTGAAGTTGTATTGGCCAGTCAGAATATAAAGACTTGCCAGGCAAGAGCTGAGAATTGTCCGCGCCATCAGCCGCCCGCTCACCCAAGCCAGCACCCGCTATCCCCTCAGCTGCCGAAAGCACACTTTTCCAGGGAACAGCGCTGAAGCGAGGCGCTAGGGCTGCCCAGATGACAATACAGCAGACAGGCGAGACAGGTTTCAGCGTTCTTCGCTTAATTACAGGGTGTCGCTACAAGCCATGCACTGCACTCCCTGGAAAAAGCGTGTTCTGAGCGGCACCAAAGTCGAAGAGGCTTCGGTAATATTCGCCACATTCAAAGATCAATCAATTATTTACCGAGTAATATATCTAAGTCAGACCTATCTCTTTCATTCAGAACCTCCTTTTTTGATTCAATACCGGGATGTGTAAGTTAACTTAGAGGTTGTGTGTGTGTAAGTAAGTAAACGGGGAGCGAGCACTTGTATGGGGCTATAACCTACATACCTGGAGACTAGAGTGGGATTTGATGTTCTAGCTAAGTATTCTCCAGAGGTTACATTTGTCTCTAAAGGGGCGGAATACCATACCATGGGATGGAAGTATAGCGTTACTTGGTCTGGAAGAGATCAAAACATGGATGGTAATTGAAGCTTGAGTTGACTTGAATGTAACCTGCACCTTTGAAAATGTTGCAGCGCATGAATTGCCTCCGAAATGAGGATTTTATCACCACTTTTCTTAAAACTCTTTTCGAAGGTATCTATCTATCACGGTACGTCTTTCCACCATAAAAACACAAATCATCCCAAACCTCAACCCTTCAAATTTAACAATCAATTAACCTCTTCCTCTTCCTCTGCCCCCTCCCCCCTCCCCCCCACTCAATACTCCCCCCTACTCCTAACCCTAACTTCATTCGCGCCGACATCATGCACCACCAGATTACTCCTCATCCAGGTATCGCCCAACGTATACGGCGAGTACTCCCTCCCATTATTAACACCGCTGACGCAGCCGCCCTCGCCGGTGAAGTCATCCATAATGATATCCTTCTTGTGCCAGGGGAGGATGACGCCGTTGATTTGGACGGCGAGCTGGGGGACTGCGGCGGTGCAGGGGACGGCGTAGCCGTAGATTGTTTGGTTCCCTGGGGAGGCGTGTTAGCGAGTGAGCTCGAGGCTGAGAGTGACTCCATATTTGGAATGGGGAATGCAATATGGGGGGAACGTACAAATGGCGGGCGGATTGAACAGACTCGCGACATGGTCAGCGATCGGGGTTGGAAGCCATGTATGCGTGACGCCCGAATCGATGATTGTTTGAAATTTCGGCGTGCCTGGTGGGCCGGTGTTGAGTGGTTTCCAGACTGGAGGTTGGCCGGCTGGGGTGGTGGTGTAGAGGAATGCGTCGGGGGTTATGGTGTACCATTCTATCGCGATGTGGTAAGTCAATCAGGCTTTGATACTTGGAAGTCGCTTTCTGCTTGTTTGAAATGAGGAGAGAGTACGTACGGATCTGAGGATACGGTAAACTCCCATTAATATACCCTGGTCCAAGCGGCGAGATCTCAATATCAGCTCTTGCCCAAGGGCCGGTCGTGGAAACGGGTGGAAGACCACCAAGTGCAAGGTAGCCTTCCGATGCACTGTGTGGAGGAACTGATGGTCTTCCGATGGCTAGACTGAACACGGGTGGGATTTTGTGCTGTTTCCACATGGAGGTGAAGATTGGGTCGTAGGGTACTAGAAAAGTCAGTCTGGGGAGGGGATAACCCGAGTAGAGGAAGTGTAACAATACCTTGCTTCTCAGGTGTGTCAGCTGAGTAATCTGTCCCTGAGTATGCCATTGTGCTATCCCCAAGTATAAGCGAGTTGAACATTGAAGAATTGGTGAGAGGCTTACATTGAAGGGTATGAAAGACCAAGTAATCCACTCGTGATCCCATCTGCAACCCACCCAACGTCCTTCGCCAGCGCAATCTGCGTCTTAACCCTACAACCCCAAACTCAATCAGCAAAACGATACCACACATATACCTCCATCCATTCTCAGGGAATCAAACTCACGTTATACCCGCCAAAGTCACCTTCGTCATCCCATAACTCCCCCTAAGATAAGACGCATCCCCATACTCAATATTGAAATTTACATCATTCACCGGCTCGAGCTCTTTTCCAGGACTATATTTTGGACCAAAATCACAGTCCGCTTGCGGAGCAGAGGCGCCATCTTCGCCGATGCAGACGAAGTCTTTGGTAACGATCCAGGTATCGGAAGAGCCAGAGTCGACCATGAGTTTGTAGGTTTTGCCGCCAACCTGGAGGGGTGTGTACCAGAGTTGGCCCTACTCATCAATCATTAGTCAATCGTCTCTTCCCATTTCTCTCTTGTCTCTTTCTCTCCTCAGCCACTCTCTCAAAATATCCTAGATGGGAACAGTCACTCACAAGCTGTACACTCGTCAACTTCCCCAACCCGAAATGCCTTCTCATCATCGCCCTCCCCGCCACACTCTCATAACCCCTCTTTCCCTTCTTCATCTGATCATCCATATTCACATCTCCTCGTGAGAGAGTAACCCAAGTCGAGACATTTACGTCTGGGCTTGGTGGGAGGAAAGCTCGTGGTTTGAGATTTATGTTGAAGTCAAATGGTGCTGTGAGTATTCCATTTTCTTGGTCAACTGCAGATGGTAAGGCGGTGATGAGAGTCGAGAAATAGAGGGTGAAGAGGGTGAGGATGATAGGAGGTAGGGGCGTGAGAGGGAAATGCATGTTGACTGCCTTGCCTGTGGGAGACCCGGACAGAGAAATGTCTTGGCGTTTGTCAGCTGCCCGAAATGCCGTGGTAGCAATGAGGATTCGAAAAAGCTTCGAAAAGCTTGAATAAAATCTTGTCTTTCCTTGAGGCTGACACCTCACCTACTTATTCTTCTTTGCATCTCCCAGAAGGCCTTCTAGAAGGTCTTTCAACCTCCCCGAGTGGGCTAACACCAACACCAACTCCAACAGCCGGGTTGGGCTGTCTTCTGTCTTGGAACGGGAATAGTGATAGGATGCTTGTTGGAAGCTTGGCTCGGTTGGCTCTGTGGAAGACAATATCAAGCGTGGGAAGAATACCAACGTTCTTGCAGGGAAGAGGGGGCTGGTTTGTGTAACGTCGGGAAGACTTCCGTCCATACGGCTGTTCGAGAGACACTCTAGAATGATGATTTGTATGCATGGAAAGAGAAGAATGCATACTTGCATATGCATAGAAGGGGCCAAGAGAATGCTATTGGTGATGGGGGTTGGTGCAGATGCGGATGGTGCGGTGAGAGGGGGTCTCGGTTGTTGATGCTGATGCAAGGGGTGAGTGAGTGAGGCTGTGGAACATGAACTAGACATGTCAGGTGTTGACTTGAAATGTGGTGTAAGCGAGAAACACGCAAGGGCAAAGCGCTTAGAGACCGGTTACGTGCATGAAGAAGTTGGTTTGATGGATGAGCCCGAGACCTTTTCAAAAGTACCTGGGTATTTGGAATGTGTTGAAGACTCCAGTATCACCGAGAGGAGGATGTGAGAAGGCTGTGTTGGAAAAATCGATGGTGTCTTCCAATAGGGTTCTGATATTGAGTAGCGATGTGTTGATACATTTTATTACAAGATGACCTGAGAAGTCTCGACCTCTGAGTAGGTGTCGCTGCAACTTCCATCTCAGAAGCCGGTACGGAGGCCAATACGTGTCTTGGTCCACGTGTCAACTTTCTGTCAAAGTAGACCGTTGAGATCGGCGATCATGCAGCAGGTTGGACAATGGAGAATCAACAGCCCTCTGCAATCTTACACTCCCTTCCAAGCCGCGAGTGTCCATCAGTACGATCAAAAACTCCTCGGTATCCGTCTCCGGTCCCTGTTACTCCTCCTCGCTCTCCACTCCCTCAACTCCCTCCTCCTCCACTCTCCCAATTCATTTCTCTGCCTCCTCTCCTCCCTCTTCCTCCTCTTCCCCTCCATCTGTAAGTCCCGCTTCCTTACCAAAGACCCCCCCAAAAATCTTCTCCGTCCGCATCCTCCTCTTCCCCGCCTCCTTCCGCCTAACGATCTCCTCCATCCTCCTCCGCTCCTATCCTCCTTCTCCGAAGCCCTCGCCAAACCCAACTCATCCAACCGGTTCACCACCCGCGAATTCAGTCGTTCCTTGTAAATCGCATGCCTATCCGTCCGCTCCCTAAACAATACCACAGCTCTAATCTTCCCTTGTCCTATAATTCGTATCTTCTCCCCCGCCAACTCCTTCACAACTTCATTCGCACCGTCGCCCGCCTCGATATCAGGATTGTCCCTCCAGATCTCCACACGGTTCATGACCCTCGGTGCATGTTTAAAGCCTGTATTGTTCATCTCAAACGCTAGTGCAGCGACACGAATAGCTTGCGCAGCGTCTCCAACTTCCATGACAAGGACACGAGAGAGGTGGACTTGATGCATGCGGATGAGGCGTTTATAAAACACATCAGGATTCTGACCGAGTGGCACGAGGGCTTGTTTAGGCTCGTAGTTGCGCACTGAGCGGGTTGTTTGCGTGTTGAATGCGGAGCGGGATATGTATGGTGGATTGGAGATTATGATGTCGAATTGCCCTAGGTTTCTGGGCGGGTGGTGGATGATGTCTGCAAAGCCGAATTGGACTTCTGGGGGGTGGTAGGGGGTGTCAATCAGAGCTGAGGCATTGACATTCCCGGAGTTGACGTTATGTGCTAGGTTTTGTTTTGAGAGGGCGATGGCTTGTTGGGAGATGTCGAGGCCGAAAATTTTGAGTTTGAAGTTGGTTGAGAGGAGCGAGTGGAGGAGAAGTGAGATGCAGCCGCTTCCTGAGCAGACGTCTAGGATCCGGAGGGTTCGAATAGCTCGTTTCTCTGAAAAATTAATTCCGAGCTTGTTATCATTTGCCAACTTGGCAAGGTAGGTTGTGTACGACTCAGTCTCTGGCCTTTATTTGGTCAGTAAGCCACGTGACATTGAACGAGAATCCTCACCTTGGAATCAACACCCCTGGACGGCATTTGATATCCAGTTCTCCAAATGGCTGAGAACCAAGGATGTATTGCAAAGGTTCGCCCCTCGATCGTCTCTCGCAGAGCCTTAGAAGCTTGCGGCTTGCCACATGTGAGCAAGTTTGTCGAAGTGATTTCACGTGCTCTCTCAGCCAACGGAGCTCATTCGTAGCCGACTCGATGGTTCGAGCGCCACGGAGGACGATTGGGAGGAGTGGCGATGTATTGTAGGCTTGTATGAGGGTAGCTGGTGGAATTCGAGGCATCTGAGGGATGAGCGATCACCGGATAGGGAGAATTTGGGAGAGGCTAGCACAGTATGTTGCGGTGCAGTGCGTCTGTCATCGTAACATGGTAGATTACAAGGTTAGAATATCGACAGAAACTGGAGTAACAAATCAATTGAAGCGCGTGTACAGAATGGGTATTGTAATTGTAACTCGGAATGAATTTGGTGTACACGGTAAAGACGATTGGATGGAAAAACTTTGACCCGATGTTTTCTTGGCATTATGGGACAGCAAATCTGTGCAGATCCATTTGGCGAGGCTCACGAAGAGGGGTTATATATCTACAAACCTGGTAAGGCTCGCAGAAAAGTAGGCAAACGGCAGTCGTGAGGCTAGAACAGATAGGATAGTCGATGGTTTATACAATTATGTCTTTCTTCGTCTCTTCTTCGCGGGACATAGTTCTAGGTCCACAAATGGTTAGCGCCGCTACAACTTAAAAGACGTAGTAATAAACCTCTGAAGCATTCCGACTTGTTGTCACAACCTGAGGTCTTGCACTACGAGTAGCACTCGTTCTATAGCACCCGGCATAGACATTCTATTCCGTTCCTCTTGAACAAATAAAGTGATGATCTTTGGTATTTATTCGGTCGTAACTTTGGTTTTCTGCCAGCTTTACAAGAATGCTTTACGTCTGTCCCTGCGTGCCGAGACACATCGTGTACCTCCGTAAAGAGACAAAACGGAGTTAAGTTAGACTTTTGGTCGCGTCGGCCTTTTGTTTACTCGGCCTCTTCCTTCCACCGACTGAGGAACTACGCTGATTGGCGGCCTCGTAAGCGAAGTTGAGGGATTGCCTGCGCCGCTTGCAAAGAAAGTTTCGCCTGATCAATGTAGTTGGGCGTCTTGGCATGCGGCTGGTACCTGTCATTTTTCGCGATGCTGAGTGGTCGACAGAAATAGCATCATTTTGGGTAAAAGGCATGAAGATGCTGTGCCGTCGCCATGACGATCTGAAGTCTCTGGTTCGCTGAAAGGAGAGGCAATTTCTTCAACGCTGACTTATGATATATAATTCCAAGGTCAAAGATGAAAGAACTATCGAAATCACGTACATCCCCTGAAGGGCTGTCGCCTCGTTCAAAGCCTTTTTGGTTGACTAAAGTACCTGTAGGGACTTGCCTGTATACACATATAAATATGCCTCTCAGACTTCCTTCTTTGATTTTTCCGCATCTGATCAGGATCGAGTTTTGGGACCAATTTGAGTCACAGACGTCTTATTGACCATGGCTCATTCGTTGAATCCTCGTAGACTTTACACTTTCTATGGCCTTTCCTTCATTCTCTCATTTTTCCTGCAACTCATTGTCGCGCAGCACTGGGATGGCCCATCACCATATGGTCAGAACTTTGCCCCAGATGTTAAGTCTATTGTCACAGGATGGGACGCTTCCTACCCAAGTTTCGAGGGCAATAACAGCTACCCGCAACCGATCATAGGCGGCAGTGATGATAAGGGCACTGAGACGTTGAAGTCCAGGGCAGCAAAGGATTTCTACCTCAGAATCATGCCGCTGGGTGCGTCAATTACGGAAGGTGTTGCGTCGACGGATGGCAATGGCTACCGCAAGTGGCTGCGTCAACAACTTCGCTGGAAGGGGTGGAAGGTGAATATGGTTGGATCGAAACCAAACGGAAACATGGCCGATAGAGTATGTACTCCACTATTCCCGACTCTGGGTCTAGGCCAAGTTTTCAAAGGTCGAATTGTGACTAACGAACGTCATTACCTGCAGGACAATGAAGGACATCCTGGTTGGGTCATCAAACAGGTGCACGATGCTTTCTTGCTTGTTGCTAACATGAAGCCGAATCTGGTACTTATCAATGTCGGAACGTAAGTTACTCTCTCAGCTCTTTTCAGCCCGAACTCGACGACTAGAGACAGCTCTCTTGGTTCACTCCAATCCTTTAGAGGCTAACATCTATTAGAAATGACTGCGGCCAAAACGTCGACACCGGTAACGCCGGTGTCCGTATGAAGGCTATGATCGATGACATCTACTCCAAAATACCAGGCGTGACTGTGATACTCTCAACCTTGGTGAAAAGCCGAGACAATGACGCGTGCGCTGCGTCGTTGAGTCGACAGTATAGAGACCTAGTTTCCAACACATACAGCGGGCAAAGAATCGGCCTCGCCGATATTTATTCGGCTATGTCCATGTCCCAGCTCTCTGGTGATGGCATTCATCCCACAGATGATGGCTACAAACTGTTCGCAGCAGTATGGTGGGATGCGATTAGCAAGCTCGAGGACGTCATTCAACCACCTGCAAGCGACGGCACTGTCAATGATGCGTTGAGCGGTGTGACCACTTGTCCAAAGGTTGCCGGGAATGCTCGAGGACCAGTTCGGACCCAGCAAGGAAGCGGTCACGACGACGGCACGTATGTGCATAATCGTGTCGAAAGAGGTGTCATCGAATCAGCACGTATCCAGAAGCTGAACGATCCGCGAACTATTACTGAGCAGATTCCTTTCAACATATTCTTTGCCAATCTTGTCAAGGGCGATCCTAACGCCGATCGAACAGCAGCCCTGGATGATTGGATTCGAGTATTTGTGAGCTTGGAAGGCGTGACCACTTACTATATGCGTCAGAATCTTGGGGGCGGTACGTTTGGTGCTAGCAAAGTGATAGATTTCAAGACGGATTGTCCTCCAGGTTCGGGTAAGTAGACATACGGTGCTTTCAATATCCATTGCTGTGCAACGAGTATTCACTAATTCTCCCGGGGCAACAGGCTATGCATTTGGCGATTTTGTATGTTTACCCACTCTACAGCAACGTCGAAACTCTCACAGCGGTGCGGGAGCGATATCATGACCGTCTATTTCACCTTCGTACGTTATGCTAATTTAGAACGTTCCTTGTGACAGAACGGGGATGGTCTCGGTGAGCCCCATTCTTCTTGTTGTTGATTACATGTATGGGCAAAGACTCACGCGTATACAGACGATTTCTTTTGTATAAAAGCAGGTGCCTCCGTGTCGGTCTCGTTGAACAGGGGAGGCAACCCGCCCACATTTGAGTCCATTGGGCAGGTAAGCGCTCGCTACCTTTTGTTAATTGGCGAGCTGTGTTCCGACATAGCTAACCGATATGATTGACGCAGGTAGTGCCAGCAACCTCTGGCTGGGAAATTCTAAATGTCCGCATTGCAGGTCAGTGAAATCCAGGCCTGGCCTAATCCCGATATCTCCAAGGGAGCGATTTACTGACTGTCACAGATATTGATGGTGACGGAAGGGCCGACTTTTGTCTCGTGAATGGTGTTGACGTCAAGTGAGTTCGATTCCCCCGGTGCGACACACATGCGTTGCGCGTATTTTCTCACAAAGGTGAAATAGATGTTCCCGAAACGCCGGTCAAGGAGACACGCACTCCTGGCAGGGTTTCAGCACCCTGGATGGCATCCGAGGTATAGTCTTCAACCAGCAACAGGCACCTGTCAGCGCATTTACGTTTGGTAAGCAAACCTCTTCTTCATATTTAGGTGCCAGCAATGAACGATTTTTGATATATCGAGTCTCTTTCAATCCTGGCGAACGTTGATTGGAAAACAATATTGGTTTTATGGATAATTTATGCTGATATATTACTGTGCGGTATGCAGGCGACATTAATGGCGAGTGAGTATAAGCATCTTCTTTCCACCAGGTTACCGTTTAGCATGACAACTGACACTTCCCGGTAGCTTTCGCTCTGACATTCTACTTGTCGGCGATAATGGTAATGTCGAAACTTGGACGAATTGGAGAGGTCGAGGGAGTGGTATTGTATGCGCCTCCACTTCATAAGTATTGTCTCTTTTCAAGGTTTCGTCCTTCTAATCCCCATGTGCTCCAGGTACCCGAATGGTCGTCCTCTGGAATCACGCACCAAGGACAACCGGCAACCGGTATCCGAAGTAACATCAAGTTCGGAAAGATTTACGGCTCTAACCGGCTCGACTATATATACATCAAGGAAGAAGATGACTGGTTCGAGTATGTCCAGTTTAGCTTCCTTTGTCAAAGATATGCCAGACAAGCTGCTTCCGAGCTGCTCGCCTGATGAATCAATCTGTATACTCATACTAATTTGTTGTACAGTGTGCGGGTGTGGGAAAATACTGGTGGCGGTGGCACAAAGCGCAAGGGAGATGGCGTTTTCTACTGTGATATGCGTGGTCTTGGCTCTGATGACTACGTGTGGATCTACATGGACGGCCATTCGAACGAAATCTACGGGAACACCCACAACCCTCCGTATTGGGATCCCAACATCAAAATCACTATCTCGGTGCCCGGGCCGCGGATTGGTATTCACGTAAGTCCAGCTTTCCGCTATTAATTCTCCGGTTCACCAGGTACAAAGAGCAACCTCTAAAAAATTGCGATTCTATTATGTTTCTCAGATATGCAATTCCCCGAGAAGCCATGATACGGTAACTAACTCCCGGTTCACCGCTCTAGCTGGCAGATTGGACCGGAAATGGACGGTGTGATGTTCTAGTCCAGAATAAGGCGACAGGAGCTGTAACCCTTTGGGAAAATCAGTGGGATTCAGGTGCAAATACTCTGACTTTCGCTAATCGAGGTGTTGTCGCTTCACCAGGCTGTACAGAGGGCTGGGGGGTTGGTATATTTGACCGCGGCATGCGTATAGCTGACATGGAGTAAGTCTTTCGTCTTTATCCCATCGAAATAATGATAAGGACAGAGTTAACGAGTCGGGTGTCTGCTAGTGGCGATGGAAGAGCAGATATAGTATGCTTTGAGAAAGGTGGACGTCTTACTGCTTGGCTCAATCGGGCATCCGGCATGTTCAATGCTGGCCAAATCAAGCTAACAGAAGGCTGGTGAGTCTACCCCACGATTGTTTTCTCCATTCTCTGATAGATAGTCTAATTGTCCACCATTCAATATGTCATCCGTCGTTACTTCACATATCACCAACAATGACCCTGCTGACCAAAGATCGTGCCAGGGATCGTGCCAACCTTCGCTTGGCTGATGTTGAGAACTCTGGGAGAGCCGATATCATCTGGCTTGATAAGTATACAGGGGCCGGAAGAGTGTGGAAAAACAACGGTTATGCTGGGCCGAATGGTGGAGGAGGAGGGAGCTCCTTTTCCTGGACCAGTCGTGGTGTGCTATATTCACCGATCGACCGAGGCGAGTGCATGGTAAGCTTGGAATTTTAGCTGCAAAGTGAGAGCGAAATATTTACTTGTCCTTTGCAGAACTTTGCGAACATAGGAGGTCTAGGTCGAGCAGACTTGATACAAGTATACCCCGGCACCAACGAGGTAAGACCCCAGAACGGTTGGGTCATCGCGCTCTGGCCTGTACTAATTTCTCCCAGGCCTACACATTTTTCAATGAATGTGGTGGTGCTGGATCTGGCGGGGACGATGGTGACATTGGTAAGTGGAATCGTAAAGATGGTCTTACTACACTGGTGCTAATACACATCTTCAGTGTCTCCCGGTCTGCCTGACTACTCATCAGAGGATAACGACCAAATCATCGTTCCTACACCAGTAACAGTCACAATTCCTACACCGACAAATACAAATGCCCCACCAGAAGTCACCGAAAACGCACAGCCTGTTGAAGCCAACTCATACTTCTACCTGGACACAGGCAGTTGCAATACCATCAATAAGTCACCCGAAGGCGAGACCTACAAGCATTTCGTCGAGTGGGCTATATTTGACGCTCAAACCATTGCCATGACCGTCGACGCTTCATGGCCAAGTCGTTTGACAGGGTCATCGGATCTCTACATCGGAAAGAACTTCCACATGTCGCAATACATGAATGATTTCAAAGCCAACGTGCACGCCGCTAGTAAATTCCAGAACCCCCAGTTCTGGCCGTTCCAGCAATACATCCGCGTCAACTGTTACGACACATACAATGCTTGCGGAGGCAAGATCGGAAAGGATCCAAGAAGCGTCGGGGCATACGCCAACAACACGAAAGGAGTATTTGGCACCAATTACTACACTATCACCTTGTGTCCACCGTTCTTCACCCTCAACTCCCTGAATCAAGTTTCACATGAGAACGGCGAGAAAGACACCTCCACCTTCCAACTCATCTACATGGAAACCAGCGCCTCCAAGTTCCTGCACGAGGTCATGCACATAAACGCCATTACGGAGAAGCGGGAGCACATCATCGACGAGGTTTTCGACAGCGGAAGACGCATCTACGGGCCCAAAGACGTCGCCAAAGCCGCGCGCATCGCCAACCGCGATGGCTTCCAGTACAACTACAAAAACGCGGATACGTACGCTGTTTTTGTCATGGCGGCGTACTGGGAGTGGTTTTATGGGGTGGTGATTCCGCCGACTGTGAGCGGAGCGGCGCAACCAGCGGGCTTGCGCGAGTACGATGCTGTAGGGGACAGTCAGAATAATTACCTCATATATGAGTTTTGAGCGACGAACTTACGACGTTCGGTGATGAGGATTTCTCGTCCCGTTGGGCCTTTTTTCACGTCTTTGTTTTCTTGATTAGACAAGAGAATATTAGGGTTGTTATTCCATTTGTCAAGGGGGTAGATCTTTGCACTATTACTAGAGTATATTCTTCATTCATCCGTACATGATTATTAGAGCAATATAAGAGAATTTAAATCTCGTGTTTGAAAAATGGTTTCGTCGGGTCTGCGACGGTATGTTTGGAACACATTTGTTGACGAGTGGTAAAGCGTTGGCAGTGTTGACTTTCCGTCTCGCTTAAACGCACCACTCAAAATTGACAACATCTGTGCCCAAGACGGGTGTCTTCGGTTTAATCACACGTATAGACTTTCAAACCAATATTTTATGAAATAAAGAGGAAGTTGCTTCACTCTTTAGGTACAGAGTACTAGAATGAAACACTGCGATCGAACTTGCCACCATATCATCGTGAGAAGCCCAGAAGGAGTTTTAGCATCAATGTCAAGGACTTCGCTTCTTTCTCATTCATGACAGGTGTGTGGATCTAGGCCCACGTATCTTGCTTTTTGAAAACTGAGTGAGAATACATGACCAGGAGCGACAAGTAACTCATGGCGGTACAACCAATCATTGCTGTGTGAATTGCTCTTACAAAGACGAAAGTGTAAATCATCAACGTGATTAATTTTTTAGTTGGAAATATCGGCAAACGAAACCCACACCAGCTGGTATATAAGAATGAAACCCCCAAGATAATCCAAAGCCAACGCCGATGCCAACCTATTCCGCCTCGGAATCAACGCCTTCCCTACCCTAAGAAACCAATTCGCAGCCACTGGCCATGTGATAATTACTTCCTGCCACCATATTCTGGTCCGGCGACTCTCCTAATAGCTAGTTCTTCATCCCATCACCCTTCTACCGCCTTTCACAAGAACTCGTTGGCAGTCGTCTAATGTCTACCCCCATGCGATGCCACGTCGTCCCTCCACCGTGCAGTCTTCTCGTCCTGGATCTGCTGAGCTTCCGCTTCAAGTCTTGCTTTCTCTATACAGGCGTCACAATCTCGAGATTGATCATAAATTTCTTCCGCGACGAACTCTCTTGCGCTGCAAGGTCCAAGTTTGCCAATCGAGCATTCACCACCTTCGACTGGCTGAGCCCAGGTGTCGGTTTCATCTTTGATGCAGCCGCATCTCCAGTTGACGTACTGGTGTTGACACATATTGTGGTATGTGTTGGGACTTGGTTTTGTTGATTTTTTTTTAAATGTAGTGGTTTTGATGTGTTGGGGCTTGGTTCTTTACTGGAGAGTGAGAAAAGAATAGATTGAGAGAGCAGCGATGGTGGTTTATGTAGTTTAGGGTAGTGTTCTTAGAATTGAGAGGCCTTGAGCTGGGCAAATAGGAATGATGTATATCAATTCTATAAAAAGGATAAGTACGGATGTCTTCATCAAAGCTGGTTTGATCCTTTATGATGTGATCTGCTTGATATTTCCTATTACGAAACTCCAAATTTATCAGATGCCCTATTTTTGACTGCTTGCCAAAGGAATCAAAAACAACTAGAAAGAAGTCGACTGTGTCCTCTGCCAGAAATAGAAAGATGAACAGCAGCTATTAGTCAATTATTGAGTCTCATGACGGATAGTTCGCATGACGAGTGGCTTCTAAACATACATAAACAAGCAAAACATGTACTAAAGAACAGCTGCTACTATTTACGGCTGCAATGTGTTCAGGAGAGTCAAAGAATGAATCCAAGCATAGCCACGGGTGGGTAAATTTGGAAAGACCGTTGCCAATCTGACAGCATAACAAGCTTCGAAATCAGCAAGTGAATGGTGGCGAGATTAATATATACTCGTAGAGTCATATGCTACCATTTACCGCGCGTCAACAAAGACCTTGGATTTGGAAAACTCGCTGAACGCTCTGTAGGAGTTGGGTGAGGCTGGATCTGGCCTCCACCCAAGAAAATCTAGCTTCCCATGTCAAGTGATGTAGTGTGGGTGATCTAGATTTCAAACAAAGAATGGTAATAGTCAGATGACTCCTCAAAAATAACGAGGCAATCTGAAGATAAAGTAATTTCCCGGCTCTGATGCTATGTCTTGTGACCTCTTAGGAAGATGAAAGAAAGAGAATGACAAGATCGCCACAGCGTTTGCCACTTGCCACTATTCGCTGTCCGGTAGCACACATCCACATCTCTGATCAGGCTATGAGATTTTGCGTTCAAAGAGGCTGTGAACTGAAATAGAATAGCTGAGATCAAACTTAAAAGTGTCTTTAGAAGATATCCCTCTGCTACATTACTAAGGGCTGGGTGGCGGTGAGCACAGTACATGTTCCAGATCTTGGTCTTTCCCATCGGAATAGACCTTCAGAGCTCCATTTTTCTTTTGCCTATTTGACGGTTCTTTCATTTTTGTATTCCTCTGAAAACTGTTCTTTACTATAAGAGCTGTGCCGCACGAGTGTTACCTCGCTTAGCGATTCAGGTAAGTAAACAAACGAGATAAAATTCGATTTTGACAAAAGGGAAGCTGTTCATATAAAAACTTGGTCACGTAATGAATTTTTACAACTGTGGTCTCTAGTTTGACGGAAGATGAAGAAATAAAACATTGGGGTGAAGCATTGGCTGGAGGTAATAAGGTAGATCTGGTTTCGATTGTCAGACGATAAGATGAAGGGAGGCAGATAGTTCTGGTCATGCTGCTGGGTTTTAGGTGGAGAGTGTCGAAGTGTAGAGTTGGGTGGCTTTGATGAGTTTATATGTTGAGTGTTTGATGCGGGGATATCTGGACAAGAATTCAGCTTTTCTTTTTTTGGGAAGGGCTGCTGACCACAAGATAAGGTGGATGACATCTGGTTCTGCACAGTTTCCACACATTGAAACGTTGCGCCTGGTCAAGACGCAATGCTGTACTGATTATATTAACTCTACTGTGGTTTTCTGGAAATACGTGAATACGGGAATAGGGAGTTTGGGGGGTGCAGTGAATATCACTTGATTTTCATTCACCACGTGGGATAGTGGAGGAGGTATAAGAAAGCTCAACAGTTCCCATCACTAGGTCCTGGTATCGACTGCACAATAGACCAAAGACACCTTCACCTCCCTGTAACTTGTTTTAATTTGAAAAAGTTATAGACACTTGAAGAACTTACAAAAGCATTTCACAATTTTTGAGTACCCTGCTCTCAGCTTTAGAGCTTTAGACTGGCATGTTTCAACCCCCATCTGGAGTTTAGAGAATGGATGGCAAAAAAGAGTAGAAGTTGACAATAGTCTGTATCATTGACAACAACTCCCTTTCTCCTTTTCCTTTGGCCACTTGGCCCACCCCACAAGAAAATGAGACGATCTCCAATGGCGGGAAAGCCAGAACCATCTCCCCAAAGAGGGAGATCCGAGAAACAAAAAAAGTCTCCTTCTCCGCTGGAAGAACTTGCACCCCCATTCCCTGCCTAGAACGTAGCTTTGTCCTCTGAGCCATTCTTGGTAGAAAGTAGCTACCAAGGCGAAAACCTGGTTCTCTTTATACCCCTTGGATTGATCGGTGCGAGAGAGAGATGCACGGGATCAAAACCACAATGGAATTGGATGATGAGTTGAATGAATATTGCAGATTCAGATAGATTGGGTGGGACAAGGGAGTGGAGCAGGTGGGAGGTGGATATCCAGATAAGGATAGTGAAGTGTTGTGGATTGAAGGTGAATTTATGATGAGGGTGTTGTAGAGTCTTGGGGGGGGGTTTATTACTTATAAGAGATAGGATTGTGGGGTTTTGGACAACCAGTGGAGAGACGATGATATGGTTGAATCAAGTGAGGCTGGGGGTGGGTGTCAGAGGTGTGGAGATGCTGTGTCTGTGTTTACTGGATAGGGAGAGGAACGATCATTTTTGATTGGTGGGAGAGTGAGGAGGGGCTGGGAATTCGAGAAGATCCTTTTTTTTGGCAAAAGCAATTCATCTAGTTCTAATCAGATCAAAGTGGCATATTAGAATGACAACAATGCTGCCGCTGACAACAGCTCAGCTGGGATATGAGAATTGAACAATCTCATCGAGTACGCAGGGGATGAAGTGTGGTGAATTACGGTTGGGGTGATGAGAGAAATCCAATTGATACCAAGAATATGTTTCTCCATGTCTATACTGGATATTTCGTTAGATCATCTCTCCTCATCCAAAAGTTAGAGTCTTTCCCCTGTATTTTCTGCTGAGAAGCTTGTGATGCGAAAATTGGAGGATATTTATATGTCCTCAGTGATGTGAAATTGTAGTTGCTTGCACTGATTTCTTTCTAAGCCAGTGAATACAAGTCAGAGGAATCTAGCCAATGGGTACCTCTTGTAAAAAGATTCACTTGATATGGAGTTTCCGAGGCTTGATGTGTCTCTGTAGTTGCCGCTTGATGAGTACAGCTTCCATGTTTTAAGGATCATGGATTTGGGAGCGGCAATGAAGCAAGCTCCTTAAGAACAAAGAGAGATTAATGGTGGGAGTATTCTCGATGTCAAAATATTGCTTGTAAGTAAACGGTCGATCCCTGGGATTCGATTTCTACTCTCGACTTCTGAGATGATATAACTGCGAGTGACTTTTCTCCAAGAGCAAGCGATCACGTGGATTTCCAAACGTGACCTTGCATTCCAGGACAGCTCTTGCCGGTCCCAAGAACTCGGTTTAAAACGGCTACAATGTTACAAAACTGTGAGAATCGTCTGAAACATACCTAGACCGTGTCATAACCGAGCTCGGAAATTCCGTCAATAATGGCGCTGGCTATGCAGCTGCCTGCATCATACCCGATGTTCGATGTTCAGGACCGGGTTAGATGCACCGTCACCTGCAGATATCGACGTCGAAATCCAAGGCGGCCGGAATTCCCATATAAGAAGCTCCAAGACATAATTCCATATCTCCATCCCGCCGTACGAATAGTTATACAGAGATTTGGTGCATGAGAAACGATGTGATACGATGTGATGTGATGTGATGCTCATTTCACGGAATGCTCGGCCCCTATTTCCCCGCACTCCATTTTCCCCCAGACTCTCGAACCCCCACACTGAGCTCCACTGAACTCCACCGATCCATCCATTCGACCCGTGGACCCGCCGTTCCATGCCCGCTTCCGCTTCCGCTTCCGCTTCCACGCGCCGTCGTACCCCACAACTTTGACTGCACCGGTCCTATTCTATGGCTAAGTGGACGTTGACCCTGACCTGATACAAATCGCATCGCATCGCATCGCACTCGGCCAAACCCCCGCGCCAGCGCCAACCAACGCCAAAGTCAGCCAGGCTCCAGGGCACGCACATGAACCAACCGTGGATTCGGCACGAGGACGAACGAGAAAAGGGGAATGGAGGGATGGGATAGGTGAGGATAGGATAGGATAGGATAGGGTAGGATAGGATAGGATAGGATAGGGACGGAAACGCACCAGTCCAGGTAAAGCGCGGGTTGGCAAAAGGGCACAAAACAAACGAAGTGCAGCTTCTGCAGCGGATCATAGCACAGGCAAGTAAAGTAGCCGCCTCCGGGTCAATTCATTGCATTGCGTGTAGCAAGCTAGGGCAGGGTGTGGATGTGCTTTGCTTTGCTTTGCTTTGCTTTGCTCTACTCCTGGACTAGCTACCGCTGCCCGCTGCCTTGCTCTAACTGCCTTCCTATTCCACCTCCCTCGGACTTGGACACCTTCATTCTTCCGTGCGACAACACCAACACTGCACTACACGACATCCCATCCCATCCCACTCTCCACTCCTCGTCCTCATTCTCGTCTTGAGTAACAAAGAGACGACAATCGACTCGAGTCCACGCGCAGGCACGAGGACAGACTCGGTCAAACTCGACTTGGCTGCTCTCTGCCTAACTGACTGACTGGCAAATGCCAAATCTACCAGCTCTCGACCCCTCGTCGTGGCAACGACGCGCCTTTCGACCATGATAAACTCGTCGACTATGCGGCCGGCAATCATGCCTTGTCGCGCTGGCATGCGATCTACGAATACTACTCGCGCAAGTCTAGGACTTCTAGGTACATTATACCCCTCACTTCTCAATTTCTCTACACAATCTAACAATCACCAGCTCGCCATGTCCGTCCCCTCTACCGTCCAGCTCAGAAATGGAACGACAGGAAGCAATTGCGCCCTCGAGTCTCAGCAATTATCCCCGCCCGACACGGCACCGTCCTATCCACCAACGCCGAGCCCATTCCCCCCGTCACCTCGACCCCATACTCCGAACTTACTATCGGCGTCGTGCGCGAGACATACCCCAACGAGCGGCGCGTGGCAATCACACCGCAGAACGCAGCGCTGCTTCTCAAGAAAGGCTTCAAGCGCGTGCTGGTCGAGCGAGGAGCCGGAACAGAAGCTCAATTCACCGACCAGGCATACGAGAAAGCGGGCGTGACATTGGGCGAGAGCAGGACGGTGTGGTCGGAGAGCGATATCCTGTTGAAAGTGCGGGCGCCGAGTTTTGATGGGGCGATGAGCGAGGTGGATCAGTTGAAGGATGGGGGCACGATCATCTCGTTCTTGTATCCGGCGCAGAATAAGAAGGTGGTGGAGAAGTTGGCGAATAGGGGGACGACAAGCTTTGCTATGGATATGATTCCTAGGATTTCGAGGGCTCAGGTTTTTGATGCGTTGAGGTAGGTTGGATCCGGGGAGCTCGAGATGCAGGCGGATTGAGGGGTATTTGCTGATCACGTGAAGCTCGATGGCAAATATCGCGGGGTATCGAGCTGTTCTGGAGGCGTCCAATCATTTTGGCAGGTTTATGACGGGTCAAGTTACAGCTGCAGGGTAAGTAGCTCTATCTGCGTGGGAAACGGCTGCTAACGATGTGTAGAAAAGTAAGCAAGTCGGTACCCCTCATTTTCACTTACTCACAGGTCCAATCAGATCCCTCCTTGCAAAGTCCTGGTCATTGGAGCTGGAGTTGCAGGTCTGAGTGCCATCGCTACAGTAAGTCTCCTCACTCTGTCCTGTGACACTGTGTAAACATTTCTAGGCCCGTCGACTCGGTGCAATCACTCGCGGTTTCGATACTCGCCCAGCAGCCCGTGAACAGGTCCAGTCCCTCGGAGCGGAATTCATCGAAGTAGAAATCGAAGAAGATGGCTCGGGAGCAGGTGGATATGCAAAGGAGATGTCAAAAGAATTCATTGAGGCCGAAATGAAGCTCTTCCTTGAGCAATGCCGCGAAGTAGATATTGTGATCACTACTGCATTGATCCCTGGAAGACCTGCACCGAAACTCATTACGGAAGAGGTAAGCTGCTGTACATCATTTGATGGTACTCGTCTGATTGTAGATATCTAGATGCTCTTGGCCATGAAACCCGGAAGTGTGGTTGTTGATTTAGCCGCCGAGAATGGTGGGAACTGTGTTGCTACGGTTCCGGGGAAGCTGGTTCATCATCATGGTGTAACAGTCATTGGTACGTGTGGTGTGAATGAAGTCATGCAGATTTCTGACGTACTGCAGGATACACCGATCTGCCCTCCCGTTTACCAACCCAGTCCTCGACTCTCTATTCGAACAACATCACCAAATTCCTCCTCTCTATGAACCCCGAAGATGGCAAATTTGGTGTTGATCTCAAGGATGAAGTTGTCCGTGGATCTATCGTGACATACAAAGGCGACGTCGTACCGACTGCACCTCGACCATCACCACCCCCAGCGAAACCAGTCAATCCAGCTGCCGATACCAAACAAGTCGAAGAAGTAGCCATCACACCATGGCAGAAGACTTCGCGAGAAGTGGCTACTGTGACAGGTGGTATGGGAATGGCACTTGCTTTGGGAAAAGCTACTGGTCCCATTTTCATGGGCAATGTGTTTACATTTGCTCTTGCTGGACTTATTGGTTATCGGACTGTTTGGGGTGTTACTCCTGCTCTGCATTCGCCTTTGATGAGCGTTACAAATGCTATTTCTGGTGGGTTCGTCAGCTCTGTACAATTCCTTGGCTAACGAAACACAGGCATGGTCGGTGTTGGTGGATTCTTCATCATGGGAGGTGGTCTCGTCCCTCATACCATCCCACAAGCTCTAGGCGCTTTGTCCGTCCTTCTAGCATTCGTAAATGTTTCAGGTGGATTTGTGATTACCAAACGCATGCTGGATATGTTCAAGCGTATGTCATGTATCTCGTGAAGGGTCATTGCTGACAGATACAGGTCCAACTGATCCTCCCGAATATCCTTGGCTATACGCAATTCCTGGTGTCCTTTTCGGTGGTGGCTATCTCGCTGCTGCTAGCACTGGTATGGCTGGACTTGTTCAAGCTGGATACCTTGCAAGTTCTCTGCTTTGTATTGGTTCACTGTCCGGTCTTGCATCTCAAGCTACTGCTCGACAGGGTAATATTTTAGGCATTCTCGGCGTTGGGAGCGGCATTCTTGCATCACTTGCTGCTGTTGGTTTCCCAGTCGAGGTATTGATGCAATTTGGAATGGTTGCTTCTGTTGGTGGTATTCTAGGTGAGCGAGCGATTATTCCGTCTAGAAGAACTAAGCTAATGATCAGGTCTCATGATTGGTCGTCGAACAACCGCTACAGATCTACCTCAGACAGTCGCTGCTCTTCATTCTGTTGTCGGTTTAGCAGCAGTGTTGACAAGTTATGGAAGTGTCATGGCTCATATCGGAGACATCTCAACATTACATCTCGTCGCTGGGTACCTTGGTGTTCTCATCGGTGGTGTAACCTTCACTGGATCAGTCGTCGCTTTCCTTAAACTCGCTGGACGAATGTCTTCCAAACCGATCAAACTTCCAGGTCCTCGTCACGCAATCAACTCTTCACTCCTAGGTCTCAATGTTGCTACCATGGGTACATTCCTCGTCATGGCACCAGGCTCACCCATCATTGCTGCTTGCTGTTTGGCTGGAAATGCAGTTCTTAGTTTCTTGAAGGGATATACTACGACTGCTGCTATTGGAGGAGCTGATATGCGTAGGTGGACCTGAATTCTGGGTGTGTATCTGCTAACTCTAGCAGCCGTCGTCATTACCGTCTTGAACGCATATTCCGGATTCGCTCTCGTAGCCGAAGGATTCATGCTGGATAATCCACTACTCACTACCATCGGCGCACTAATAGGAGTATCCGGATCCATCCTCTCATACATCATGTGTGTAGCCATGAATCGCGGTCTAAGCAACGTCCTCTTCGGCGGTATAGCACCAACCGATAACAGCGAGTACAAGATCGAAGGGTCAATAACCAAGACCAGTGTAGATGAAGTCGCTGATGCTCTAGCCACAGCAGAAAGTGTGATTATCGTTGTCGGGTACGGCATGGCTGTTGCGAAGGCTCAGTATGCTATATCGGATATTACGAGGATGTTGAAGCATAAGGGTGTTAATGTTAGGTTTGCTATCCATCCTGTTGCGGGTCGTATGCCGGGTCAATGTAATGTCTTGCTCGCAGAAGCTAGTGTTCCATATGACAGTACGTCCTCTTTCCTTGCCATCCCTTTCCCCCTTCCCCTTTCCCAACCCCCCATCCCAAACACCCCAACTAACCTCCCCCTACAGTCGTCCTCGAAATGGACGAAATCAACGACGACTTCAACGACACGGACCTCACGGTCGTCATCGGCGCCAACGACACGGTCAACCCGATCGCGCTGGAGCCCGGGTCCAGCATTGCCGGGATGCCCGTCCTGCACGCGTGGAAGAGTAAGCAGGTCATTGTTATGAAGAGGGGGATGGCGAGTGGGTATGCGGATGTCCCGAATCCGATGTTTTATATGCCCGGCACCAAGATGCTGTTTGGTGATGCGAAGGATAGCTGTGATGGTGAGTTTTGGGCTGCGTTTTTCTTTTTGCGTTTTGTTTTTGTGTTTTGATTGATTTGGGACTTTGAGATGGGTTGTGGTTGGCGTTTGGGTATTTGCTTTGGAAGGGCGGGGGGAATATTTTGAGTGGATGGGGATGCGGGAGGGGAACAGTGGATTGAGATTTATGGGTGGGGAGGCTGGGCTTGAGCTGATGTTCTTTTGACTGCAACATGAGAAAAAAGTGTTTTGATGGAATTGTTGCTGACTCTTTTGTGTGTTTACAGCTATCAAGAGTGCGTTGGAGGCGAGGGGGAAGATGTATGATATCTGAGCTGGGGTCGGGGCTCAGATAGACTCGCTTAGTCAGTCGCATATTTCTGGATGGGATGTGAGGTTGGGGATAAGAAATGAGAAATGAAATTATGGATGGATGAGAGGATGATGGGTGGGAGGGGGAGTGGCGTGTTGTTGGGAGGAGTGGGTTGAGAGACCACTATGAAGGGAGAGGGTTTGGTTGGATGGGTGGGATGAATGAGCGACGATGATTTCGTTGGGGAGCAGGAGATGCTGATTTTGACTTTGATTTTGATTTGGACTTCATTCTTGCTTTTCATCGTCACGTTCAAGGATGGAGGGAGTTTGTAGGCGTTTTTTCTTTCTTTTCTTTCTTGGTCCTTCGCATCTGCATCTGCATCTGCATGCGTACATTCGTCTGAGCCAAGCACAGCACATCACGTATATAGCTAGCTACATCATGGTACAGAACTTTAGGTCCAGCACAGCAGAGCACAGAACATTAGGTATATCATAGTACATACTATTGTCAGGCACGTCATAGTAAAGCAGAGCACAGAAAGTTACATAGGTACTTCAGTACACCGTGGTACAGCATAGCATGGTGCAGTATAGCAAAGCGGAGTAAAGCACATACAATGCACATAGGTACATCATGGTACAGAGCATTGCATAGGTACATATTATTGTCAGTCACGTCATGATACATTTGCATTAGGTACATAGGCACGTACTTACAGCCGTCAGACACGTCATGGTACAGTACATTTCCATGGAAACTACATAGAGATTACATGCAATACTAGAGCCTGGCTTGTTTGTTCACTTGGTTTGTTGAGCTGAGCTGAGGAGTTCTCGGCATGTATGTAAGTATGTATATTGATTTGGTGATTTTTGGAGGTAGTGGTAGTAGTAGTAGTGGTAGTAGTAGGAGTTGTGAGATAGGTAGGTAGGTAAGTACAAACAGACAGAAGTGGAGAAGTAGATGTGGGTGAGTGGATGTGATGTGATGTGATGTGAGTGAGTAGGCGTTTGAGGTCTTGCTTGCTTATTTTCCTTACTTCCGTTTCCATGCTATCTCTCCTCTTTTCTTCTCATCTCTTCCCATCTCTTCTCTTCCCTCCTCTTCTCACCCACTCACTTCCCTACCTAGGGATAGACTCTCTGATACTCTGAGACTCTGAACCCGCACCGTACCGTACCGTCCTTCCGTTCACTTCCTTCCTTCCTTCCTCGATTCCTCAATTCCTCAATTCCTCACTTCCTCAATACCTCCTCCTCCCCTGCCAGCAGCCAGCAAACTAGTAGTAGTAGTAAGCGGGCCAGGTAGCCAGCTAGCCAGCATTTCAGTTCAGTTAGCAGTTCCTTCCTGCCTGCCTGGGTGTACTTACTTGAGGTTCTTACTTCCTCCACAACCCAATACGTCAGCCAGTAAGCCAGAAAGGCAGAAACCTAGCCTCTACCGTACTCCCTCCCTCCCTTCCTACTTTCTTATTTAGGTACTTATTCACTCTTTGTAACTTTACTTACCTAGGTTTAGCTACATCTATACTTGTACCTATACCTAGAGACCTCTATTCTATTCTATTCTATCCACTCATTCTTTCTTCCTTGGGATCAACACCTCACGTAAGACCTATCTATAGCCAGCCTGCTTACGCATCTAGTGAATGGGATGCGTGCGTGTGTGTGTGGTTTGGATTGAATCAATTTGATTTACCATTCCCCTAGTGGTTTTTTATCTTCTTCTCCCTCTTCGTCGACTTCTGCTCGCTCTTCTAATCTCCTCGCTAGTCCAAGAATTATTACCTTGGAGGAAAATGCAGGGGTAAGTAAACCGTCCCTAGAAAATTCTAGCACGATTCCTTATGAGAATAGTTCTTACTTAAGAAACTAGTCCTGAGATCACTTTAGGACAGTTTCTTTACTCAAGGGCAGTACTAGATAATACATATATAGCTGCCTAGATACCCTTTTTTTTTTTCGCTGAAATCCTTGAAATTGATTGTTATTCTTTAATTACTTTCGAGTCTAGTTTATATATTAACCTTATAAAGTAAGCTTTTCCTAAAGCGATCAGTTTAGATACTAGTAAGAGCTGAAGGTAGGAGTTTATGTTATGCGAGAAGTACTAAGTGTTTAGGTAAAGTGAAGAGGATTTGAGTTCTATTCCCTCTTTAAAAAGGGTTAAAAGGGCTCTTACCTTGAGGGTAGAGATAAGAACTGTCCCTAAGAAAAGAACTGTTCTAAGATAGTCCGAGGAACGTTTCTATTCAAAGACTGTTCGTGTACATCCCGAAACCGTTAGGGGGCAATCTATTTGCACCTTCCTTTGTCTCTAAGGTAGCTTCCTCGCTAAGCCCAAGTTTGTTAGCTTTCTCCTCTGACTTTTATTTTAGCCTTCTTTACCCTTTGCTCTATCCCTCTCCTTGTATTATCTGTCTCCTTACTCGTTTTTATATAAATGCTCTCTTTCACCTAGCTGATCCGCGGTATTAGATTTATTAAAAGTTCAAGTCTGCGGTTACTTTAGCGGGATAAGGATGAATTGAGATGGGATAGGATCGGATAGGATGAGACAAGGTGAGATGGGAGAGCATAAGATTAGGATACGGCTTTGGTATGTTTATATAAAACGATTGATTGTGATGATTGGGTGGGCAAAGTGAACAAGCAAATGAGCGAGCGAAAGAGAGGGAAGGATTAGCGTTATTATTTGGACATTTAATGATTTTGTTGGACTTTGAGGGTGAGTAAGTCAGTGAGTGGTCACCAAATAGTAAGGTATCTTTCTCGATATGGATGAAAGGCCTTCATTTATACAACAATAATTGATTCAGTCCCTCATCTCCTCCTTCGACATCGACCCCACCTCAAACTTCCACATCCAAATCCGCCTCCCCAAGCTCTCCTCCATCTCCCCCACCCCCACCAGCCTTCCTAGCCTTCTCCTTCAACCTCTTCTTAACCTTCTTCTCCCTATTCCTCCTCGTCCTCTTCTCCCTCTCCGCCTCCTCCTTCCCTTCCCTCTCTTTCCTCCTCGCCTCCTCTGCAAGTTCCCTCTTCCTTTTCTTCTCTCTCAGGATAATTCGGCGTTTTTTATTGGGTTTGGTGCGTTTGGTGTGTGGATTTTCTGGTATGGTTGGGTCAGGGAGGTTGAAGGGTTTGGAAATAGTGGACTTGAGTGTTGTATGGGGTTTGTTGAGGCTGAGACTGGAAGGAGGTAAAAGCACCCCATCTCTTCTCAAAACTCTAACTCTCCACCCAACTTCCAATCCCCAGTGTCTCTTCCCTTTATCAGCGAGGATATCCAGTCCGGTTACAGCAGCAGAGTTAAATTGTGTCTTTTTCTCGCCTGTGGCTTTGGGGACGATGTAGAATTCTCGGGGGCGGGGACGGAGGATGCGGCCTGTACCGGTGGGTTCGTCGGAGGTGCTGAGGATTATTTTGTGGGAATGGGAGGACTGAGATTGATTGGAAGGGGGTTGGAAGAGGATGAAGTCGTATTCTTGATCTTGGTCTTGGGGTGGCGTTGAGGGGAGGGGTTGTGGATTGTTGTCGTTGCTGGATGTGTCTGATCCTGAGTCTGAATCCATTGCTATATCTCCATTGCTGTCTCCTCCCTTTTCTTCCTCTGCAGTTTTCCTCCTCTTGTTTCCTTTATCAGCATGTTCTTTTCTCTGCCTGTTATCTGCTCTTTCTGTATCTCCGCTTGTCCCAGCATCAACCCCGCCATTCCCATCCTTCCCAGCACCACTACCCAGTCCGCTCCTTACAGGAGTATCAAACTCCACTGGGCCAAGCAAAGCAGCGAGTTTGGCTTGCAAGAGAGCCGTTCGTGCATCTTCTGCATCTATATCTGCATTCCTTTGTGTTGGGTCGGTTTCTGAAGAGATGGAGGGGGAGGTTGAGCGTGAACGATTGAGGTCTACCCGGCGTACTCTGCGACAAAGAGGTTAGTTCATTGAGGAGAGGAAGGGTTTTAAAAAGACAGGAAGAGCGGAATAATGGCAGGTCGGAAGGTGAATGCTGAAGGGGAGGAAGATATACCGTTTTGCATCTGGGAGGTCGAACATCTTGTCCTCTCTTCCTTCACTTCGCCTCGTGTATGGCCTCAATTCCGTTTGATAGAACTGGCATAGCTTATCAAACTGGCCCCAATCAAATCTCTGGTATCTCAGTGCTGGTGGGGTGTGAGTACTCGAGGCTGAACAAGGCTGTGGTTCACAACAAAATCTCGGCAGTCAAGCTCAAGCTCCAGCTCAAATTCCATCGGAGCGTGTTAGAAATATAGGGATTGTAGGCGTAGACTCAGTACTATAGGCCGTACTACTGAGTACGCTACCCCTTTATATAGGAGATTCTCTCTCTCTGTAGTAGCTCCTTATGCAACTGTAATTCTGTTATTATTACGAACGCACTCAGAAGGAGTATCACGTGTGTCTTAGCCCTGAGGCTCAGCAGCCTTACTACACAGAGAAGCTAAGAACTAGGAACGGAATCACGGAACTATATGTCACGTGATAGTATAGAGCTTTTAGAACTATAGGATCTAAGGTTCCTAGAGCCTTAGATCGTAAGATCTATAGGGATCCTCGAAGAACGAAGGTTCTATATAAGACTAGTATATCTGCTATTAGATAGGAGCTTCGTGCTTAACTTTAAATAGTATTCTAATACTTAGTAACTATCTTCCTATTTATATAATATACCTACTTCTTAATTATTAGAGATTAACTATAGCTTTCTATATTTATAGCGAGTAAATACTAGACTATTATACTTTAAGTACCTTCTTATTAGAGGTACTGACTCATGAAGATAATATATCCTCTATTAAAGGATCGTCGAACAACTACTCGACTCCTACTAAGGTCTTCGACTTAAAGAATATACCTAAGATCGCCGCCCCGGATCTCTATAATAGAGACTGATCTAAGCTTAGAGTATACCTCATGTAGGTTAAGCTCTATATAAGCTTTAATAGTTACTAGTTCACTATAAAGACTAATAAAGTCCTTTAAGCTTTATTTTTTCTCCGGGGATCTGCTTTTAACTAAATTAAGACTTTCCTCTCGGACTATATTTAGAACTAAACTAAGGATAAGAGAGTCTTTATAGTAATAACTAAGGAATCCTAAAAGATCTTTATAACCTTCGAAGGTTTTAAGTATAGGATTAACTATGTCTTTAGCGATATTAATTAGAACTGTACCGCTGAACGGAATATCCAGAACCTAAAGCAGGTCGGGTTAGTGACTATATATACTGCCGCTTTCTAGTAATTCGCGAATTAGACTAGCTGGAATAATAACGCCCTTCGGGTATAGTACTATAAAGGGTTAAAAGACGGAGTAAAAGATAAGATAGTAAGATTAGACGCGCTTACTAACTTATAAGAACTTATCGAAATAGCTATTAAGATTAATAACTGAAACTACAAGAGAGTACTTGAGAAGAAAGGCTAATACCGCTCCGGAATATATATATACTAAGGAAGAGGAGGTAATAATAAGAAACTATTCTACCCTCGGGAAATAGAACTTAATATAACGTTCCGGAAGCTAAGTTATTAAGGAAAGCTATATAGCAGTAGGCTATCTAAGAAAATTATAAGTAAGTGATAAGAGAAGAAGTTATACTTCGAGTATAGCTTCCCTAGTTATATAGCTAGCTCTTATCAATAAAAGAAGTCGTGGATAGATAAGAAATATACTAATATAATAGGATATAGTTCTTATAATAAACTAATATAATAACTTGCTGCGATATATTAATATATAACTATAAACGAGCTCGAGGAGAATTATATCTATACTTAGTTAGGCGATTCTAATAATAGTAAGCGAGATTCTATAAGTGTTATAGATTAGCTCAAGTAGACTATCGTTAGCACGCCCCCTGAGGACTATATATATTAAGATAACGATAGCTCTGGACTAGATAACGATATAGAGCTAATACCGAGTAATAGCGAGGAAGAAGCCTAGGAGCTAGAGTAGACTCCGGAACTAGGGCTACCTTAACTTAAACTCTTAGGACTAAGAGTAAGTGAAACTTAGGAAGTTACCTAAAGGGAAGAAAGCTTATATTAAGTCAGCTATAATACTTACTACTAGACTAATATAGCTACCGGGGTTACTTATCAAGAGCTAGGTCTTATCAGCTTAAGGGGTTTACTATAAGGAGTAAAGTACGAAGTAGTCTACTAGGACTATAAGCGGATCGGATAGAGGATAGCCGGAAGCTAGGAAGGACTAACGACCTTTATATAGTACTTACTACTTCAGAATACCGCTATTCTTAACGCTAGCGCGCTACTAGAGGTAGGCGAGGAGTAGGAGATTATAGCGGAAAGTTAATACTATAGGATATAGGTATACGTTAAGGATAATAGCTGATACTATTATAAGATATATAACCTAGTAATATACACTAAACTCGGAATAAGGCTTATATATAAGGTCAGCTTAAGCTATAGTAACTGAAGAGTATAGGAAAGTGTCCTTAACTATAGTGTATATTAGGAATATTTCTATGTATAGTAACTTACTACTATTAGAGATAAATATCTTATATTAGAAGTTAAAATCAAGGGAGTTAAGCTTTAGGTAATAGTAGACTCTAGGGTATAAGGGAACTTTATATCTCCTACTATTATACTTAAGCACTACCTATTAACTAAAGTAAAGGATAAGGGATACTATCTAGTACTAGCGGATAGTAAGGTCGCCTCTGATAGACTAATTAAGGTCCAGACTACTCCAGTCTATATAGGTATCGCCGGATACTCTAAAATAATCTAATTCGATATCGTTAGGATTAGAAGGTATAATATTATCCTAGGATTACTATAGATAGAAAAATATAACCCTATTATTAATTAGTAGATAAGAAAACTTAAGTTTAGTTATTACTAGGACTACTATTATCTACTAGGAACAGAAGTAGTAAGTATTCGAGAGGTTAGCGCTACCTCTAAGGAAGAGCTCGGATACTAAGATAAGAGTCTACTGATAAAGGATATACTATTAGTATTATAGTAGGGTAGTGTGGTTCTGGGTCGGAAGATAGTTAGCTTGTTTCATAAGGTTATATAAATAGGCGCGATAGCGTGTAATAAATATACTATCTTCTTTCTTTTACTCTTACTACCTATTTAGTTAGTAGTCCTCTATGTCCCTACTTACTATATACTTTGATAGTACTACCTTACTTTTTTATATTAGTAACCTACGTAGGGAACTAGAAGTAAAGTAGAGGAATAATTAAGATATAGCTAAGCTAGTAGTAAAAGTAGGAGTTAGAATTTTATTACTTAGTAACTTAGTTATAGTAACAGATAGATATATAAGAAATAGCTAGAAAAAAAGGGCTTAAGGAGCCCTTATTTAGCAGATAAGATATCAGGAAACAGCGGAATATAAGTGGAGAAAGCTAAGGAGGTATAGAAAAGAAAGTTATCACAATAAGCTTAGAAGATAAGGTTACTATAATAATAGAGAAAGTTTATACGAGGAAAACAAGTAAGGAATAAATAAATACGAAAAGAAAGCAGGTCTAATATAAAAAAGGGGCCTGAAGTAGGGCGAAAAATAGATATAAGGAAAAGAGGTTAGGGAGGTCGGAGTAGTTAAGGGAGCTAAGTCTAGAGGTTATAAGAAGTATAATCACTACGCTCTTACTAATAACTCTAGTACTTTTAACTCTAGTAACGTCGGGTATACTATACCTTATAAGCGGGTACTAAAGGTTTAAATCGTTTACTAAATTCCCTGATATAACTATATTTCTAGGAGATCCTAAGAACTAAAGAACGCTAAGTATAAAGGAAAGCGATACAGTGAAATATATTTAAGTCCGGGAGAAAAGTTATTAAGAATCGAGGACTATGAATTCTAGGATAGCGGAAGTTAGGTATATTTTAGTTATACTAGCCCCGAGTATACTAGGCGCGCTATACTTTAAGGGAGCTAATATTACGGAGTTCTTGGAATAGTATACTGATTAGTGTGATAACACTTAATTAAAAGATATAAACCGAATTAAACAGCTTCCTTAATATTATAATCTTACTATTAGTTAGTATATTAAGACGCTACTAGAGTAGATAAGTAAGAATTAGGAAGAGCTAGTAGTCTCTCTTTTAGAGGAGTATAAGGATTAGGATACTTTTTAACAGATAAACTCCTAATTATTCCTCGAGGCTCTAAAGTTAAAACCGCGAACTATAGAAAATGATATAAAGTAGTTTATTCGATAATTCACTATAATATTAGCTACCTTAGTAAAAAGGGGCTAGTTAGAAAATTACACTTGAGAAGTATAGTTCTTGAATAGGCTACTAGGAGACATTTATAAGAAGGTGATACGTAAAAATAAAATTAATATTAATAAGCTAAGTACAATTAAGTTTAACGACTTAGTTAAGATAGCTACTAAGATTTATATATCTAATAAGATAATCCGGGAGTTTTCTGATAGTCACGTGAAATAGAAGAGCCTTAGTAAATTAGTAGATTCGCTTAGCTAAGTACTTATTACCCTTAAGGTAAAGGGTTAGCTAGTTCCCCTTATTATTAGCCTAAAGACTATATCTGTAGAAGTAGTAGAAGAGATAACCTAGGTATTTAACGCGCTAGCGCTAGTTATAAGAGTGTTATAAGCTTTGTAAGTACCTAGGGGAAGATTAGGATTTAGCTCGCTTAGCGGGGGAAATTAGTTAAGAGCTTATCTAGTAAGACTTAGTAGTTAAGTTAATCTATCTAAACTACTATAAGGGGCTTACTTAGGTTAACCCCGGCGTTCGAATAACTCGCTAATTAGAGTATATATAGTAGGTACTTATAAGGATCGCTAGAACTAATATTTCTACTATTTAGAAAATAGGTATTTCCGTAGGGACTACTTAGACTTCCTAATAGATATAGAAAGGGGGCTTATATATAACTATTAGGGCTAGATATATTACAGACGCGCGGGTAGCAGGGGGCAGTTAGTTAAGTAGCGCAGGGGGGTCTTAGTAATAAAAGGTATATGAGCTAGTTAGAGAGGAACCTTAATATAAGGAACCGGTGAGGGATAAGCTAGGGGGAGTAGTTTAATAGTGTAGCTAATATAAGTACTATAGCACCCTATGAATAAGGCTGAACCTGTGAAAGTAATAGTAGTAGGGGTAGTAACTTAGGATAAGTCGGATATTAAAGAAGATAAGGGGGACTAGGAAGCTATAAGAATATTAGAGGCTAGAAGTGAAAAACCGAAGAGCGGAAAGAATAATAAATAAGTAAACCCTAGGAAAGTATTAAAAGAGCGAGTTAAGAAGGAAAAGGACTTAGTAGCTCTAAAAGTTTTATAACTTAGAAAGTAGAAGTAAAAGGATCTAATTAAAGGG